TACCACATTGCACAAGGCATGTAACTACCATATACGAGAGAAGTTGTAACGAAAGTTTATGTTGTAATTTGGCTAAACGGCTAATGATGTGAGTCCTTTGCTCCAAGATAACCGTAGCAATAATTTCTTGCCAGATGCAAGAGAAATTTACGTGTTTAATAAGTGGCCAATTTTCTCCGAAGCATATTCAAGGAATCATCAAACATTTTCAAGCTCACTGGTAACACATTCCAATACTGAACAATAAACGATCGGTCCTATTTGATCTTGAAATCTATAACCTCTATTAAAAGGTTGAGGCATCAAGATCGAATGATTTTCTAGAAATAGATTAGCATTCCAAATTTTAGCTAGTCGATAAAAGCGAATTTTCAAAAATGATGAACGAAGAAAGAAATGCAATCCCTGGATTTGGCATTTTTCGCAAATAATACCATCAACCATACATTGACACCTATACAAGTAATATGGCGAACAAACTTTTGTGAAGATATTGTCGATGTGAAAGCCAAAATTGAGTTCGCGATCGAAAGTCACCTTAAGATATTGCATTAACTCAACAAAACCAATGGCATACTCAGATATTCAAGTTTTGGGACCTGGTTCGTAAACAATTGAAAATACTTAGTCCTTCCGCCAATCCCCGGTTGCGTTGACAGGCGAAATATCATAAAACTGTATTAAGTTTTAGCATTTATAGGAAACTGTTCCTTAGAAAATCGGCAGACTAAGTTTAGAAAATTTGGGATATTCGTAACACTGCCCTCTACTTAACGTTCATTTTTCTTTTTCAAAAGCCACCAGTCTGCTTGCATGTGCTACGTTAACCATGGTTCCGTCTTCCGCATGTTTACGGATCCGATGGACTACATCAGTGATCCTCGTGATAAGTTACGGTTCTCCCCAATTACATTGTCGATTTGGTGATAAACTTTCGATGCACAATGGATTATACACTAGGTCTCCTTCAAGAAAATGCCCTATACATTTCTTCGGCTACCCGTGGCCACCAATTTGTTACTTGCAATTCGATTTCTCTTTTCGAGACTTCTTGGTTACCTGCAGCCTTTCTGTTCATTCTTTGCGCCTTCTAATTTACTAGATTTCTCACAACTATTATTCCATAGTGCTATTAATATCTTACATCATACTGGAATTTCCGTTGAGTCTCTTTAACAGTTTCCGTTATGCTAAACTGCTCTTCGCGTGCTTCTTTGTGATGCTCTTTTATGATTTCTTCGGACTTTGCTCTTCCAATCAACACCTTTCTGATGCGTAAATCTTTCTTACTATACTGTATTCGCCGTAGACGTCCGTCTTAGCAAATAAGGCTTTACTATATTTTTTACAGACAATTTGTTCCCCGGTTGGAAATTCACCGTTGTCATAGGACGCCTGCGCATTGAGTATGACAAGGGACCAGCGTTGCTGCAATATAACATCTGCGCGCGTTTAAATCTGATCTCTTCTGGTTTCTGCGCTACAGCTTCGAATATGCTTCAAACAGCACGTTGGAAGTACTATCAATTGTGGCACTAAGATTAGTCACTTGCTTTAATTCATCTATTTCACTTGTTAGGCGCCAAAATGTTTTAAAGTTTCACAAATTTTTGATTCCAAGGCTTCCTTAGCGTCTAATTGACTTATTCCTTAATCAACTTTCTCGACGAGAAATTTCACTTTGGCCGCACACCACACGGATTTTTTATATGTTCGCTCCACAAAAATATTTTGCATTTTTAGAAAGTTTTTATCTATTGTCACTGCCTTTTTTTCTTCGTTGCATTTTATCGTCCGCTCACTGCCAATTGACATTATTTCGTAGTTTAAAAAAAATTTGCAGACAAATTGCCCTACCCATGGACACTGGCCAGTAATTTCTAGACAAACTTTTCCCTGATAATTGGCTCAAGACTTAAATCTAATTGTATGGGAATATGGGCTGGCAATAGAGCAAGATGACTATTACAGAAATTTAAAATAATAATACGGGCAATATAAAAAATAGGTTATTGCAAAAGTGTAATCAAATCCGTTTGACTTACGTAAAGTTATAAAAATTCTATATTTATATTTGACAGTTCACGTGAATATAATGCTACCAGTGCTACAATACAGGTTACATGCGATAATCAACTATAATAAATTTAAAAACACAACTGGAGACACTAACGGGGATAATAAATAAGTTCTAGGTGAATAATTAGAGTTGGTAATATCTGTTCACAAAGTTGTGATTATCATGCGAAACATGAACACTCTTACTGATTGTCAGATTCAATCTTGGCAAATCATAAAAGTTTTGAATCTAAATGAGTCGGTTTATAAACCACAAAGGTCCTTATGAGTTAGCATTGCAGAAAAAAAAAACCAGCACACTGATGTAGACAATCAACTTTACAGGGATAAGCTAAGCCAGCTATTCCCTATCTTTATGGACAGTTAAATTTTTGTCTTAGTGCGAAGAAACTTACTTCCTTGGCTACCGTAAGGCAACTGATGATCGATGGCGGTGTGTTTGGCGCTTTTACGACCAACATCACCATAGCTGTTCCGTTATATTTCGTTTGTAATTGTGTTTATGCCTAAGATAGAGATTATTTACGTTCAATCATAACAATAATAACAAAGTCGGTTTAGCGACGTATGCCCATCCAAGTCTTTTTATACACGGTAGATACGTTTCTTAGAAATCCGTGCAAGATAAGTCGTGTACAAAAATAAAGGATTGCTTATTTCTTTGTAGTACCGACAAGACGGGAAACATTACCTAGAAATTTTCAGATTGACCGCATCACGCTTTTTCAAACTTCGGAAAATACATTAACGTTGATATACACCTCATGGCTTCAAATATAAGACTTTTCATTCTGACTTTTCGTGCTTTTACGTAAAATACGAAATCAAATGTTAACCAGAAAATGGTTGCGTCCGTAACTTTATCTAAAATATTTAAGATGTGGACGTGCGGAGAATTTTTGTTCTAGGCAAAACATAATAATATCAGTTAAAGCAGACAATTTCTTTCAGTATCCTTTTTTTAACTAGTTTCAATACAATTAATTCAAATTATTTAAGTTTGTTGCATAAGCCTTTCGTTGAAAACCGGACTAATTAGAAAATACAATCAAATTAATTAGCTTAAGATGATTGTATTTTTAAAGGAGTTTTTAAGCGAACTTATAATCCAAAAGACACCCAATCGAAATTAGATAGATGATTATCGAAAACGTATTAATTTGATAACACGTGCTTTAATCGCACAGACCGATTTGCACTCTATAAGTTCGAGAGGGGCATCGTCGCAGAAATTTATAACTTTTGGCATTAAAAGAAAGCACAAGTTGCTGCTGCTCTAATTGCAGCCCTCCACACTCTATCAAATCAGGCCATTAAAACAACAAAAAGCGCAAGGGTGATGTTATCACACTAACGTGTAAAAAAGCTTTTCTGTAACTAAACTGTTTATAAGCACTGCCTGAAGCAGAACATTTGAAAATTACTGCCAAAGCAAACAGCAGAAAACGCCATCTCCCTCTTGTTCCGCTACAAAGAAAGTTTTCAACTTAGCATACCCTCCAGAAAACTTCTTAATTTATTGAACTCTTTGATGATCATGAGTTTCTATATTAATATTATCTTTTTTAGAGCTGCCAAACTTCATATTTTTATAGATAAATGAATTTGCCACATTAACTACGGGTGCAAAATAAAATGTTAAGAAATAAAAAAGGAAAAATTAACTTGGTTACATCAGCGTAAACTGTGTTACAGTGATGTCAGATAAGAGTCCATCTTTCTTAATATGCATTTTCAACAATACACCAAATTTGGACCATAGTCAGTCAATTGAAATCAATACAACCGTCTTTAAACCAAATTAATCAGAAATTACTATAAGCTCTTATGAACCGGTTATTATAAAGATGTGCATTTTAAAAAAATTTTACAGAACGATTCTTATTCTGGAATCTAATAATATTTTACCTGATCAGTAACTATGTATCATTAACAAACCTCCAAACAATGCTACTCAATTATTTCAATTAACTATGCTTATTTAAAATTGACCTTTTTATGTTAAAGTCAACAATAAAATTTCTAATATAGATAGAACTGAGGCTGACGTTTTTCAGGAAAATCTTTTAAGCGCAATATTTCATACGTGAAAATTATTGAAGTCTTCTAATATTTTAAGTACACTCTGTCTAAATAACATAAGAGTAGAAATACAATGACATGTTGGGAAGGTTTCTGGAAAAAAATGAAATGTGATATAAACGAATTAAAATCTAGCTAGAAAGACATAAATGCTAGGATAACCTATCCTCCTTAATGTTTCAACGAAATAAGATGATTAAAAAGTTCACATAAAGCATACCCCATTTGCCAACAAAAATTTGTATAATTTGTACCATATCAAAAGAATTTTGATTACAATTTAATTTAATAATTATGCAATTACTTTTCATATATAAATTGTTATATTTATATAAATTGCTATACTCTTGAACAACAATAATCTGCCAGAATGTGGCTACGACCGCGTCCTATAAGAATAGTAAGTGCAAATTTTACCATGGTATATACGAGCAACCTGCGACTTTTTTAAAACGCAAAGTATTATAGTATCGGATATCAATTAACTTCCGCTAGTTAAAGAAAACGCTCATCACATATATTTTTAATGTCATTGGAACATTAAGGAGTCGATTGAATTATTCCTTAAAAGGCTTAATATAATGGAGCTTAAGATACTTCTAAATAATCTGTGTTTACTTGTTTAGCCTTAATTGTCAAAGATTAATTTTTTAATAAAACTGACATTCAGAATACCCATCATCACATGTTATATCCAAGGGAAACAAGATCTATTTGAAATTAATAGAATATTCTTATGTTATATTTCGAATTATGTTCGGTAAAGAAGAATTTACAAATTCATGTATTCCAGTTGTTCAGAAAAATGTTGAGTATCGAAAAGTTCGCACCAAAAAACAAAACTTTACCTTTACAACGCGAAAGTTGCGCTATAAAAAAAATATTAACACGGTTTGCTGTACATCTCTATATGTGTAGATGTCATAATGAAAACTATATAGACGTGTAGTACAAATAGGCAAAACTTTGTGGTTAAAAAAACTGTGTACGTGACGATTAAGAATATTTATTTGTTTTTTCTCATTTTTCCTTTTGTTTTCTTATGTAGGTAACGAAATTATTGTGAAAACCGAGGAGGAGAAATTGGAAAACGAAAACTACGTTATATATACGTTACACATACGTATATATACGAATCAATAATTCAAAATAGACGAAGCCAAATATAAGTGGCTAAGTCCCATCCAATAGCTTTAACATACGAAATATTCGAAAAAAGCGCCATTTCTTTGCCCAAGTTTTTGTGAAAAAAAATTAATATTGCAAATATTCAAAATCTGTCCAGAATTATAAACGAACAAAAACGAAAACGTCGCCAATGGCTATTGAACCACATTAAACACAAGAAAAACATTTCACTACACATAAATTATAGAGAAAAAATTATTACTTTACTCTAATTGCCCTTTAAATCTAACCAATGGGAATGGCTGAGGACTTCGCTCCAAGCTTTGTCAAGAAACCGCAGTTACGTCAGGAAGACGACGGAAATCGGTTAATATTCGAATGTCAATTACTCGCATCACCGCAACCATTAATTGAATGGTATCGTAGCGATAATCTTTTAGTGGAAAATGAACGCATCATACTTAGAATCAAACCAATCGGAGACAACAAATTTCTTGTAGTATTAGAACTGGATGATGTTATTGAAACAGATGCTGGTCTCTATAAAGTGAGAGCTAAAAATAAATCCGGTGAAGTGTCGGCTTCAATTAATTTAAATTTTGCACGTAAGTCTTACATTAGATAGAAATTCGAAGTTTATGAATAGTTAAAGTGCATAAAAACCATGATTACAAACTTGGATTTGCAAGCTCTAGAAATAAATTAAAATGTGAAAATTTTAAATGTAATAAATATAAAAGCGAATCTTGAATATACCACCAAAATCGAGCATATTTAACCTTTTTCCTTTATATCAAATCTAAGACTTTTAAAGTCTTTCAAGCTGCAATTGAAAAAACAGCAAATTATTCGGAGTGGCATATGGCCGCTCATTTAAATCCTCTTTTTTTCAAGGTCTATTATACACAACGCATAAAGCCAGCTGGACGTAATATTCGATTCAAGTTGATTGCGTATATTTAAAACACACATTTCACTAAGCTTAACAGACTGTTGAAGTTTGTTACAAACAGTCTTAATTATTTCAAGCAAATTGGTGATGATTCAAATCATACTTACCTATGCTTCTTGAAAACTTCTGCGCAATCAACGGACGCATTAAAAGCTTAAACAAGTAACAAAAACAAGATTAAAGATTACGGTGGTGAATATGCAAGGTTTGCCTTAACATCAACCTAGTTTTCTTAATTGGTTACTTTTTTTTATTTTTTATATCAGCTGCCGATGAAACTAAAGAAAAGTAAGCAAAATAATCATTGTTTTTCTTATTATTAGAAGAGTTTTGACGTAATATGTTACGGCAATGGCAATTATTTATGATGCTTTACATATTAGATTACCGTATTTATCTTATTTGTAACCATATTTGAACCATATTTGTTCCTGCTTATAGTTTTTGTTTATTTTTTAACGTATATTAATTTAAGCTTTCATTTGCAATTTTTTATTTGCATTTAATGCACACACTTTTATACAACGCAGAAGAAAAGTTTTATACAGGCGAAGAATCGAGGTAAGTTTTTAAGTAGGCAAATCAGAATGCTATGATTGACACTTTCATGTGCTTGCCTTCAGATGTCGAATATATAGTTGTGATAAACTTCTTAATGAAACTCAAAAATAATTATTTGGAGTTATTAAATAGATAAATAATTACCTAACTTTGTATTGAGCATGCAATACTTTCCGTTCGCAGACAAGTAAAGCAAATCAAATTATCCCACAACTTTTTTTTTCATAACTTATGACCCGTACATAACCGTTAATTAATATTCAATTTTTCCAAAAGTACCTAAACTTTCTTATCTTTTATCCTTCTACTCTTTAAACTTCTTTGTTCTTCTTTCTAAATGCAACGAAAGGATTTTGATTTTTCATAAGTGCATTAATAGCCAATCCTCATTAAGTATTTCAAAGTAATGTAATTAGAAGCTTATAAGGGTTAATTCGAATGTCGAAGTGCACAAGGCCACCAATTGGTAACGCACGGCTATATACTTTATTATATGTATATATAGTATGTCCAAACTCCAATTCTAGTTTACTAAATGAAGTACAGAGAACAGTGACCAATAGCGTTCTACGAAACAAAGGACAGCAGTTTATCGTGCACGCGTTCAAAAGCGAAGGGGAAAGATTGCCGAGGCGAACGACAATATTTGCTAGTTAAACGAACAAAAGTTATGATATTTGAGAAACGAATGACCAATGCGCATATATGTCAAAAGCAAATACTAACAGCATTCGTACGTATATATGTAAGCGAGAAAGAGACAATGCACGAATACCTTCAACTACCTTAAAACTAGTTAACATTAACGTTGTGTTTGGATGGCCACAAATGGTTGGCATGGACAATAGTGCCGCGAACGTAGGAAATATTCGAAAAATCGCAAGAAGCAAAATGATAACCTTATATTACCATTTAACAAAAAAATAAAAATTTATGGTTTGTAATACTCGAACAACATACTATAGCAGCTTATAATATCTTTGAGTGCGTCTAGATGCAAAATATCCTTTGCGGAACGGTATTCGCTCAGCGAACTGGTCTGTTGAATGTCGAAAAGACCTTTGAACATTTAGCACAGTATGGTAAGCATTTGGATAATATGGTTCGATTTTCTGTGCGTTACGGCATCAGCAATACTAAAGGCATTTACATACGCCAAAGGTTCTTGAAAAAACCGGCGCTTTTTTGGATCTTAACTATTGTATGCGTTCTTTGGTAGTTAAAGTGGATCCTCCGGGTTTGTCTTCCGGTGTGCACACCGCTGTTGTACAAGCTTTTGATACGGATTGCGTAGGAAAGGGTTCATTATTTGAAATACCCGTAACGATTGTGCAGCCACATGTCATTGATTACGAGGAAACATGTCTTTATGAACTCATATCCCATACAACGGATGGCAGCTTTGAATTTCAACCGAGCACTATAAAACGAGACTTTATTTTGGTGCCACCACGAGCCACATGGGCAGTCTTACGTATGCGTTCAACCGATAAAATTTGTGGCAAGGATGTTGGAAAATTCTTTGTGTTCACCATACAATTGTTACCGAAGTCTTCGTGCTGTGTTCTGGAAACTATGAAGCTGTTGACTTTCAATTCAGAAAATGAAACAACATTGGCATTCAAGTGTCAGCAAAACAATGTCATTGAATTGTGTATAGAAAAATATTGGTCAAACTTTGGAAGTATACACCTCAAGTACAGTTTGGAGTTTCATGGCATCCAGGCAACCAATCCGAATGCATATGTTATGCATTCTGGTCGTGAAGTAAACAGAATTGAAATTAGCTCTTTGAGTCATTTGGAAATTCAACCTCAAATCCAATTAAAAACTGCAGCGGTTGTCTTGAAAGCGAATGAATCGAAAATAACGCGCTTAAGTGCAACACGGGACGTTATATCAGAAGGCCGACAAATTTATCAGAATTTATTCTGTTTTACTCTTAACGTCGCAAAATCCATGGAAACAGCTGTTTACGCTCCTCTCTTTAATCCCGTTCTCTATGAATCTGAATTTGAGTCACAGCTGTGGATGATATTGATTGCTTGCGATGATGCCAATCCACATACCTTTTATACGAAACTCGAGAAAGGTGAATACACGATACGTCTGCAGATACGCCATGAAAAACGTGAGGCTTTGTAAAAAGGTCACGAAAGTAATATGGTTTCTTTATATAAATTGGCAACTCCATTTAATTCGGATTTCACGCCGAATATCATCAATGCGTTATTAGCGGTCAGAAATTTACGGCGTCTTTGATAAATCGCAACGTTCCAAAGGTTTTGTACTTGGGACCTTTGACTCAAGAAAAGCTAACAAAGGCCAATTTGCCTAACAATTGCTCTTGGTTAGCTGGTACTATACCTTTGCCTAAGGATGAATTTGGCAAACGTATCGATGTACACCAATGTTACTATATTCTTAATCCATCGGAAGGCAGCAAGAAGAACGGTGGTAATCGTTCAAGTAGCGCCGTTGCGAATGTTGGTATTACTGGCAAAATAAAAGTTTCTAATATTAATACCTCCTCAGCTGTAGCTATTGCTATGGCTAATGTACTAGCTTCGGCGGGGGATAGTGCTTCAACTCTTGCTCCCACAGATTCTAACAACAAACTTAGTGTAGACGAATATTCCGAGAGTCTCCGAGATTTCTAATGCTCTATGTTACCTAAATTGGATTACGACAAGGCCGAAAAAATCTACGATGAAATAATGCCAACACATCCAAAACATTTGTCTGCTCATTTACTGCTCATACAAAGTATTGAATCAACTGAAATGAAAGTTCAATATCCTTCCACGTTTGTCAAGTCATTAAAAGAGAACAACAAAGGCAACAATACTTTTAATTGCACAACTGATGGTGCTACCGCATCAACTGGTACAGATACCGCCTCTAGCACTTCGCCCTCTCCTGCTGCCGATGATAAAAACAAAAGGATGATAACCAAAAATTGCGAAATTTCGCAGCAGCAGTTGTGCGTTTAGCTGACCATGTCATTAAAGTACCGATAAGGACGCACTGTTAGCTTTTTATAGTCTTAAAAGCGATACACGTCCTGACGCTGCTAAGATTAAGATTAAATCCTTTACGGAACATTAATTAATCATCCCAAAAATCGTTTTTTATTGTACCCATTTTCTACTACAACTAAATTATATTATGTGGTGGGCAAAATATATATTTGTACAAATTTTATATTTTCATGTAAGCCCAAGAGGTATATTCATTGTTACTAAAATCGTACATATTGATTAGTTTATGCTTATAGCACATTGTAGGAAACAGTTTTTATGTTAATGGGGAGTACAGTAAAGTAACTAGTAGCCTTTATTTGTATAATATTTGCATTATCCTACATTGATTCATATGAAGTGACCAAGATCTATATTGCGCAACGCAATAAAATCAAAGACTTAAATGTTTAGCATACACACGTTTGCTAGAAGAAAGACTAAGCCTATTTTATTTCACATTCAGAATATAACGATCAGTGACTGAGAAAATAAAATGACATGCCTGTGTTCCTGTTTATTTAGCAATGGCAAAGTCTTGCGATAAATCTTAAAAAATGTTTCACTGATCATTTGTAAAAGTTATAAACACGAAAATTAAACTTAAGAACAAAGTTCATAACTAAATAAACAAATAGGAGAAAATAAAAAATGAAAAAAAACCGCGTACACATCTAGCCCGGAGCCACACAAACATATAAAATTTTACTGATGTGAAGTTAGCCCACTGTACCTAGCTCACATTTTAGCGAAGACAAAAATGCGGGCTATCTTCACTTCAGTAGAATTTTTGCAATCGGGAGTACAAAACGTCTTGTTTTTATTTGCGAATCATATGAAGCATAACTAAAATTACGTTCAAATACGACATCGGCGTAGTGTAAAGTAAAGAAAATTGATTCGATATTATTTAAAAAAGTGCGATATGGAGATTAGATTATATGATATCTCTTTGATTTTCGCGAAGGGGCTTAAGCGCATTACTTAGCATATAATTAATTATATTCACAAAACTTTTCATATTCTTAAATTTTTGCTTGTAAAATATTAACGAATTCAGTGCTGCCGATAGATATTCATTTTTTTCAAAAAGAGTAGATTTCTTATGCTCATTTCACAATATTTTGCTTATCCAAACAATAGTTGTAACCAACCATTTGCCATTGATTTGTAAGTATAAGCTTCTAAATTGTAATTATTAATACTTCAGTCCCAACTTAACAAGATATTTCATAAGCTTTTTGGGGTTGTAGTCTGAAAAGTTTATATCACAAATCCTGAGGTTGTTTCTTTTGTCGCAATCATAATAATATGCAAGTAAAGTTTTTTCTCTAGTAGCAACATTTATTTTTAAAACATTTATTTCATATTAATTGAGCTGTATTTTAAATGGATATATATATGTATAAATTATTATTTTTTTGGAAAATAATCACTCACGCTATTTATAAATAATTCTATATAAATTATAATACATGCATTTAATGCCTTTACGATCATGAGCTCCTTTGAATCTTGTACCCACCACCCAAACTTTCAATACATTAACTTTCCTTTGTGTGCACGTCAAATTGCCTACCAGAGTTAAGAGTAATACTCTTCGCCCGTCTGGTTTTCTGTAACTGGTTTTCTCAAAATCATAAGTACCAATGCAAGAGCTTGAAATTTAGCATGTACATTTTTCTAGTTAAATTTCCCGACTTAGGCTTGCATATTGCTCAAGTGTGGCTATATAATACCGAAGCTGAAAAAAATAAAAAGACTCAAAACTCGAGAATTTTATTGTATTCACCTGCAAATCTCCAGCGTCTGCATTGCTAAAGTCCGAAAGCCCGGTCCGAAATTGATATGCAAACTTATACGTTCACGCATAAAAGACAGTTCCTAATATGTATATGTATGTATGTATGTATTATTATTATTATTATTATTATTATTAATTTCGCCAGAGAAATAAATCCTAAGACTAAACTCTTAAAAGCACTAGCATCTAAGGCTATCGGCTTTTATTAAAAACTCTACCGCACTTGAGATTCGAACCCACGACCATTGACTTGCTAGTCGAGATTCCTCGCCCTCGGCTACTCAGGCGGATATATGTATGTAACGTATATATATATATACATACATACATTCTCTCTAGGTGTTAGATTTTCAATATTCGCCTAAGGCGAAGGTTTCTGTTCCTAATGCTAACGTGTATATATGCATATGTAAGCATGCATGTACGTATGTTTTTATGTCTGTATGCACGAATGTGTATGTTATATGTTATATATATATATATATATATATATATATATATATGTTTAAAAAAATTTTTTCTATTTGTCAATTATATAGACAACATGATGGTTTCGCGCCAACGTTTGACAAAAAGCCCTCAATTCGACAAGAGGATGATGGTAAACGTTTGCTTTTTGAATGTCGCTTAACGGCCGATCCGGCACCAGATATCATCTGGTTTCACAATGGAACGAAAATTAAAGACTCTTTGCGTCATAAAGTAAGTACATAATATATAGCTGTTGTAGATTCTAATTCTTCCGATCTAATACACTAATTTTAAAACATTTATTAATAAATTCCAATGTTTCCGAGGTCGGGTTTAATAAAAAAAAAAATCTGTAACAATGTTTATGCAAATATAGAATATTCATAACAAACTATACAATATCCAATATGTTTTTATCCAAATACAGCTCAGTGTACGTCTTCTGATGCGAGACTAACGCTTGAGTGCTTTACATATAAATAAGGTCATCCGTTTCGTAGTCCCGAAACTAGAGTAAATAAACTACATATCTAATTGAGGTTTGGATGAAATTTTTTTTCAATATGTTGCGTGCACTTTGCCATGCGTGCGTTTGGCTTCAACATCAATTTATTGGGAGAAAGTGCAATCTTCTTAAAATGCCTACGCAAGCGCGCCACAAGCGTCATGCGATATAACTTTGCTGGACTTTTTATTTGGAGTTTATGTTAGAACATTGGCTTACTCCAATAAACTTTGAACTCTTATTGACCTTATTCACCAAGAGATTTATATGGAAATGCTTTAATAATTGGTGTGCCAGTTTTGAAAAAAATGTTATAATATTAGATGTAATTCGATTTTGCATTTTGGGATGCCGATGAACGAACTATATTAAAGTTCTTTGTAAAAGTTAACCAAAATGTCGTAGTAATGTCAACGTAGTGATATGTATGGACCTAACTCTTAATACAACCGGAATAAAAGATCGCTTATTACCACTGGATGCTTGAGATAATTTATTGAGATTTTGCTTCGCCATGATATTGCTTTAAATTACTGCTATAACAAGTTGCTTTCCAGCAAGAAAGATTTTTCGGAATTGCCTCGAAATACTCCACAGGTTACCTTAATATCGCAAGTGCAATAATTAAAGCTGCTCAAAGCAAAGGTGTAAGAATAATAGAATCGCTAGCTAAGTTCCGAGTCGATTTAAAAACTTCTGATCAGCGCCTAACCTTTTGGACCAGGCTGATACTCCACGATTTTATCAAAACTTGATATTGTCATATCTCATACAATAAGTTTAGTTCAAACCGCGTTGTATGGAAACCATGTTGTATGAAACTGAGAATTACTTCAGCTTAAAAAATGCGTTCAGCGGAAGCCACATTAAAAGAAGAGTAGATTTAAGGCAAGTCAGATTAATTTACACTGCGTTATACAAAAATCTTTCACAAATTAAGTGAATCCATATGTTACGCGTTATATAGAAACACAACAAATAAGTAATAAATTAGAGGAAATCAATGGTTTATTGATTGCTCAGTTTCACGGAAATTTCCTTATAAATTAAATTGGGAATAATTCATGAATATAAACAAATTTTAAAAGCCATTCGAGTTGTTGGAATGTTCTTAAATGAAAAACACGTTGCAACGAGGTTGGTTGCAGCTATCCCAATTTGCGCTCTGCCTAAGGCGAAAGGAAACTCTTAATATCGATCAAGATGCGTCTTTCAATAAGGCAGCACCTGCGAACGCAGCCCCTCGAAAATCTTGCTGCGCTTTTTGCGACGACATCAAAAGAACGTATTTGTAAAATAAGTGAAAATATAATAGTCGGGCTGGCCCAACGTAAATACCGTACACCATATTGTCGAACACTATTCTTACATTTAACGTAGAACACAAAACTTATACCTTGTTTTTATATGAATGTACTATCAGAGAACTGTATATTAAAACTTAGCCTTCTTTGCAAATGGGTGTGCGCAAAAGGTTTAAGAACTAAGGTAGGTGTTCCAAATTCAGTAAAGCTAATTTTCATATCAAATGAGTATTATGGATCAGTTTTCATTTTAGAATATTAAAAGTTAGACATTTTTGTCTCAAAAAACAAAAATTTTCCTAAAAATCGTTGTATGTAGTAGGATGCAAAAATAGGCGTAGGTGGTCCAAATTTTGTAGAGTTCATTTTTGTATCAAATCACTATTATGGATCAATTTTCATTATAATATATTAAAATTCAGACTTTTCTGCCCTATAAAATATCAATTTTCGTGAAAACACTTACATAGGTAGGACTCAAAATCAAAGGCAGAGATGGCCCAACAGTTAATTTTTTTATCTTAAATTACTTTTATGATCTGATTTTGATCATGAAGTTTTAGGTTTTTTAGAATTTATATGGGGGTCGTTTCCAAGCATTGACGCATCCGGTAAAAGAGACCCACACCAATTTAGAATACCGAAGTACTTGTACTTAGCCACTTTTGCCGAGAAATTTTGAAAATTGAATTTTTTTCCATATAACGACTTTTTAAAATAGAGCGTTATGTCGGAAGTGGTCGAAAAAGTGAATACATCTGTACCATTTTCAATAGCGTTCCTCCTTAGGTAAAAGCGCGTCAGTATACCAGACATCAGAGGGACGGACGGACAAAAAGGCTTATATAAATAATAAATATAATAAAAGGTGGGTCTATCTTAAGCCCTTCTAGGTGTTTCATATGTCTGTACAAACTTAATAGACCCTCTACAAGTGGTATAGGGCACAAGAAGTATAACACAACGTAGAAGAAAGTTCGTAGGCCTGCAAAATAAGGCTTGAGTCATAAAGAGGGGAAAAATTAAAGCTCGTATATCAAAATCTACATAAACGAAACCAAAAAAAATTCATATTGCCAGCAAATAATATTACCAAATAAACAATTTAATAACAATACAACCAAAAGGAATTAGGAAGATGATAAAGAAGAAATGAAAACTTACGTTGGAGTGCCAAGTCCAAAAATGAACCAAGATTTTGCAATTCAAAAGCTAATTTCTAAGGCGAAAACACTGAAAACTGAAAAGAGTATGTCGAGTAAAAATGTTTGCAACAATTCTGGGGCTAATAACACCAACGAAATTTGCGAGTGGAGTTTATACATATTTTCCTAAATTTCTTTTCAAATAACTTTGCAAAAACTGTTAAGAAAGCCTTCCACTCAAAATCATTATCAAAAATATAAAAAAAGTTTTTGTTCTAGAAAATGTGATGTCATTATTTTACGTAAATTTAACATTTAATTATTATAATGATTTCATTCTCTCTGTAGCTGCGTATCGACAAAGATATCCATCCTACACATTTATATTTTTGTACGCTCGAAATTACAAATGTCACGGTGGAGGACGCCGGTAAATACCGAGTTGCTGCCCAAAATGTAAACGGCGAAACAAATGCGACTATTTGCTTAAATTTCTCAGGTAAGTTCATAAGTTTTCTAAAATACATGCTTACGTAAAAATGATGCAAACGTTGCATATCGTATAGCTTAAACTAAACATTTTCCTAACTGTTATATAAACTTTTATCACCATCCATATAAACATGTCAAATGTTCTAATCGTATTTCTTCTGTATATGCCAGATTACAGTAAGACTTAAAAATAAATATCGAAATTTATAAATTGTTTCTGCTCAACTTCAAATTTGTTCCATAATTTTGGTTACGAGTATTTTAAAAGTAAAAACACATTACAATAATGCAAAATAAAGAAGCACAGTAATCATTACGTCCTTATTCTTTATTATGTTACATCCTCTATCTACACTATTAAAATATATGCTCGTTTTTTCAAATTAGCGAATGAATTAGTTATAGTATCTAAATATTAAGTATAACCATTTTCAACTGCTGTGAAAAATGACTATGATCAGTCAACAAGCAAGCCGGTATATGATTCCCGATATCGAGCAAACTAGATACCTGCAAATTATGGACACAATGGAGCGAGTAGAGGGTATACAAACGCCCATAAAGTGCCTATTCCTCTTACTATCAACTTACTGCAAATATTTCATATAACAACTTAAAATATTAAAACAAGAACATGATAGTCAGGCAACGCCTACTATTAAATACACTACACCAATACGCCTAGTGCAGTTATTCACTCGTTTCAGTAATAATAAATCCATAAGTACACATTATTTTCATACAAAGCCGTAAAGTTCATCAAAGCCCCTTTATTGAAAGGTTAGATTTTCTCTCTATATAAGAGTTTGCCATTCGTGAAATATGGTGCCTATATATGGTGCGTTCACATCATCTATGATGCAAATTCCCAACAGGGAATTTTTTCGGTGAAACGCTATCATGAATCATCATCCTAAAATATTAAAAATTAAGCTTTTTCGAAGCGCTTACTACTCATGAGATATCTTATATCTGGGGGGAGCCTAGAAATAGACCTGTATCATTCAAATTAGCACCACTTAATTTTCTTTTATAATTACTATCGTGAACAAGTTTTCATCACAAAAAATTAACAATTAGATCTTTTTGGCTTATAAGAGTGTACACTTTATGAGAATCTCTATATGCGAAAAATAGACATGGTCCAAACTCGATTAGGTGGATTTCTTTGTCGTCAATTTTTTTTTTTGTTTCTTATGAGTCAATTTTGACCATGAAATATTGGATATTGTTTACTATATAACGCTTCAGTTTCCGTAGGAAAGGTTATGTAAGAGGGGGTTCAAAAAGTTTCCCCAGCCAGTACAAAGTATTCACACCAATTTGTAGTGCCGAAATACTATTACTTATCTACTTTTGCCGAGAAATTTCGAAAATTGCAATTTTTTCCATATACCGACTTTCTAAAATAAGGCGTGCTACGGGTCGAAAAAGCGGACCAATCCGAATCATTTTTAACAGCGTTCGTTGTTGGGCTAAAATGCGTCTGTGTACCAAATTCCATCAAAATATTGCAAAACTTTACGACCTGAATCTTCATCACAAAAACACATGAGCAGACGGACAGACAGGCGTAGATCGATTTAGACAATGATTCTGAATCGGCCGGAATAATGAATGGTGGATTTATCTTAGGGGCGTCTGAGTGTTACATACATCTTTATAGCTCTGTCAAAGAAAGGACGGGTCACCATTTAAGAAGGCGAACTTAACTCTTTGTTTCCCAATTAACTAAAATAACTTGCACACAATTGTACAACAGAAGCATTTACAGCTTACACATATGGTTACTTTCTTAATTTTTTTTTATTCGTTTCTGTTCATCTCTTATATGATTTTTAAAAATTGTTTTCCTTAAGTACTTTTTGAACGCATACACAATCAGTATATATGAGAACGTTATATTCATATTGGGATGAATCTCCATTTTCATCTCAAACCAATACGTAAGAAATCTGCAATGTTTTGCTAATTGTAGTCGTGCAAGATGCGCGACGAAAACCCTGTGGAATATTTTTATATCTTTCAAGTCAATATCTGTTATATATTACAAAAAAAGGCTTTTGCTTATTGTGGGCATATTTATGAGCTGATCTTTAAGCTAAGTGAATTGTTTTTTTGTTCTTTGCATTTTTTGCGACCGTCTACAACAGATAGTTTGCTAACGTGTGTAAAAAGCTTTTTTAACAGATTGGTAAGATACTAATGACGACTTTATATATTTTGCTAAACTATACATAAAAATATTTAAAATTTGTCAAATTGCAGGAATATATGAAAGTAAAGTGTTCTGAAGTGAGTGACAAATATCACCGAAACATTGGAAAACTCCATAAGTACAAATTTTAATTATTTAAAAATTTTGAAAACGGCTGACGCACACGGGGGTATATATACAATTCGATGTTGAGCATAATCTCATTCCGAATATAATTACTTTGCTGCTTTGCGGAATTTTTCTTTTCTTAAAAAATTTGGCTTTAATAAATGTTTTTTGTTGTTCAAGTCCTACATTTTGTAAGTTGGCAAAGTATTCGTGCTGTATTATGGTAAGGTATGTGAATGGGCCGAGCTCTTACTCAGTAACATGCAAGTTTGATATATAACTTACTAGAATATACACAAATCGCATTTTTAGTCTACTTAAGCCTGTCGTCGACTCTGAACTTCTTTATACGAATGTAATGTCTTGTGAAATATAATCTCGGAAAGTCCTATAGGACCATATGTGAAAAGCATCAGCTTTCTATTCTAATTTTTTGACTATTAAAATTTCTTAAGCGGACACTTACTTGGTGAAATTTTATTATGCATTTTTCATGTGATTTAATTATATATGTTCTAAGCGGATCGATATATTTATTAACAAAACGAACACCAACATTATTACTGGAAAACGGAAAAATATACTTATCAGGATGTTTTAAATGTCCCTTGTATGAATGCCCTAAATGAGCCAACTAATTATATCAGTAAAACATTATACTAGGACCTTTCGATAACTTTGGCAATTTTTACACATTAAAAAAAGGCATTTATTGCGAAAAATTGGTACAATATATGTGCAGTTCGAGATCTGTCTATACAACCAACCACCTTCAAATTTCAAAGGAACATTGGAATTTTTGCATTGAAAAATAGATCAAACAAATCAAAAGGCACTCCTAGCATAAGCTGAAAACAACCTTGCTTTCTGAGTTTTTTTCTTACTACTCACATACTCCAAAAGACACAATAAAAATGTTGACGTTTTCTGCACAAAAATAGGCTCCGACACCCCCATCAGTGCATCAAAAATTAGTTCGTTCGCATTTCTTTTTAGGATCCAAGTGATGGGTATAACGAATTCGGTCACAACCGAATAAAATTTTCTTACTGGTTTTTTTATTCATTTGATCAAAATTATTTAGTTGTTTATTAAACAAAAATCGGGTTTTCTCTTCATTATTTGTACGTATTTTTGAAGAAACGGTATATTTTTTTATAGCGAAGCCAACTTAGGAATTCTAGTTCCGTACAACTTCTGTTTCGTTTTTATGTCTTCCTTTATCCGAATTCTTTACAGAGCACGAATGCCACGCGACAACTAAATAAACAACAAGGTACCTAAATTGAGAAAAAGACAAATCATGAACAAAAAGCACAGCAAAGCAATTTATCGTCTATTGATAGTTTAACAGTAAATTTACGACACCTATCAATTTGACGTGTGTTTGATCTTCAACTTTTCTACATAAGGCAGTAGATAGCTTCACATGTTAGGTTCAGGTTTTTAATGATATAATCCAGCAGATGTGTGTGCACTCTTTTTTACTGGAACATCCTCCTACTGCGTGGAACACGATCATTCTAAGCATTCACCAGTTGTTAGCGTAAGGTCGTGCTATGTTATTTTACAAATTCGAAATTTTATTTTGTTACAACATATAATTCGACATATGACCATTAGTTCACGTTCTTAGGTAACATCTATGAATATAGTTTATAATATCGTTTGCATATTTAGCACACTTTCTTTGTGAAGAAAAGACATGTACAATTTTATTTTTTTGTTTTTAATTTTTACTAGTTTGTTAGGGAATGAGTGCGTGTATAAATATGAAAAATTTATGAATAATGTAAATTGTAAAAATACTGACATTCTATATTTAGGGGATGAAACTCCTCTACCTGAAAATGGCGTTAAGGCTACCTTTGTAGAGCGTCCAATCATTGTACAAGAGGATGAAAATGTACGAATTGAATGCACGTGCGTAGGAGATCCAAAACCTTTATTGACATGGTAAACACAACAACCAAATAAAACTTGTATACATGCATATGCAAATTTTGGAAAATATTTTTAAAATAAAAATAGGAAAGCAATGGAAGTGCTTAAGCTTAATTTAAAAATAAACAAAAAAATTAGTGCGTCTCAAACGGGGCTCCTGTGTATTCAGAGTGTTTTAATGATGCAATCAACCCTAGTTTACATATTGACATAATTAGCAGCTATAAAAAATTTATCAAACAATCAAATGCTAAAGGTTGTAACTAATAATGTTACAAAAAATAATCCTTTTTTTAACATAAGCATAATTTGATTGCTGTTTCAGCAGTAAGACTCCATTATAAATAGCAGTTTGGTTGAACTCAAAATTGAAGCACGACATAAAAGACGCCTGCATTTTCAATAATAAACGAACTTTGGGTTCTATGCAAGGGAGTAGAATTATGATATTCCTTGGTTAGTCCGTATTGCAGGCGTATTTCTGAATCGATATAAATAATAGTTCGTGCAAGCAACTATTTTAAGAGTTTTGGTTTTACTCCTCTAAAGGCAAATTCCTAAAATATTTGCAGACTTATATGAAGGAAGGTTACTGTATGAAGGAAGCTACAGTGCTCTTTTCCGTTTTTTTTGCGTCTGAATCTGCCTGTTTTTGTGTGTTTATAGCAAAATACGTAGCAAGAACATAAAAGCTGTGTTATTTTGATTTAAACGGTTTTCAAAACAATATCAAATCGTAGAGCTTTTCACAGATTAAGAAAAGTTTCACCATGCATTTCGAGTACTTTTCAATCCCAATTTTTTATATGTAAATATTGTTTAAAACTAATGATTATTAATAGTATTGAGCGTGGCGCTATAATTTTGTAGTTACATTGGCCGTTTATATATTGCATTAGCGAGTAAATGAAACTCAACACTCAACTATTGTGTGTTATCACTCGCTGCTAGTCATTTTCCTGCACTTAAAATTAAAAAAATGATATTGTTCCCAAAGAAAGTAGAGCAATTTAGTATAAATACAGTTCGACCAAAAGCATTTAAATATGCTATGGTTAAAGACATCAAAATGAGATATTCTCTTTTGTAAACAATAAAATAATGTTGAAGTTTTATTAAATTTTTATCCACATATAAATGAACGAAAAGTCCAAATTCAAAATTTGCATATGTATATTCACGATTCAAGAGTTTAAGTGTCCTATATTTGACACATCAGAAAGCGTTACAAATGCAAAGGAATGAAATGAACAAAGATATTGTATGGGAACGAAGGTTTTTAATTAAATGTCATCGGGTCGATAAAGCTTAATAAAGTAAAATTTCCTCTGAAGAATATTTTCTTGTAGACGGTATCAGAAAAGCGTACGGAAATCTTCTTCTGCCGGTTAATATGATTAAGCCGCATCACGTCCATTTCCAAAACTGTTTTTTGTACAGAGCGGTTTTGAAAAGATCAATTTTATCTAAAAATTATATATGATTTATCCAACTATATCTCTACCGTCTTAATATTTAAAAGGCACTAATATTTTAAAAGGCATGAACAAAGGGTAAACGAATGAGAAAGTCTAAATGGAATATGGATTTTAGCAACATCTTTTCTGAAATCATTAAAATGGATATCTTGGTATTGTAAATCAGATAAAAACTTAGGGGGTTTATGAGAACATAGGTAACTTTTGAATGCATAGTGCTGCTTTTTAAACCTAAGTCCCTTAAAAGATCACTTACATAAAGATTTAAAATTTTTTAACGCAATGAGCTATTGCTATGTGCTATATTTATTGTTGATTAAAATTTGGAAGGCTGTTATTTCTCAGCCTATATTTAGAAACAAAGTTAATTTAAGACTAAAACATTTTTATTGTAGTGAGAGCTTTCTCCCTCAAAAAGATCATATCCTTCTCGTCGTGACTAGTACCATGTGTATAAAAGAGAATACGACATAACATTGGTCGCCTTTTGATTTTATTTGAAATATGTGACGTCTTCATCAAGAAATGTGAAAGACGCATGCTATTTTAGTTGACCTATTCTCTGCTACATTATACATTACCGTACGACTTTTCGTTTTCTGTGTCAAGATATTATTTCACTTAGAAATCATTCGAACACAAAAAATTGAAAAATAAATATATCATTTCCATTTTTAACATTTCAATTATGGTAATAGTTAAACGATTCAATTAAAGTTACGGATTCATGTTTTACGGAACGATGTCAGCTTTAACACTTACCTGACATTTAACTTGAGCGTTTCTTAGAGAATGACACAGAAGGACTTGCCTTTTAAGTTTCTGTTAATAAACATGTCAGTAAAAATGTGTAGTCATAAGCCAGCCTTAACGTAAAATCCGAGGAGTGTGAATCGATGCGCTTTACATGAAAACGTATAAAAAACGAATATACAATGAAGACAGTAATAATACTCTCTTAACGTTTTCAAGTTGAAATATATATGTAAACATAGATCGATTTGCATTGTATTACGTGTTAAACGTTTGTTCTTAAGGTTTGGTAACAAGATAAACTTTTATACAATTTTATGACATTAAGTTTGCTTCCTCCCTTATTTCATGAAACCAGTTTTCTGCTGTAACGCCTGCTGTTCTGTCAAATATGGTACACTAATAATTGTTGTTATAAAGAAAATATTTCTGTGGTAATATCAAATTTCTATCAAAATTAACCAAAAGGTATCACGCTGATGAACAACTGAGTGCGAGTGGACGTTATAAAGTTTCTCTGCAGCATTCCGAAAAAAAACTTTACTACTTGGCTTGTCTTAATATAGTCAATGTGAAACCATCAGATAAAGGACTGTACACCGTTAAGGCTGTAAACCATCATGGTGAAAGTGTGGCTACTATAAACTTGAATTTCGATGATGACTCAAATAGAATTTCTGATGGCAAGGCTCCCCGTTTTCCGGTTAAGCCAAAAATATGCCAAAAGGATGACATGATTATTATAGAATGCCTTCTTGAAGCCAACCCAGCACCAGATATTATGTGGTACCACGCTGATCAATGCTTAGAAAATTCACCGCGCTTTAAAATGGAACGGAAAGGACGTGAAACAAAGGACTACTACATTTTGACACTTGCAATAATAGACCCGAAAAAGGACGATGGTGGTTATTATGTTTGCAGTGCTTCAAATGTATTCGGGGTATCAAACGCGAATATCGCATTAAACTTTGATGAAGGTATATGTATTACATTCTCTCTTTTAAAATGAAAAAAGAAAACACAATAAGTATTCTTGAACACACACAATGCAGAATTCTGTCAAAACTGCAAAGTCGTTTTTACTTTTGATATTGCTAATTTATTGTTAAGTACTGTGCATTTGAACGAAAATTATCTCTTTGCTTAGCAGCTATTTTCTCTTCCCCTCCCTCCTTCAGAAAAAATTTATCTTGAATTAGTAAAGATATTATAATTCAATAAAGTTAAAATTTTAAATATATTCGTATATATTATACAAAAAGCTCGACCAAAAACTTGCCGCGGGGAAAAGTGAAGCCATATTGGTGACTTATACAAGAGTTGTTCCAAGTTCCAAAAATAGAAGTTGATGAACGTAGTATCAAATTTACTTTCACTTTGAGATATCTTGGAGTGCAATTCGATACGAAACTAACGTTTGCAGGACATATTAAGAGGGATACAGATATAGCACTGGCAAATGCAACCACGCTGTACGTAATTATACGAAACAGGAACAAACCAAATCAACCAAGGTGAAAACTGATATGTAGCGTAGTCTATGCGCAAAAGATACACGCCGAACCAATCTGGGTGGAAAAATTACTGCAGAGTAACAATCACAGTTCCAACGTCAATGGCAGCAATGCTAGCATTAGTTACCCATTGAGCTGCGGCTCAAGGAGCAGCGATATATCCACTAAGCGAAGAAGGAAACGAAAACACTTGAAAAAGGTAATAGAGACCACAATCCTTAAGGGTCCACTTTGAGGTAATAAGAAAACTGTTCCACGATAGGATTTCACCCTAGTCTAAGGCATTAGTTGACAGTGTGCTGCCACTTTATCCAAGGAAAAACATACAGATAGGAAGATGGACAGAGATAAACAGAACGACATACCCATGCATACAAATAAACATACGAGCAAAAAATACAGCAATAGCAACAATGTCTATTGATATAGCAGCAGTAGCGCCGACGCTAGCAACAAGAACTACAAGTAAAATTAAAATAGATAAAGGCAAAATGGCCGGTAACAACAACTCATTCATCAAAAACACATAAGTGACACGAATACCACTGACTAGAACAAACCCAAATTCAACAAACCAAATTACAAACAAACCCAGTAGAGTGAAGCAGTCAGACGTACAGGTGTTGAGTAAAATGAAGTGCAAATTAGACGCTATAAGCACGAAACTTTCTAAAGCCAGAAATATATATACAAAACAATTTAAAATAACGTTCGCCAAGTTATGGTCAACAATTGGTAGAAAATAGAGCAGTCATAACTATAAGCTTTCTGAAAGTAGCAGCTGAGAACATATTACAGTGGCATCTGAAAACAGGATGAGAAATAAAACTCTGCATCATAATGCAGACGATGGCATTAGTGACATAGCAGAGCTACCACAAGGTTCCACCCCTGATTCTTCATGTAGAATCCTAAATATCACGGGCTACCCGATAGGAAATTTCTGAGAAATTAGTAGGTTACCAAGCTGACATACCCACCTAGTACTCGATTACTCTAATAGAGGTCGTTGCAAATGATACCCGAAGCCCGCTATGTGAGTAAGCCTCAGAAAAAAGTGAAATTGGTGACAAACAAAACATTGTTCCAAGCGCTGAAAATGCACGTTGATAGACACCGTATTGAATTTAACACTAAGCGTGAATATGTTGAATTGCAGTTAAACCAAATTGGCATTTGCGGAACATATAAAGAAAGTCGCAGAGAAAGCGTGGGCAACTGCACCTACTTTGTGCAAAATGACACCAAATGTGAGTAGACAATACACTTCAAGAAGCTAATATATTTGCAAAAGCAACAACATCTACTTACCTGGCTTATCATATATTTTTCCAAGCATTGGAATCTTTTTTGAGTACATATTAAAAGGCTGTATATGCAGATATATAATTTTGCATATGTGTACACATATGTATATATCCACAGCGTAGCATATGCGGAAACAATATACACCGCGTCCGTATGGGCACATCAGACCAAACATCTTCCCCGTAAGCTAGAAGCAATTCAAAGGCTTAGTTTTAACGTCAGGTGCATCAGTACTTGCAGGAATGTTATCAATCGAGTTGCCCCTGACATAGCACTTAAACATCCACAACGGGAAAGAAGATCAATCAAAGAAAGTAACATCGACATACGCAAAGTAAAAACAGCTGTTCTGTATAATTTGTACTAGTACTAGTAATAACGACGGGCAAAGAACGTACACCTACATCCTCATATTAAGTCTTGAACAATGAATGGGTGCGGAAATAAAGTTTTTATTATCTCAAGGTTTGAATAATCATAGAAACTTTTCTATTTAAACTCGCAAAACAATGTATGCGACCTATGTCAAAGCATAACCGACGACGAGGAGCGCACTGTTTTTGTATGTCTAACTTGGGCATCGTTGAGAAATATGCTTCCTCAAACCCTGGAGGTATATATTACAGCACTTGACCAACTAGTAGTAAGGTGGATCTGTACGGAAAATGGAAGACATACTACAGAATTAAGCCACCCGAGGGTAACTGCAATGCCATTCAAAGACAGGTGCGATAAAATGAGAATCAACGATGCATAAGCGCCTACAACACAGTAATGCAAAAGCTTTTGTGGGATGATTTTATCGAAACATCGTAGCGCCACTATTTGGCAGTGCAATTCCACTGCGCCTGAAAATAAAATTCTATGTATCTATGTACATAAAAAGTATATATATAGTTATGTATACATGTATATATATATATATACGTAAGTATTCATCTATATATAGGTGCAACACATCCGCATATATGCATATATAATACGTATACATTTATATATGTATATTTCGAAAAGTAAACTTAGACCTTCGAACAATTTTAATGTAAATTGATTTCAGAAAATTTTTCAGATCGAATGCATTAACACAAAATTAATCATTTTTATAAGACCGCACTCATTAGATAGGAAAGTCGTGCTACTTTTTTCCTGCACTAAATAACGTTTGTATAGTAATATTCAATTTTTTATTGCGTTCGTTTGTATTTTCGAAAGTTCAAACGAAATAAAAAAAATTGAATACCTCTTTACAAATTTTATTTAATACAAAAAAAAGTACGCCTATCCCTATCTAATGGGTGCGGTCTTATCCAAACAATTAGTCTGTTTTCTGTATGTTGGCAGCTAACTAAGGTTTGTGCCTAATCTCATGTCAATATGCTGGTTTACTCTTATTATCAAAGCGTATTTTTCGATTCGGCTTCATATGTTCCATTAAGTATCAGAGCTGTGTCTACCCTCCTAATTTCAAAAATAAGCAGACGTCAGACAGGAAAACAAACAGGGAAATAGGACGGTGGGAAAATCAGAGAATCAATGCAGTCTGACATGCAGAAACTAAGAGATGACTGCCCACAATTCTGTTGATAAGCATTATGTATAACGTTTATATAACGCTTTCTACTATCAAATTAGTCCGACGGAAGAAACCCACAATGCATCGCACCACGATAAGAAGAATTGCTACTATTTTTTGATTCATTATTTTCGAATCTCAACTTGTATGAGTATGAGTTGAATAAATGAAATGAGTTGAAGGCTTCCTTTTTCATTAGCGACTTTATATATAAGCAATTCAATATGATAAAATCATCGTGGTTTTTTTATAACGTTTCAGAATTTAAGCATTGACTTTCTCATTTGAAAATGAATGAATTCAACCAAGACTTCCCATTCCAATTTAATCGACCTCCAGAATTGCAAAGCAGTCGCCAAACATAGCTTTATGATTAAATTATTTTAAAATTTTCTGATGATCAACAATTGGTGTGGCGATAAAGTCAATTACTCACATAATATGTACCTCCCAGGGGTCAACTAAATGTGCAATGATAAAGATTAGTTTCAAACTTTCTTTTTTTGGATTAAAGTTTAATTCATTTAATTTTATTTTTTAAATTCATATTAAGAATATTGTTTTAAAAATGTGAATATAAATATGGTGGGTTATGTTAAAAGGCTCTTTTGTTTTTGTAGGGGCGAATGATGCCAGCGGCTTTGCACCATCATTTATTGAAAAACCTCGAATCATTCCAAACGAATCTGGCACCTTCATTACCATGAAATGCCGTTGTAAGGCCAAACCAGAACCAAAAGTTACGTGGTACAAAGGCGACGAAGTGGTTAGCAAGTCATCTAAAATTACTATTAGGACAAAGCTAATAGCCGAGGACACCTACGAGTTAATGCTGGAAATCAAAGTAAATAATGACATTATATGATAATGCTTTTGATTGTATCCAAAGTTAAAAGATCAATAGAATAGTTTTTATTTATCCTTTATTTTTATTGGAGACGTTCTTAACTACCTTGGCGAAAACGATTATAAGTACGCCGCAAATATTTTCTCTTTAGTAAGTTACTTCAAATCTTTTAGGTTTAGCTAATGTAGACTTCAACTCGAAAGGATTTTGAGCTTATTGTTCAAAAAACAAGACTTGCGGGAGATATTTCAAGTTGAATATCTCTTGAGAAGTTTTTCGCCGAAAATGTGTATATTTTACAATGTTTTTACGAAAAATTTTTATTTTCTTTTTTTTATTGTTAAGGACCCAGGCGCACCTGACGCTGGCACTTATAAATGCAACGTTTTAAATGATTTTGGAGAGTCAAATGCTAACCTTAATTTAAATATCGAGGCGGAGTTCGAACCAGGAGGTGAAGGTCCGAAATTTGTAGAGAAACCACGCATTATTTCCGAAAATAAGGGTAAACTTGTGATAATGGAATGTAAAGTAAAAGCCGACCCAAAGCCAGATATTTGTTGGTATCGAAACGGTGAAACAATCAGTGAGAGCAACAAAATCAAAATATCGATGGAACAAAGAGGTGACCAATATTACGTAAACTTGCAATTAATTGATCCACAAATGGAAGATTCTGGTTTATACAAATGTAATATTAAAAATGACTTAGGCGAACTAAATGCCAATTTGACGTTGAATATTGAAAGTAAGCTTCTTTACCACTTCTCTTCTTTTTTTATTTGAGGCTTATTTAAACACCATGATCATTTCTTTTGTTTACGGCTGTAGTTGTTCCTGTTATTAAAGACAAACCGAAAATTATTAAAATTATCAAAAAGCGCACTGTTGTAATAGAGTGCACGGTTATTTCTAAATTCGAACCTAAGTTTACGTGGTTTAAGGAATCCAATCTTGTTGCAAAGAGTAAACGACATATATATTTAATCGAAAAGACGAAAGAAGGAGAGTTTACAGTTAGATTGGAAATTAATGAGGTGGATGAAAGCGATAAAGGTGCTTACAAATTGGTTGCTAATAATGAGAAAGGGGAAGCGGTTTCTCAGATTGTCAACTTGATTGACATACCCGAGGAAGAATGCAAACTAACAAAACCAGAAATTGCTCGTAAACTTACCGACGTGAAAGTAATTGAAAACAAATCCTTTGAATTATTGATTAGTTTGAAAAAACCCGATCGAAAATGCAAGGTGGAGTGGTATAAAGGCAGTATTTTACTAAAGGAAGCCAAAGAAATTACAACAACGTTTGATGGTACCATAGCCCGCTTAACTTTCAGTGCTGCTCGTATGGAATATACCGCTTCTTATAAAGTGGTGGTTATAAACGAAATGGGTCGCGATGAAAGCAGCTGCAAAGTGGTTGTCGAGAAAAAGCAGGATAAGAAAAAAATTGACGATGAGGCTGCTGATGTAAAACGAAAGGTACAGTGGTCGAAAAATGTAGAAACATTTGACTTAATAATCTCATCCTGTCTGGAGCTATTTTAAAATAACAGTACCAACATTTGACATAATCAAACATTTAGACTTCTGATGCTTTACTTTGTTTCTTCTAGTGTGTTTGTTGTGATAATTTTTAATTTACAGTCTGGCACTGGTATATTTTTTGGTTTCTACGACCATCGATCACGCATTGTTTACTCTTACGTATATTCATGTACACGGATGGGTATACGTGTGTGTTATGTATAACGTGGCAACATATATATGCGCGGTTGTAAACGTGCATTCAGGGTCAATTGGTTTAAAACAAATGAATTTTCAAAACGGAGTGCATTTATGAGTTATAATACGCTCATAACTGAACCTTAACAAGTCCTTGTTAAAATCCTTTTTAGGGCAATTTTTGGCTCTTTCATCTTATCGAAACAAGAGTGCAAGAATGCATGAGCAAATTATCGAGACTTAGTACGTGTCATTTCAATATTCCTTTTTATCAAAAGGCTGATTCTACACAGAAACATATCTAAGTTTATTCTTTAATTCATTCTTCGATTGAATAAATATATCTTCAAAAACCGTTTCTACTTTGAGAAGAATTTATTCTACTAAGTTGTTATCATAATTTTCCTATGTCATATATATTTGTTAAGAAAAAAAAGGAAGAAGAAAAACCAGGCGGTGTTGAGCAAAAAGAAAACTCTAAAGTGGAAAATAAAAAAGTCGTGGAAAAAGAACCAAACGGAATTACTGAAAAAAAAGAACGAGAAAACTTAAAACCGCAAGAAGAGAAAGGGGAGAAAGAATGTTTTAAGAAAGAAGAAGCCATTAGAGAGGAATCTCATAGTGCAGCAGAAAAGGTAAAGAATATATGACATTAAAAGTCAATGGAAATCTTCGCTTGCTTTTTTCACTACAGTTTTAAATATCAAAAAACATCATAATGTATAATTTAGAAATGTTTCCGATTTTCCGCCATGTTGCTATTAAATCTTTGTTTTGGCGCTTTTTAATAAACGCATATGCAACCACGCTTTTGAAGCATTACATTTTGGAAAATCGTGACACCTAATATTATTCTAAATTTTGTCTTATCGTACAGAAGGACCTATTTGAACAGATTGCCAGTAGGAAAGTGGAACTACAGACGCAGCGCAAGCAGGTAAGTGTATCTTATTTTGATAGGTGTATAATAAGTTCTGTTTTGAAATTGATTGCTTTATAAAACGTACCAAACAGGCTCTTTTATTCTGAAATTTTGGAATAATTTCATGTTTGTACGGCATTAGATTCAGTTGTTTAACAGTTGTCTTTCAATTCATATCAAAGCGCAAAAAGATCGGTGTTAACAAGCAGCATTTACGTGACTGCACGTTATTTCGTTTTAAAGTGGAAACGAATTCAGCTAAAGCAGCAAAATATATGAAAAATAAGCCATCACATGAATAAAAGGCATATTATAGCAAAGGAAGAGTTGTGTTAGACGCAGTGATATAACGCATTTAATGGTTACGCTTACCCAGTTGTAAAGTTTTTACTTCTTCTCCAACGTTTTTATAAAAGATCTTACGTGGTGGATTTCCACATTTATTCCCTATCAGCAAATTGTTCTTAAATGGTGCATAGTGCGCTTTTATTCTATGATAATGACAATTAAAAAAAATTATTATAAACTTAAATTTATCAAACATGTCATAAAACTGTCGTAACACTGTGTTCTATCTATTAAATCCGCACAAAATTATTTTGAGAAGCTCTCAGTCTGGTTATGTGGGCAAAACATGTGGTTTTTACCAATGCGTTATAAAAAAACATTGAAACTCCCTTACCAAAACTTCCAGAACTTGCCCTTACATCATTTCTAGTCTTGATACTCCCGTTTGCGATCTGACTTCAATTGCTGAATTGCACTGGCGATCTGTGACTTTGAGAATATTTCCCAGGCCTTGTGGTTTAAGAGACCGACTGCAGATTCCCATCCATACTGCTATGAACTTTTCGTCAAGACAATTGTCGTTTGATCTCATAAGTCATGACGTTAATTGCGCTATTTTTTTCGATATATTCAATCTTGGATCGTTGGACCACCTCTAATGTTTTAATGTTTGATGTGCTTTCCCCATGTTATATGCGACAAAACCATTCATTAATGATAGTTACTTTGCCACTTACTGTAATTCCCTTTCAAGATACCCTTCGGAGATTTGATTCCGAGTAGGATGTTCACTATTTTCAACGGCACATCTCTCACATCTTCTTTCGGAAAGCCTCAGCTTAATTTAGTCGAAGACAGTGATCTACATCCTCCCTTGTTAAGGCCTACATTTCCTAAAGCTTTTCTCTTTATTAGGAAGTCATTGGTGCCCTTTCTACATAATTGTGAATATTTCAGCTCCTTCTTGCACAGCGCCTTTATCTTATGATAATGGCAGGTTCAGTATCTTTGTTTATTTACTTTCTTACTTTCGCAATTCATAATTAGTTAATAAATAAATAAAAATATATTAAATATGTGATTTTTGTAGGGATGTGTGAAATTTATTAAATGTGTGCGCACGTACCAATACGTGTCGTGGATAAAGCAAGAAATAAAACATCGTGTAGAAGAGCAAATTCGGCTTTGCATTTTGTTCTTAGTCGCTAAGTTTAAAAGCTGCAAATTCGATTATAAACTCGACAGCGATAATTTTTCCCTTCGTGTAAATCATATCAATTATGTGTGTAACTATGCATAATTACAATTATATATTGCGATTGTACACCTATATATATATACATGTTTATTTATATGTTATATGTGATGAGATGTTTAGTTTAGAGCCTTAAGTCTGTTATTAAACTATCTCACAAATTACAAAATTAACCGGTTTAAATTACCAAGAGCTGTATATAAAAATTTGACACTTTGGCTAAAAAGGACTTTGTGAAGGTTAAAAATAAGCTTAGTTGACCCAAACGTTCGCCCTAAACTTCTAACGAGCCGCATTGAAATAAAAGAGAGTATGTAAATGAGGTTTTTAATTTGCATTTATTTTTGTATATTAGATATAATTATGACACAAAATATACACGAGGTATGTGATAGAAAATACGCGACGTACATCGTGCGATTGGATGCTTTCAAATACCGTAAACAATCTACTAACAAGTGTTAGAGAGTTCGACCTAAACCGAATATAGTTTTTATGTTTTTATGTATATCTGCTTTGTTTTGTTCTTTTCTTCCGTCATTAGGATGAAGAAATTAACACTGAATCCCGTCGTTCATCTATTGTGGAAAAAGCAATGATAGAGGTAAGTCAAACTAAGCATGTTTTTCGCTTTGGTTTAAAAAATTTTGATTAAATAGACTTTAGAAATCATGTTTCTGATAATACTACTCTTACAAATTAAAAAGTTAACAATGTATATTACTTTCTTAATGAAATATTTACATTCCGCTAAAACAATAAGGACGCTAGATTTACTAAAGCAGATTTTCCTATTTTAAAACCAGCCGAAAAAAGGCGAATTTCGCAGGTAAACGACAAGCAAATCAATTCATTTTTTTGTGACTAATATTCTGTTGTCTGTTGTCCTCGTACGTCATATTGTTTATAATTATGTGCCTATGCATGTTTGCATCCATTTAGTACTTAGGCTATTTCTTCTGCTAAGGTGTCTAACTGTGCTCATAGAGCACAAAGCATTTATCTCTCTTTATTCTGCCTGATACTTGTTCTTTTTACATATTTGGTTTCATTTTATCACCACGACATAGAAGCTTTAAAGATACTTTATTACCATTTTTCTTACAGGAAGTCAAAACAAAGAAACAGTTTATTTTTGATGCTTAAAGAGTAACATCACAGCGAATTTAAAAAAAAATCGTTTTTTTCGTTGGTTTAAATGATCCCTTAAATAATTGGCAATGACAAAATAAAATAATTGTGGGCGTGGAAAAATTTTTAATGGTCAAAAAATTTGGTCATTCGAAAGCACCTTTAAAAATACATACGGAACATACGGAAAAACTCCTAGAACTTTCATTTTCCGAATTTTTTACAACACCTTCAAAATAATATTTTTAATGCAGCAAACTTATTTCGCCAAATGTCCGCCAATCATATAAAACCTAATATTTTTGAAAGCTCTTACGCACTTTTCAAGTTGTAGGCATTTAGACGAAGTGATCTTTGTTGATTTTTCCGCGATGGTCTTTTAATGGAAGAGAGAATAGCAGTGTCGTTGTCCTTTTTTTAATATTTTTGAAAATTGACTTTTTGTTAGTACTTAAATGTACGCTTTATAAGCTCTCAAATATTGTTTTATTGCCTTTTCTTTTATCCCAAACAATTTTCAAACAATCTCATTAAGTTGCTACATCGATGAAGATTTTAAAAAAAAGTTTAAAAGAAAAATATAAAAAGTTGAAAATAAGATATTTGAAATGAAATGAGCAAAGGTCTATATAACGGCTATAAATCAATTTCATTAGATCATACTGTAAAAGAACACATTCGAGAGTTGAAAACGTTGCAACTTCAGGATTCATTTTTCCAGCAATTTCTTATAGTTCCCTTTCCTTACATGACAACATGAAAATCAAATAGCTTCTTTGCCATTTAACATTCTATTAAAAACAGCCTTCCTAACTACTTTTTCCATTTATCAATTTCAAGGTAATGTTTTCAGAATCAAAGTTTCTTGGCTCAGGAATAGCAATAGATATGTGTAATAACAGAGACAACGGTTCGACACGAGAGAGATGGTTCGACACTTTGTTTTAAACTCAAGTTTCCTGACTTGGCGTCGTATTCTACCAAACGTTTAGAAAGCCAAAATATGTACAATTCTGTGGTTCCTTGTGGTGTGTGTATGAAGAAAAAAAACCATAAAGTATATAAGTACGTAGCGAATATGTTTTCTTTTCACCGTTTATTTCACATTGATGAATTCTAAATTCCGTTCGCCAAATCCTTCGACAATTATTAAGTAGTACTTCGAGACATTCAATGTAAACAAACGCTACGAAAGATAATGAGAGAGAGTAAAATAACTGAAACGAATACAAATACTGAATTTTGTGCAACATGCTTGGGTAGGACTACACTATGTGCATGTAGAACACATATTATGGCATCAATTTTGTGTATAGTTGTGCGTGCGTTTACTTAAGCTTACATGTATGAGCATAAACAATGGAATCTTTCAACTTTTGTTGAACTGTGATTGATAGTTTTCCTTTAGTATTTTCATGCGAACTCTTCTTTACAGATAGATTTCCTTGAACCTCCATTATTTTTCTACGTCTCTATCTATTTATTCAAATGTACTTCTTTTAATTTTACATTAGACATGGTTTTAAAGTAGCCAGATGGACTAAGTCATTAAAGCCTTCTCCACAAATATGTTTGTCACATACGAACGTAGGCTTCATGTGATGACTAGGCAGATCGTGCAGATCAAAGGTCAGATGACATTTTTCCCGGAAAATTATCAAACGTTCACGTGAAATTTGCGTATGAGATATATTTACCAATTCACGCACAAAATATGGTATCATGGTAGTGGTGTTGCCATCGAAATGAACATTATTGCGTGAGACGCTGTGTTCGATTCGGCGGTTCGCGCTTAGCGGCTTATTGTTTAAATAACATTTTGGGCAAAGTCGAGTATTAATGAAGGTGTAGGAATAGAAAATGATTATAATAATGCTTCTTTTTTAATGAATGGCCTGTTTTTTTTTTGAGATTTTGATGAAAAGTATATAAAGAGTACAGAAATGCTTCATTTTTATGCTTAGAGTTTTTGTGTTTCTTTATGCTTAGAGTTTGTGTAATACATCGAATGGCAGAAAAGGCCTTGCGGACTAATGTACGTATAATTATAGTTCTCCGCACAGAGGCGACAGAATGTATTCGAACATCTTTCGATGACTTCCACAGACACCAGGTCTCATAATAATTTCACCACTCTCTTTCAGAAAGCGTTGAAGAGAGAAAACGGGAACGAGAAATATGCCCAGTACAAATACAGGTTTCAGTTACGTAATAGGAAGAAGTCAAAGCTTTTTCCAAATATATTAAGAATATGTCCCTTTTCTTAATCCGTTAACTCACCCGTAATATCAATGTCCCCCCAACAGTGCTCGTAGAAAATTTATTTTAAAAGTGCTCTGTCCGGTGAATCCGAAAGCGATGTTAGTATCATATATTGTGTTGCGTAAAAATATTCAACTATCGTTGAGAAATTGGGTTCGGGACTGGACAGTCACATTTCATGACATTTGCTGTGCGTACATAAAAAGGTACGAATATAAGAATGTGTCATCGACGTCGATTATCAGCAAAAAATTCTTTGGAGATCTTGGATCAACGGAAATTTCAATATATAGAAAAATTATAAACGATTGCGCTCTCTTACCATGTAGAATGTTTTTGTGTTATTTAGTAAGCGGTGTACAGTTCTTTGGCTATTATTGTACGTATAAATACCATAAATTAGCAGCTGTTCTACAGTTATAGAAAGCTCGATACAAATTATGTATCTTTTAGTGATCTAGCATTCACTTCGACAGTGTAAATTGAAAGCTTTGCATAATGTATAGCTATAATCATTTAATATTTACAAACAAATAATATGATACAATCAACAACAAAATCGTACAAATGTAAATAAAAACGAAGTTATATATAGAATTTTCGACAAAATGAAATCGAATGAAATAATAAGCATTTTTTTATGCGTTGCTCATATATATAAAAAACTAGTTGCTTAAACATTCCCGGGAAACGCGGGAGAATTTAAAGCGTCTTGCAGAGCCCTTTTCCACTAAACCCAATGCTCCTGTGCTGCAATACAACGTAAAAGGAGCAAAGGAACCATTGCCTAATGTATACATATTTCTTATTATTTGTTGATTGCTTAATAACAATAATTAATAATATTTAATAAAATTTTTATTTGGTTTAGCTGTTAAAAAGTCAGTAATATCGTTTGGAATCAATCAAATTGTTTTCAATTTGTAGCTGTTCTCTGTTATAAATGCGATTCTAAGAGAACAACACTAACGCAAAAGATTAGCTATTGAGAGCGTGTTTTTTGCAGCTGTTGTGCATACGTAAAGCAAAACCTTCAAAAATGGAACCTAGTAAACGCCATACATACTTATTACCTTTATCAATCTTTAAGTTATGTAAACTTCTCAAAGTGAAATAGACTAAATCTGTTATGGTTGGATTAAACATGATGTGTTTCTAATTTGCCTGATAAAGTGTTGCAAACATGCAAACAAAATTATTATAATATTTCGCATTTATATTAAAATAATACCATCAAAAAGAGGAAGTTGTTGGTTTTATTGAACAAAGCGCAGCTAACAGGTATTGGCCAGGAAAACAACTAACAAAGAGTTTTGCTGTGATGTTTACCTAATAAATATTTTAAAAACCTTTGCGGAGATTACAAAATTCGTTTATTGTATACATTCAAGCAATCTTTTCTTCTTTGTTATTTATTTTTTTGCGTTTCGTGTTTTCTGTTTTATATTACTTGTTTACATGGTAAATATAGTCTGTCGAGAACTCGAAGCAAATTGAGCAGTTACCAAAATTGAGGAAAACTAGTATCCCAGAACGGAAGGAAGAATCTCTTAAAATCGAATCTAAAGCAAAGGCTAAAACTAAAACTAAGGCTAAGCCTAAGTATGAGGAACTGCCAGAAATACCAGATTACGAACGACCCGTTTTGGAAAGGTATGACAAACCTGAATTCGAAGCCGGCGATTTTACCAGACAGTTGAACATACCTAGCAAAATGGAAAAACCTACACTTGAAGCAGCTAAGCAGGGATCACAACAGGCACAAGAAAACAATGAACTGGTCAAGGTATTCAGAGCAAATAATAATTAACTAATAAGTTTCTTTTCTTTGTTGTGTTCTTGCTATAGTATTTTTTGTGTTGTATATTTCCATTTTATTTGTGTTATATATTTCCATATTATTTGATATCACATAATGCTCTCTTGTAGAAGGAGAACGCAGGTGAAAAATCAGCAGAGCGATCGAAAGGTATTCAATTAGGAACGGGCAATGTACCAGAGCATTACGAAAAGAACGACAATGCCACACTAAGGCCAGTGATTATTGAACCGAAGGTATGTTGCCGTAATTTCAGTTACATCATTCGTGACAATAAGCAAGTTTTTGTGATTAATTACATATGTGTGCACCTCTTATGAACCTCATATTATTTCATAATTATTATTCGAAAAGTAGGAAGACTCTAGGAAAATGTAAATATCCAAAAAGATAACTTTTCGTATCGACTCAACAATTCAAACTGTTATATGACCAGGCATGAATTTTTAATATTCATACATATCTCTAGTATATATTTCAGGTTTTTACAAGTGGCATGATGAAATTATCAGATCTATATACTTCACCAGTAGAGAAACAAATTCAATGTTCCCTAATTAGCTGATGTATGGACAAATTAATTGAAAAGAGTCTCTTGAACGAGGACAAGAAAATTTCTCTTTATGAAAATGAAATTATTCTTTGGCATGATGAGATATTTGTCAACATTTTGCGTTTCCCTGTATTTTTTTCTTCCGCTATTACCGTTCCGGGTGATAATAACATAAATATATGTTATTTTCCTACTACATATTATTACATCAAATTCTTTTGGTTATTCATAGTATTTTTTGATTATATTCGTGGCACTGGAATGTGATCAGTCTGATATTTTGTTTACAAAATCGGAAGAACTATGAACAAAGATTAAGTTAAAAAAATTGACCTAACTTCTCTACAAACCCGAAATTAACCAACTCGGAGTACTTCAGTCCACTGGACATGATGCTTGATAGGTTTATTTTTTGAATACCACATATTTTTTTCAAGTTTATATAAATCCTCTTACGCGCTTCATTCTTCCTTTTATTTATCACCAAAAATTTTTTTGTTAATCAAGTCAGGTAAATCATCCAAAATCACATATTACTTTCATAAGTTCGTCAACATTTAAAAAGTAGTGGGTGGTTTTCGTTAAATAATTTCACGAAGGTTGTCACATTCGTAAGAATATACTATCGAAATTAAAAAAAAACGGGAAAAAATACTGTGGTGCGATACACCAATTTAATACTCTGAAATATTATCACTTATCGATTTTTGGAAAAAAATTACGGGAATTTATAGTTTTTTCATATTTGATAGGCTCTTCAAAATAAAGTGTTATAAGTGAAACGGTGGTAAAACTGGCCTCATCCATTCAATATTTAATACTTAAAATTTTTAGAAATTTTTTCCGCGATATATTATGCAGAGTAAAGGCAGGCATGTTTTCACACCACAATAATTGGCCACGTAGTGTGCATGCATCATTGCAGGAACGTAAAACGATTAATTACGAAGTATGTGCAACTCTTTTCGATATATATCTATTAATAATAAGACACATCTAGATCTCATCACGCATACTTTTCATTCCTGTCCATAAACACGTCGTTATGATTATCATCATAATCACAAGATTCTACCTTATTTTTGCTCTTGTTTCTTTTTTATTCTATTCTGTCTTTTGCCGTGTTCTCAAATGTTGTGATGGCTCATAATTTTCAAAACCTAACATATGTGTTGTTTTCTTATAAGCAGAAAAAGGCGGATGACGTGGATACTGAAAAATCTTTTAAGGTAAGCAATAAAAAAAGAGAACCGGACAGTCATTGTAAAATTGAATTACTATGTTAAAATACTGGTATATTAAAATCAAGTTAACTTTAAGGCGACATTATGCAAAGTTATTATTACTATTATTAATTTAGCCAGATAATAAATTCTAAGACTAAAATCTTAAAGCACTAGCATTTAAGGCGTTCGCTTTATTAAAAACTCTAAAGCACTTCAGATTTGAACCAACGGCCACTGAGTTACTAGTCGAGACTCTTGCCTACTCGGCCACTCAGGCGGATTATGAAAACTTAATATGGTATACAACTTTCACGCCTGGTGCGCCACACATAACCTTGAAGCGAATGGCAAAAAGAATGCTGGGTTTACTGCATGCATAATCTTACATACTCAAAGCGTTTTATCATTTGTAAGCATGTTAGTCGATCAGTTAGAATCATTTTTGCGTATGAGTTTGCAAATCTTCATATAAGTTTGTGTAAACATATTGTGAATCAAAAATTGTTTTCCAAAGGTTTTTTGAAACATTATTTTTTCTGAGCGTTTGTATTGTAACTTAATAATAATATAAATACTTAGATTAAATGAAAAGACGAAGGATAATGAGCACTAGCTTCCAATATTATGTTGAAAGAAGTTGTATTGGGTTGGCAGCGATCCAACCGTTCTTTTCGCGCTTCTTCAACCTTGATAATATTAAATGGAAAACTGTTATTTTATGTAGAGAAAGGTCATAACCATCGAATTGAAACGTTATGTTTATTGGTGTTTCCCATTTCTTTATCATTTTTACCTGAAGAATTCGCCGATTATAATTTTTGCAAACACCTAGTATATAATGGTAAAAATAGCACCCTTTAATACACTTGCGGGATTATATGCACTTGTACGCGTTTGCTCATTCTTACATAAATATATAAATTTCATTGCTCTCAAATGATATGAAATGAAATGATTTAGTCTAAATCAAGAGTTTGTTGCAATTTTTGACAAAGATGCGCGATTTTTCATTATACATATAGATATTATGTATATAAATAGCTGGTGATATATATGCAAGTCGCGAATATATGTGCGTGTCCCTGTGTGCCAATGGCAAACTATTCTGGTTCTCAAAATATTGTGTTTTTTTAGCCACGTTTTCTTCCTACATTTTTCGAAATACCTTAAAAACAATTAATATTTGCGCATATATATGTGCCACAGTATGTGAAAATTTATCGCCTATATTTCACCTCCGTAAAGCTATGACTTTTTCATTATAAATGAATTTCGTTTTTTATTTTGTATTTCTTCACATCCTCTTATCTTGGAGACCTTTTCATCTTTACTATCGCAAGTATATGCAGCGAAATAAAAGACATAGTTTCCAACTATATATATTTGACTTTATATGTTGTGTTAAGAAAGTTGACCTTCTCGGCATAACATAATATAAGCCTAAAACATTCAAGCTGTTTTGAAGCTTTTTTAAAATAATTATAGGAAACTCATTCATTTCAATTTTCTTCTTTTATTTGAAATTCATCTAAGAAGGATAATTAAATCAAATAAGGGCAACTAAAAACATGAAATGATGCATGTGATAAGCCATACAGTATTTGGAAATATATGATGGTCAGAAACTACTGAAGATATAAATTCAACAGCACGCCTCGTGTTTAAAGTTATACAAATTTTCACTTTTCTTTAAGAAATAATAGGCCATATTTTATATATATAAGACGATTTTACATTATGGGCTTTGATATTTTATATTGCTAAATAGTAGTGTTTCTCTAGCTTTCACGGTTGAACAAATTATTAGTCAAAGAAGGTAAACCAAAGTAATAATCGTCACCAAATCCTGGAAAATTTTAGAGAAATCTTGCTTTATGAGGTATATCTCCTAACTTTCATGCTGTTGAATGATTAAATGCGGCTTGTCTACTCTTTATTTTTATTGTTTTGCATCTTTTGTTGTTCATATTTTTTTACTCACACGTTTATTTATTTTGACTTCTTGTGGGCCTTTGTTTGTACCAATAATAAATTGTTTTTGTTTTTATAGATAGATATTTATATTTAAAAGACGGAAAAGCTTGAATACACATATGTTCGTGTTTTATTTATAGTCGTCAAAAAAATCTGAAACAAATATGAATAGCAAATTTTTTTGCTAAGTTTTTTTTAACAAATTATTTTCAATTTTTTATACAAAATACATTTTATTGTTGCATTGTCATATATTTCTTTGTGTGTGTATGTACTTATATACTGAGTGTGTACTTATATTGCATATAAAAATATTGTATATTGTATATATATATATATATATAAGTATATATATATACATATATATATATATCTACATATTTTATATGTATATGTGTTTGTATATATATATATTTATGTATATCTATGTGTATATATATATATAGACCTACGTACATGCATATGCGGCTATATGATTATTTGATGATTATTGTCATAATTTTAACATCAGTTGATTTAGTTCAATTTGGTTTTTTGCTAGTCACCAAACACATTTGGCTCACGGGTAGTACGGCACGGATCTTATTAATGTGTAAAAATTACGCCAATCGCCCCCCGTTTATTTCTGCTTACACGGCTTACTAGCGTTGTTGCTGCTGTTCCTAAGATCCTCTTCATCAGCAACAGCAACAGTAAACATTATCGACGAAGAAGCAAGGATTTTGTCTCGGATTTCTATATAGTGTTTAACAAGCATGGCTACAATTAAAATTATACCTGCGGTGTGTAAAGTAGAAAAAAATTACTTAGTAAATTTACTCTAGGGAGAGTTTTGACTATCCAGCTATACAAATTGTGTTATTAAAGGAATATTACAATTTTGAGTTTTATGCATAAGTGGGTACTAGAAAATATATATATATTAGGGTTTAATTCATTACCCATATTTCTACGACCTATAAAATGTCAAAAGTAAAAGAGTATGCAGTAAATGTAATTCAATCTTATCGAAATCTTACCTTAAATCCACGCTACAAATTAATTATGCCCTGTTGGGTTTTTAGCACATATCTTTAGCTTAAATCAGCGAAATAATAACATTGATCTAATTCCAAGTTTGCATGTTATTTACATTGCGAAAACAAAATTTTAATAATTGCAGCTCCTGAATGTTTCTTGCAAGTGTTAATCTTCATATGCCATGAAAATGTATTTGATGTTTTCAGGAAAACAATTGGCTTTTAGCACATAATTACGGTTTTTGAAAGAACTTTTCTTTTTCATAAACCCTTTGTAACTAACCATATCCACCTGTCTGCTATCAATATTCGATAGTCCACAAAACACACGGTTCCAAAATCCAAAGTGCCCGAACACATTGTTTTAAATTCATATGTTTTCTAAAAAAAAGTGTAAAAAGTTTTGCAATACTTTTTTTAAAGATATAAATGCCATGAGAACTTGTAAGACATTGTTAGCATACGCTTTTGTAGACTGTTACAGTCAAATAATCAATAGACTTACTGTCCAACCCGATTAAAATTGTATTTCATTAGCTTCAAGGATAAGTAATACGATTCTATTTATTTAGGTTCTTGTAAAACTGAGGTTATAAATTTGTGCAATTTTAAAGAAAAATGCGCATTATAAAGTCTTAAAAGAGCTCAAACTAGCTAGCAGTTTTACATACGTTGCGGTATTGTAGAGCTGGTGATTAATATACATAAGTTATTACATAATTTCATAACTGAATTTAAAGAAAGTTCATTTTTTGTCTTATACAATGAGAGGATTTTCAGAGAGCCGAAACTCTACGCATCGAAAGTTTAAGTAATGATTTTCGAGGATCAAAGAGCTTTCCCCAATAAATTTTGCAGTGTTAAAGAAGATCAACAATTTTTTGGAAATAATTACGGGCATGTATAATCTGTATAAACGAATATCAATTGAAACTTTGAAAGGGTGTTTAATAAATATATAAATATTTTTTCTACGAAATGAAACATAAATAGAATTGCTAGTAACTAAACTTGGGTATATGTCACCTCTCATTTTATAAAAGTACGATTATTTCATTATTTCGTTGCAGGCAGATGAAAGTCATAAAATTTCTTCCAAGTCATGATTGACCTTCTTGTAGCTTACTACTATGTTTTATTTTTAGCATCTGGGTATTTACGACATCAGGATGTAAAATAAAATGTTTTTTATTTTTGTTTGCGCATCTGCTTTTGTCGTATATCGGTGGCATAAAAATTATCAAATAAATAATGAATATCAATATCAAATAAATAAAAATATGATGAATTATGAATGAAATTCATAATTATTCCTGATTTAATCGTAAATTATGTTTTTTTACAAGCTTAATACATTTTATATTACTAAGATTGCTTCGATCTGAATAAGTTTATGGTCCTAATTTCATGTGCGATATTGATGCCTTTTTGCAATCTCAGCAATTATTATTATTGATAACCTATCTTTTCAACACACGTGCATCATGCGATACGGTTTGCTGAACAATTAAAAATAGCCAAAAATAATAAAAATAAATGCAGACTAGAAAATAATTGATTATATGCAATACTTTTCTTCCAAATTTGAATAAGTCCATCTGAACTAAAGTTACGCCTGCAATTTCATAATCAAATTGAAGGCTAAACCTTCTCACAATCTAGAGCATATGTGCAATTAAATTTTTCTATTCAATTAAAGAGCTTGTTGTTCGTCAGGGAGAATTTCTCATCTCAATGGGTCATTACTAAGATTTTTTTATATAAACTGGTGAATTCATATCTTTATGAAAAAGATCACCTAAAATCTGTTCCTGTGTTTTTCTGTTTAACCTACTGGCCACAATTTTTGAGATATTTAGATGAAATTCGATTCACTGATCTGCCTTTTCCCTGAACGACGAACCGTATAGAAAATGCAAACGGAGAAACCGGATCGCTTTTATGGACATTCCCCATCTGACACTTTATTTAGAAAAAGTCGTTATATAAACAACACTTTCACTTTTTGAAATATTTCGGGAAACAGCGTTGAGTAATAGCATTTCAGCGTAATAATTTGGTGTGAAATGTACGGTTCACGGGAGATAATGTTTTGAGCTCTGAACCATATAATCGTTCTGCTGAAAGGTCAGTTTTTCAGTAGCAAACAAGTCTAGTTTTTAATATTTCGTTACAAAAATATGTCGATAATAATAATTTAACACAAAAATTGACTGTACCAAATATGTGCCCCGTAGGTATTTTGGATTCCCTCCAAAAAAATATTACGCCTGTACATGAAAACATTATTCAATTTCGGTCTATAACATTTCAACTTTTTTTTAAAAGAGATGCAATAGAAAGCTCATTGAGGCACTTTTTAAGACACTTCCACGTGATCTGATAAAATTTAACAAATAAAAACACATTACGCGGTTCTGTAGCGGTTTGTTGTAGATGATTTGATACAACTTTACATAACTTCTTTATTAATTTATGTTATTTCATTTTACTTACTTGTACGTGAAACTGAACTAAAACAACTTAACAGTTGAATTCAATTGACTCTTAGAAGTAAATTTTATACTAATTAATATTAAAAACAAGTATAGCGTATGTAAGCAAAAAAAATAAGCTGATGAAGTTAAACAGAACCCAAATAATTTGTTATGCAGACACGAGCTTATCCATTATAAGTATAAAAGGAGGCTAGAGGCCTGGAATTTAAATATCAATAAATTAAGGTTAACTAAGTGAAACGTTTTGCGTTTGCGTCTTAAAAACATGGCAAACAAACTCTAAGAGATTCCGAAAGTTACGCTGTAATGGAAAAATATAAGATTTAATAGCAAAAGCTAGATGCTGAGTAACAATTCGCTCAAACAATTTAGGTAAGACACTGAACCTAGCATTGCCTCTATAGTTCTCAACGTGGTTTCGACATTTGTAAAGCGGAATAAGGAAACTATTCTTCCAACGCATAGCTCGACAGGGCATGTTGTAAGTGTACATGATGGAATTCTATCAGGTCCAGGCGTAGAACTATATGTTAGAGACCTTAAACCATCTAAAACATCGTTTTTTGAAATGACCAAGTTAGGAACCAAAACTGAGTGAAAATTCGGTTAGGAAGAATTGATAGTTGGATCGGAGTTAGCAGTTGAAAATTTTCGTCGGAAGCATTCAGCAAAAAGATTCAAGGTTTCAATATCATCAGAGAACTCAGAGCCATTGAAAGAAACAAGCGAGGGGTGCACGGAATTTTTTCTTTTGGAATGGTTTAACTTAAAAAAATATCTCGGATTAACAAACAGTGAGGATTTTATTAACTGAAGATATCTGGAATAGTATTGGTGGTTGACGTAATTAAATCTATGCCTTCTATTTTTGTCATATTTAATTGCCTTGTTAAACCATGGCGGGCACCTGCTTTGAGAGCAAGGCTGCCTGATCGGGACGGATGCAGAAATAGCTAGGTTTAATACTTTATAGAAGGAACACAGTAAGATTTGAATGTTTCCAGCAGAGAAATCAAGCATAATGTGTGAAAGATGAGATTTAAGCAGTCAAATATTAGTTTGGTTAAAATCATAAGAGAAAGTTGGATTTGGCACGTTGGTGTAGTTCAAGGGATAATCAGAAAGTCACGTAAATACATTGACATGTCGCAGTTACTATAAATTGCCGTTATGTGGTTTTGTGTCTGCATCTTCGTAAGCACTTATATTTTTAAGTGGATACAGAAAGAGTTGAGGTAGATCCACCTTTTGCTATACCGATCCATTCAGAATCAGTTGCTGATTCAATTAAGCTTGTCTGTTGCAGGTTATAATTCTTCGGATATTTTGATAAAATTTGATACACTGATGTATTTTAGTCCAAGAACGAACACTGTTGTAAACGGTTCCGATTGGACCACTTTTTCGTCTATTTCCTATATTACGGATTACCGTAATAAGTCGCTATATTACTTCCATATTGAATTTTAATTTACTAAGATGAGGCACTTTCAATCTTCGACTGTTGTCTGCATTATTTATTGTAATTATTATTATTATTTTTACATAAGTTTCGACATCTTCGGAAACAAACTCAGGAAAGATACAAAAACATTGGAATCTACAACAACATAAAACAAGTAACAACACCGTAGTCAGGCAAGATCCATTAGATATCCTACACTACTTTGCCAGTCATTCATTTATTTTCGTGACAATACACCAAAGATTATGTTTTATTTTTATGTGAAAACATAATTTTCATTAAAGTCTAGAGAAAAAAAGGAAAGTGATACCAAGATGTTCAGAAACGTTAACTAATGTCGTTCAAATTTAGCAAGCTCAATTTACTTGTCAAAGATAATACGAAGAAAAACAAACAGACGGACAAACAAGCTTAGATCCATTCAGAAAGTGTCTCCCAAGTTGTTCTGGGTGTTACGTACTCGTTAACAAACTTAATATACCCTGCACCACAAGCTGTATAAAAGCATTATAAGAAAATCCATATCGAGCGAATCATTTTTTATGTATTATTTCAAAGCGGTGTGCCTCAAAGGTTCACTTTAATGGAACACATTTTTCTTATATTTTTAAATTTGGTCTGGTGAACTATCAATATATATCAACTTTTTTTTAAAGTAAGTTGTTCAAATATGTTACAGACAATTTATATATCAAATTTGGCCAAATTTCATCATGAAATTTTCAGAATTAGAATACCTTGTTATATGGATGTTGACCTTCTCGAAAAAAAACCTTTGTAGGGAGATATTTCGAAAACGGTCTGACTCCGGCTACTGTCAACAGGATTTGTACTTAAGCCAAAGGATGTCAGTGTACCTAATTTAACGAATATGTTTCAGAAATGGCGAATTGTACTGAACACAAATTGCGTGGGCAAACTTCAGACCGACACGCAAGCTTAAATCATTCATAAAATGATTCTAAGTCAATCAGTATAGGTAACAGGGTTCGCCTTATGTTCTTGTGGATATTAAGTATACGCCTCCAAACTTAATACAACCTATATAAGAAATGCTTTTAGGTATGCTCAGATCAGCAATAGATTAATTAAGAAAAAGTTACCCTTCTTTTAGAGATAACCATTTTATGACGATTACCGTTTCAAAGTGGGGCTATCAACGCGTAACGTGTTTTTCTAAATATATTTTTTTACGGTCATTGGGTATAAAAGTACCTTTTAATTTATGTAAATTTAAGTCGCATTTCTTTTTACCCACTGAAACAACGATTAATATTTCGAAGGAGATTGCGCATCTTTTTTTTTTCACTTGAAGGCTCTTCAAACGCTATATCCCTCCGTATTTTTAAGCAATGTGCTGCTAGAACATTCTTGTAAATGTGTAAATTATTCTTACTTTTTTCGATTTTTAAAGGATGACAAACCCAGAGTACCCAAAGTACAACCACCAGCACCAGGTGAGGCACCAAAAATTGAAGTCATACGAGAAAAACGGCCTTCATTAGTTCCGGAGCCACCCAGCCGTCGCGGTTCATTAATTCCGCCGGCGGAAATGGGACGTCGCCCATCTCTGATTATTAATGACGAGGTAAGCTATCTCTTTAAATACTCCTAGTCTCAATTTAGAATATTTACGTAAGTTCTACTTAGTTAAAATGAAAATTTAAGATATCTTATACTTTAGCTTCTAGTGTAATTAATATGTACGTATGAGAAGAACCTAAATTCATAATGGTAATTAAATGGTTTAATTTGTGTTAACTTTACTTCTACTTTTTTACTTTAAATTGTTATAAAAAGATTTTTTTTACAAACCATTTATATTCAATATAATGCGTCAATAACATTCATCTTCCATTCGCACTTTCCCAACAAAATCCGTACTGAATAACTCTAATTCTATACCACAACACAACCCTCAACCACACCACCAACGACATCCATCAAAATTTTGAACAAATTGCAAATTCTCTGCCATTACTTGTTAACCCCGTCCCTGTGCTAAACTCTTAAGAAGAAACTGCGTCCAGGGGAAGTGACGGATAACTCAAGGGTAAGCAATAAGAACATACATCTATCGCTATAATTATATATTGCAGTTCAAAATGAAGTCACAAAAATAAGAATTTCTTTTAGTAAGTTTGATTTGAGGACAAACGATTGAAGGTCATTTCGATCATAGAAATTTAAACCGAATAATATTGATTGTACAAAATTAGGTGGCGTATTCTGAGATCTGTGATGTTTGCTGCATTCTTGTGGAATTCTTGCGTTTTACGAGGCACTCTCAAGTTTTCACTTGAACTTGTCTCGCCGACATAAAGTTTTATTTAAAAGTTGTCTTTTAATATCCGAAAAAATGTTATAAATTAAAAATTGATAGAAGTCTAGGTTGTATAATCCTCAAACACATTAAAGGACGTCTCTATAATCATTGGCATCCTATTTGACATTGATCGAACTCGAAGCAACGAAAGAAATAAGAGAGATAGACCCAATTGCACAAATCAGACAAGCGTCTTACATTATTCATATTTCATCTCCATCATATGGAGACTTTTGAAAAAATCATTAATAACCGCTTTTTAGTTTTCTGGCAATGTAAATAATATTAGAAGTTCATTAAATAACTGTGTACTGATACGTCCCTTACGTATGTACCATTTATGTGAATACATTGCATCTTTATTCGTATAGTGTATAATATATTGAAACTTACGTATTTGAATGTGTAAATGCTTTCTTCACGATCTCACGTTTCTTAATACCGCTGTCGTTTTATCCTCCACTAATTTGTTAGTTCTTTTAAACTGCCTAAAATATATTGATGTCATATACGTATAAGGCGTAAATAGCATTTTTTGGTTTACGTACTAGCAGTTGTTTTAAAGGCGTCTGAATTAAAACTCATTGTTTATCTTTCGTGCCATCAATTTAATTCTCCAGAAATTGTATTATATGATTATATGACTTGAACGTTATTCTGAAAACGTTAACTGTTGTTGCGTCCCCTCAGAAAAAGTATTTGCAATGTAAACACGTAGTAAAATTCTATTCGGCTTTAGCCGAAGCTTCTATATCCATCACTTTATCCTAAAAAGACTCAAAAAAACAAATAAGAAATTACTGTTACTCGCAAATTAGTGGTGGATATTAACAAACTTTTCGGTCCAGATCGAATCAGATAGGCACTGTGTTTATCTTACTTTAATTAATATAAGGTAGCGTGTCAAAAATATGTATTAATAACGATATGACCCTTGCAGTTGTTACGGCCCGGAGAAGTCAGTGATGGGCAGGTGAGAAACTATGACATTTTTTGTTTCCTGTTTGATTCTAACTGGTAATAAAACCGACAAAAATATATATTCATCCCATTACATGCTGGTTGCATCTTCACTTATCTTTTGATTTTCATTTCGTGCTGCTTTTTTGTATTCCTTGATTATGAAGTCAACACCATTGCTTCTTTATTTTATGTAGTATTAAAATGAAAAACCAAAGTTTACAAAACTTTTAAAAATGTCATATAGAAATTATACACTTAGTATTTATACATTGTATAACAGCATAATAATTGGATATTTATATCATTCGATTTAGAGCGCCTAGAAATACTTTGCTTTGACTACAAAAAATGTATACGTCAGTGTAAGATTCAACTTAACTGAATTTCAGAAATTTTTACTTATTACTTACGTTTACTCATTATTAACTTATAGTCTGGCAGCACTTATTCTAAAATGTTGACAAACTTTAGATTTCAATTTTGGATTAAGCCAGCATTTCATTTTTTTTTTTGTGAAGATATGGGATGAAAGCAGTACGTTTATAAATTGTAACTATTACACATTTTCTATTTAGATCATCCATTATAGGATCATTCCTTATGAGAATTTTAATCACAAAGGAATTTAGTAATCCCTTCATACAATGCAATAAATACGGCTGCGAGGTAAAATGAAATGAATAAGCAGAGTCGAATTTCTTCCTATGGGTATATTCCCAGTTTCAAAGCCAAACCTACACTTTGAACAGACAAACATTCTTAGCATGTAATTTATCAAGTAGCCATTTTAAATTCTTACTGTGTGCTTACTTAAAAGTCTCTGTGAAGAATAGTTTTAAACGCAGATTGTAAGAATTCATATAGCCTTCTGCTTTTTTAAGACGACATAGTTCAATGAAATACTCTAAGCGCAATATAGTGTGAGCGCTTATAATTTGCTTATATGCAAACATACCATTTCTATTAGCCATATAATTGCGAGAGCTGAAGTATGTATATTAATCCGATGGTAAATCAACCATCAGCATCAACTCATAGTTTCTGAGTAACTGCTTGAGTTATGAAAATAAGAGTTTCACGTCCTTAAGGAGAAACACAAATGTAATTAATGAAAAAAACGTTATTTAGGTTTTTGTTTAAATTAAATTAAAAGAGATTTCATGGAAAGTATTAAGAGGATATTTAGGTATTAGACAGAATTTATCTTTCAGCCCTTTTTCTGGGTTGAAAAAAAAAGGTTTTTCGGAAATTTGCTACCGTGAAATGAAGTTATGCGGACGTCGATTATCGTGAAGGCAATATACATCAAAAACGACTTTTTACAACGGAAATTATTCGAAAATTCCGTATATTACCCTCAATTACTAGAACGTCAATTTTCAAAAGAAACCATTTTGAACAAGGCAAGCGACAATATATTTACTAGTTTGCATGAAAATTTGGACAAGAGAAAACTGTTTTACTAAATCCACTCACAGTGGAACAGAGAAACGTGTTAATGATTCCAAACGCTGTTTGGAGTTGTTTACCCGCAATAAGAACAACTCCTGGTGCGGTATGTGGGCCGAGGACGCAGGGACTATTATCTGTATTTCAAATTTCTGACGCAATTACGGATATTGAAGCGTATTTCACGTAATTTTATTGCATATGGAAATCTTTACTCCGGCACAAAACAAATTTTATTCAGATGTGTCCCTGGTATTGTTATTGACTATATAATGAGGATTAAAATAAATTCAAAAGAAAACTCGACCTTTGCAAAGAACGTTTGTTTGTAAATGAATGATCCTTTAGAAGCATGCGCAGAAGTTTTCTAAATTTCGATCTACTTGTTCAACTCATCAATTCGTGAACCATTCGCAAAATTTTCGATACGATTGAGAGTGATTAATATCAAGATATTGGGCTAAAGCTGATTGTACTCTTTTTTAAGTTAAACCATAAGTCTCCTGGCATTGTTTGCTCGAAAATTATCGTTTTTATTTCAATCTCCAAACGTGTTGAAATGAATATACTTAAATATATTTTTTTTCTCCAAACAATCTCTCAAAACCGTCTAGAAAGAAAAGCAGCGCCCCGCTGAAGTGGGTCATGATCAAAAACAGGTTGAAAAATTTAAAATTTGCTTGTTTAGTAATTTCTTGTTTTTTTCTTAATTTTCGGCTTTACGGTCATTTTCTTTATTCAGTCGGCATAATCCTGTGTTGCTATGTAAATATATAAATAGTTAGAAAACTCCTAGCTTATGTATATAAGTCTTCATTGTTATAAATATATAATCATACGTTCATGTAATCCTCTGCAATCCTATTATTTAATTGATTCATTAATTTCGAAGAAATTTCGTGGGATAAATTGCTTTGCAAATAGATATATGAACCATCTAGCACTTGAATTTTTGTTTTCAACATAAGAAGCTCGTTGGTATATTGCAGTTTTTTAAATTAATTATCAAAGAAACTTGCGACAGCACTATTATGTCAAGAAGGAACTATTTTTATTCAATATAACATAATTAAATTAACTTCTAATTCGTCTAGGTAGACTTGTACAGTGAAAATTTTTTATCTCTGCAAAATATCCCGCATTGAAAACTTGTTCATGTTTCGTATCGCTGTTGAAAGTGAATATGAACATATATTCAATGTTATTTCAAAGAGTTTAGCTTCAACCCGTTACAATATAGAAAAGTTTGCAAAATATTTGCATAGTTTTATAAACTTTCAATTTGCAATAGAAAAGCATAGCCGAAAAAGAAAAATATTAAAATTATCAGAAAAATTTGGTTGACAGATATGTTTAGGCGATGATAAATCCATTTAAATCATTTGCTGTGATATAATTCTATAGTCATGGATTATATTCTAAGCTTTTTATGCCGCAGTTGTCCGTAAGCGTGCATGGTGCTGCATTAAATGTTATTGGTTAGGAGGTTATCAATATTAACGTGTATATAATGATATCAGAACGTACGGTAACAACATTTCCTTAAACAGGATTCGAAATTCGATTTTAACACGTTCAGCTAATACCTTTTTCTTTACATAGCCGCGCCTTCAGCAAAAATGCTGTTGTCAGCGGATTTTTGTTAATGTCCATCCAGTTCATAAATACTTCAGGATTAAACTGCTATTCAGAGACCTATCATATATACTCCTTTCGGAAGCCATATTGAACAGCTACAGTAAGAAATACTCTTTAGTACAAAAAACCAATGCATAAAATGGCAAAACTCTTTTTCAATCAATCAATTTCTGCTAAATAAATGAAGTCAACGTTTGAAGGTACCTGGCTTTCTAATAGTTCAATGAAGAAGGAAAACAAGATAAATACCAATACGAAGCAAATAAGTGTTTAAAATCACCATAAAGATAGTAGAATCAATACCAGTGAAGTCAACCACCAATACCAATTGTTAATATTTTCCAATTTCTCTCCCTCTCTTCGACTAAATGGTAATAATTAGACATGCAATTAGCAGTATAGTAATGGAAATAATATCAATGCTTAACAAAAATGGAACATATGGAAAAAGCCTAAGTTACTTAAACTACTGAATAATAATTTACGTAAACGTACTTTGAGTGAACTTCATATTATAATAAAATTGCTTTGCACTTTTATACGTCCTATAGAGGACATGACGGATCAGTCCAATGTCCAGAATAACATATAGATCTCCTCTGGTACATTTTTGGGTGAAATGACAAAAGTAATCTACATCCGTTTTTCGGTATAGCATACAAAAGTCGTAGTTTGAATAACTGATGGGTCCGCCCTACGAAATTTTCAACAAAAATTTATGTAGGTCCGCTATCGTTACTTAAGCCAAATCAGAATATTTATCTTAGCATTTTGAAACAAACATACATAACCCAATATAATGTGGCTGACAATTATAAAGGTAGTCATCAACAATACAATCTGATACGATGAAATATATATTTTGTATATATTCCATATACGCTGCTGTTGGCTAATTCCAAGCAAAGACCGGCGAGTAGTTTATAGTTTTTGTTAATATGCGCTTTGGCTTTTTGCAAATTTTGTTGATTACAAAATAGACTTTATAAAATGTTTACTCTTTTTGTTTTTGTTTGTTTTGTATATTTGTACGTATTCCATATGTGAATTCCTTGTGAAATCCTCATGTCATGACTTGTGGAATACTACTTTGCCATGTGCGTGTTGTACCGTGTATGGAAATTACAGAGGCGACGACCATCGGTTGATGTGCGTCGTCCCAGCATACAGGATTTAGAAGACTTAATTAACCGCTCATCGACTCCGTTACGAGATATCGGTGATGGTGGTCCGCCGTCCATAGTTGATGTGCAAGAATCCTATTCAGCCGTAGAAGGTATGTTTATTGCTAACCAATTCAACAAAATATTTTGTCGGGGACTCTAATGTTTTTATAACTACACGCAATTCAATTTCTCTATGTGATATGTAACTTTGTTTTCCATTTTTTCCTCTCCTAAACGTCACAAATGTTTTTAAAAACAAATACTTATGTACATATATAAATAAGATTCAACGGCTTATATGACTGTTGGTGTGGAAGGCTCTCCTGCGCCTACGTTTAAATTTTATAAAGGAGTTAGTGAAATTCTAGAAGGGGGACGCTACAAATTTCTCACTGATGGTGAAACTAATACAATTACTTTGTGCATGCGTAAGTGCAAACCCAACGACGAAGCGAAATACAAGGTGGTAGTATCAAATATACATGGTGAAGATACTGCTGAAATGCAGTTATATGTATCGGATTCCAGCGGCATGGATTTCCGCGCCATGTTAAAAAAACGACGCTATCAAAAGTGGGCTAAAGAAGAAGCTGAGCCTCCTAAAGTTGATCTCAAAGAAACTGAGAAACCAATGCCAGCACTAAAGAAAGTTGAAAGGGTAAGGTGCATCACACTTTATATAAATCTTGTCTACATTCAACGCGTATTTTGCGAAACATAAAATGCTTCTACTACGCTTTTATGCACGCCGAGTATAAAAAATAGGTTTTTTGAGAATTGGTTTGGAATTGACAATTGTTGCTAAAACATTTGAAAATCTGTCCTCTTCTCAAAATGCGTGTGAATTTATATAAGTGTATGTACCAGAACAATCAATTTATGGCTAATAGCATAAAATGATCAAACATTAGTGTACATCATGTATGTACGTATTTAATTTATTGTTATATGAACAGATTTCTTATAACCACCACTACCACTACGTCTATATCAAATTGTGTTCGCCATTTACAAATTTCATCATTAACAAAATCTGGAAGTGTATAATATTTTCAAAAAACGTACCCACCGAGCTTCAAAGACTACTTGGGCGATAGCTGCAAATAAGTGTATGTCTTTGTCTTGCCTGGGCATGGCGACGATTTTGGCTCTTTCGAAAACCACTAGGAAATAAGAATGTTTTATGCAAAAATTAAATATTATGAATAAGGATTCCAAAGCACAAAGAGACTAGAGTCTTAAAAATTTGTAAGATTTTTAAGCGAAGATTTTATTTTAAAGATGAAAATTCTCTGGAAATTAGCACTCGTAATTTTGGACAGAAAGGTTACGTTTATTATCAAACGAACAGGAACAAGTAGTAGCGATAGAGTCAGAATAGAAGGAACGCTCAGTTATAGCCACAACTTTCTCGATATCATTAATCAATTCTCTGTAACTTACTGGTAACGTGAAAACACTTCCTTATGACTTCAATAAAGTTGCATACTTTCTTAAGCTGGATGATAATGGAATGGTATGTCATTCTAACATGTAGAACCGAACATCTCTGAAAGTTTTGCTGTATGAAATCAGGTACCTACAAAGTTTGAAGATAGTGAAGATAATAGTTTTTGCGCAATTTCGAGGAATTTTACTAAGAAAATGTTCAATGAGAGTGTAGAAAAAGGAATCCATATATATCTGTATGCAGTGCGGTATATACGATATTTCAAGACGTTTTGCGTTTTCGGAATCGGAGTAAGGGAGGTAAGGTCTCAAAGAAGGCAGAAGTTACATAAAACTTTAATGGGTGATCATCAAAACTTTTTTTAAATGGATAACTTTTCAAAACTGTTAATAGCGTAGTAAAAAACTTGAAAACGTGAGAAGTATATGACGTATTCTAAAGTAAAGTTGTAGAAAACCTTCATTCAGAAAAGTGGTGTCAAATGAGGGCGTTCTCTGCAAGTCGGCGTATTGAACTGTAGCAAAAGAATCAGTAATGTTTTGGTAGTTCCAACTAAGACAATTCTTTGTAAATTGATAAAAGTGCCAACTTAAGAAGGACATTATTATCTCAAATTGTACGAATTTATTTATACGTTTGCACGAATCATTACCAGATTTCTAACTAAGTTTAACTAAGTTATTGGAAGTTCACAAAATTTATGCTCACTGAAAGAAATTGCTTAAGAAAACCTTGTACGAAGGAATTAAAAACAACATGTCGTAGTCAATTTAGCCCAATTGTTAACAAATGTGTTTATATACGACTACCACCATGACCATATGAAACTTTGTAGATTTTTGGTGGTGGATTTGTAAGATTGGCGTACGACACTATGATTATTCGTCTACGTGAATGTGTACTTTTATATTTTTACTCACGAACTTATGACAGTTAAAGCAATAATGTAATATACAAATGTGTACTAAATAAGAAAATATAATATATATAAGTACTCAATATATATGTCTATATTTATTACATATAACAATATATTATTTAATATAGGTAATTGTTGCTTGTTGCGTATTGATTAATATTATATATATCAAATAATACATAATATATATTAACGTGTATACATATACATTAATCAGATACCGTCACGTAGACCATCGTTAGCCGAGTTAATACCAGATTGGCCGACATTGCATCCATTTCGTCGCGAAGAGGTTTGATAACCCAAATAAATAACACATTGACGACATTTTCAGTGTCTGTATTTTTAGTTATTGTTGATATTTATTTTTGTGAGGAAAAACAATGACTAGAAAGCAATTTTCCTCTCTCTCTCTGTCTCTGTTTCTGTCTCTCTCTCTCTCTCTCTTTCTTTCTTTTTTTCTCTCAAACACATCTTCTCTCTCTCCCTTCTTGACACTCTAACGGTACAGTTTCACTTCCCTATCTTTCCCTCTCTCTCTCTAAGTCTGTGGTTTACTCTTAAAAACTGTATGTTTTACTTTATTAGTCATTTTATGAATTCTAAGGAAAATATTCCTTTAAAATATATTTTGCTTTTATATTTATATATAAAAATACTACTGGATTTTTCTTTTATTAATAAAATTTTGTATTAAATTTTCATTCATTTCTTTTTGTGTGGCTTGTTTTTTGATCCTTTTTCGGCCATCGTTTTTTTGTAATAGCTATGTTTAGCATGGTATATGCATATATGAACATACATAAACGCATACTGGTTTTACGAAGGCGCAGACGGAGGTTGACAAACTAGATATCAAAAACTTATGAATAAGCTTATAAGTTTATCTACCATCCGCGAATCAATTCCAGCGTTCTTGTTATTCCTTTATCGAGCAGCGATTTGTCAGCATTTTATCATAGCAGTCTCCTCTATTCCCCGCGTCTGTTATGTAAGCTGCGTCTTTTGTTAGTATTATTAAATGCTGCAATTACACTCAGTGCGAGCATATGGTATACGCTAGAGTGCCTTTTTTATATGAGGAGACGTTCGTCCTTTTATGTCATTTGTGTGATCCATGTAAGCTGTAGATTTTATGGGTTAGTTTGAGATTTCTGTTTTTCCTTAGGCCCTTGTGTGTTGGGCATTGGACCCATTAATGCTGTAATAATAATAATAATAACGATAATAAGAAAACAAACAATGTTCACCGACAAGAGCCACGTGCGCATTAACTCGATTATATTATTAGACCGGTGTACAATGTCTTGCATTTGGTTTGCTAGCAGGAAAACAGGAATTTAAATTCTCGTATTCCCCTCCTATGACCGGTACATGACATTGTCGAATGTGATCTTCCATAATGTTGACCCTAAAAAGAATTCCTGTTGTGTTCTTCCAATAACTAGGCATATTCTGCATCCTCTACCTGTTTTTTTCCGTGGCCATTTACCAAAAAACTTGGTAATGTGCACCTTTGCAATGTTGTTGTTATACGTTGCTGGATAGCGGAGTTTTCAACATTTTTGACATTAGCCATCTTTTGTTTCCGAGCGTTTGCTTTCTACAGCATATCTTTTTTCCTAAATCGAAGCTCGAATTAGTCGTTGTTGCTATTTACTGCCCTGTCTATATGGTTCTAAATTATCTTTGCGTAGGCTTTGTCCATTACATCAATCGGTCTACCAGTTGAGGAATCGCTAGGTGGCTTTTTTGGTTTTCCCAACAATGTCGATATTTCCATTTTTTTTCCAAAAAAATTTTCTGTATTAGGCATATGATGATTAAAATTGCAATACATTCGGGCTGTGGAATGTTAAGTTGTTTTTTGCTTTGTGATTGCACTACTTGTTGGAGTATTCACATTTAAAAAATATTTTCCACTGTGTTTGGGCAGCTCAATGGACTTATTGGTCGCAGTCCTTTCATATAGATATAATTATTCTATAGGCTTACCACTAAGGACCGACATATATCAGTTGTAGCAGTTTCAGAAATGAATTTTTTCCTTACCACTATGTTTTTTTGAGTTGCTTTTGTTTCCCGTACGCGCGAACGGCTCATCCGGATAAGCGTTTATTCCTCTGTATGCGATGCAGCCTTCTTGCTATGTTATTTTGCGCTTGTGGTTCAGATATATCTTCTGCTGACATAACCCCGCTAAAGACAATTAAATTCCGGCTGCTTTATTTGCAGCATATTGGACATGTTATTGGAAGCTCACCCGGTTATCAATAATCACACCAAGGTAGTTAAAAGTAGGAAAGGGCGGAATGATGTGACTACTGAGTCTCGCACACAAGCTTTCGACACTTGTTCGGTTAATTATGGGTACCATTTCGATTTTATGTACGGTCAGTTGTAATCGCACTGCGTCTAGCTATACTTGCGCGTCTGACATGATCCCACTGATATTTAAGACGAGGCAGGCAAATCAGTCATGGAAAAGATTCGGATATCTAACATTAGGGAACCTTTGGTTGCACTAAACAAACGCTAGTTGAGGTTACAACATCGTTAGCCGTCCATCTGATAATGGGTACGCAAACTGTAAAAAGAAGCAACCGCAGCAGGTCTCTTGGGCAAAAAAGACGAACCACAGTACGCTAAGCTGCTTCAGAAAGACGATTGGAATGCTGTCGTCGCTTGCATCCACCATACGTTGGCACATTTCAATGGGGTTGGAATGCCAAATGGCAGAGGTTCTAGTAGAAGAAAGAAGCCAGTATTGGTTGACTAAGCAAATAAGCGAACTCAGGTTGAAGTCTCTTAAAGCCAAAAGATGTGCGAAAAGATCCAAAGCGTATGAAAATCCCCTTGACTCTTGGGATTGAAAAACAATTAATTTGGATGTGGGAAGGAATTACGCGAAAATATAAACACTGATCCGCGGGGCTTACTGTACAAAATAATAATCCAAAAATTTGGCTGCGGAAAGTGTATACCAAGAGATAAAAGTGCTATCGGGGCACAAACAATATTACAACAGAACAGACCCACAACAAATCTTGCCAGGGGCATGGTTATAGAATAAGAAGTCCAGCCAACATATTGAACTTTGAAAAAGAAAAGAGCACCGGGGCCGAAACGAAGTAATAGAACTGGTTGGTAACATTTGAACGGCTTTACGCGGTAATACATACAACTTGTGCCTCGGGTTCGACACTTTTCTAATATTGTGGAAGAGCCAGCTTTCGGTCTTGCTACAAAAATTCAGCAAGGTGCTAAATAGCCCGCATTCTTATAGACCCACCTGCCTCTTCGATAGTGTGAGAAAACTGTTTGACAGATTGCTGCTACTGAGATTTGAAAAAGATTTGGAGAGATGGGGCGGTTTATTTAGACCCATGCTTGGCTTTCCCAAACGACGACAGACTATTGATGCTAGGAAGTGGTTTCGGCAGCACAAAAAAAGAGGGACGCAAAGGGGTGCTGCGCTGTCTTGACGTTGGGTAAAAAAAAGCCTTTAATACGGGTGACTGAGACCCCTTCATAAAAAGTTTAAATAAGCGAACGTTTAAAATGATAGACGGTTACTTATATTAAATGTACGTGCGGTAAGGAAGATAACTGGTTATAAGATCGAGTATATAACATGGGACTTTGGCCCCTTCCGTTCTCCATAATAAAAGTCTTCTTTAGGTCGAGCGTGACTACTACGTAGAATTTCGTGAAACAATATCGCACTATGTTTAAATTGGGGTCTATATTTCTCACACCTTTTGCAGTGAAATATAGCCTCTTCCTTTCTTTCCGAGTATTCCAGACAGTTTGGCGAGCTACCGTGCCCGAACCTGTGCCGGTACTTCCGGAAGCAGCCATGACGTGTCAGGAACTGGGTGAGATAATAATTTACTTCCCTTTGTGGTCTTTCGTTCCATTGGGTTATCTTTACGATAGGAACGAACGTCCGCCTTCCATTTATTTTTCTGTCGCATTGTGATTGCGAAATCCTCACAGACATTAGCCGTTCGTCTTTTTATATGGCTTTTTGGGAGCGATCGCTGTTCAGACGCCGTTTGTGGACGCGTTTCTTGTGTTATACGGCTCTTTCCCATTGCCGCTATTGTACACTAAGGTGCAGTTCGAAAATTAACTTGTTATGATTACTAATTTATACCTTGGAGTCTGCATTCTTATGAGGGCTTTACAAATGCTCCCCTGGTCTGCCAAATTAAAGGCGTTCTCCACGTTCAGTGTAACCACGACTCAGTGCTCTTTATCGCCGCCCCTCCATCTCCGGCCATAATATCTCAGGCAAGTGCCACTGAATGCTATTTGATGTCTATCGAAGACCGTGTTCTTCGGAATCTGTATTGGTTATCTGGGAGAGCGTCCCTTTTCTCGACCACCAGCAGCAGGCATTCGTAAACGGCCCTTTCCAATAATTTGTGCATTACGTCTAATAGGTAAATCGGCCAATGTGAAAATGGCTCTTTGACTGCTTATTGCTTTTCAGATTAAGGGCCATCTTCTGCACCTTCCATTTATCGGGGAAGATCCTTTTTTCTAGCCACTTTTGAGACAACGTGACAAAGAAATTTGACCCCTTTTTTATTGGTGCTTTCGGAGCTCTGCTTCGGAATTCGTGTGGGCCAGCGGTTTTTCGTTCCCCAATATTTTGCAGGCGTTGCCTAACTCTCGCACAGTAGCTGCTAATACTAATTCATTTTCCCCACCGGTAACGCTCGACGGTCTCGACGAAAAAAATCTTGCTACTATTTCTCGGAGTATGAATTAATAAGACACTTGTGGCGTACTCTGTCCTTTCACTTTTTTCAGGACAACCTTGTATACCGTTCCTCATGGATCAATATCAGCTTCCTAGAATGTACGATGAAAACTTTTGTTTTTTCTGCTTTTGAGCGCCTTTTCAAGTCTTACCGCAGACTTTTATAGAGGGTTAACTTGCTCTTGAAGTTTGACCTATTCCTGCACCGCTGTACTTTCCTTCTAGCTTTTAAGCAGCCTTTCGTTAGTGAACTTTTGCTTTTGTTGGATTTTCTCGCCATAGCTTTGCCGTATGCTTCAGTTAGAATATCATTCACGGCTTGCAGGAGTTGGCTTGCTGTTTCCGTTCTGGTTTCCTACGAATCCAATACTAATTGAAGATGCCTTAGTGAAAAGATGGATGACTCCACTGCAAGTGGGTGGCGTTAGGCTGTCTACTGTCCCTATCCTCTTCGCCTACAATATCTAAGAATATTGCCTCATTGTCGCCGTTTGTGTAATCCTCACTCAGCGACCACTTAGATCTTGCAGCCAAGGCATCATTTACAAAGATGACACCAATATTTGAGCCTGCTCCCGCTTTCCCGAATGTATCTCTGCGTCCGTTATTAAGGAGTGCCACTTGTTGCACTGCAAATGCTTCGAGCAGAGTACGGCCTCCAGTATTATGGGCCCAACTAACCCCATTATAGTGCCCACGTGTTGATGTCGCCGCCAATTATAGCATGTGATGAAACTCCTGCACTGTCCGCCTCGGTGGCGCATAGCAGTTGCAGAAGTGGATTACGCCTGTTTTCGCTGTTACTTTCGCTTTTACAAAGCCACTGTGCTAGCAGTGCACGTCCAGCAGCGCCGTAGATGCGAGTGCCCAGGTCGTTACTTTCGCGAATCCATCGGTTAGCCATGAGCCCCGTCACAAGCTTCGATATGCTTCGCTTAGCAATACCAGGTACACCTTCTTCTTGATGCGGGTTTCAAGAAACGCTTCTTCTCATCATTTTTTGCAATATGATTTTGCTCTCCACATATACGGTAGCCTTTTGATCGGTGAAACTGATCCCTGCATTATTTAGCATTAGGTTTGAACTCCAGAAACTACGGCAACATCTCACCAAGATTCTGCGCTGTTTGATCTTGCAGATCACTCATCCTATGTGCAACTTGCCGCCTACCAATAGCTTAGCGAGTTTCTTCTGTGGGAGAGTTCTTACAATTATCTGCGCTTCATTGTATGCGTTCCTTATAGTCACCACGTACTGGGACTTAAGGGCATCACATTTGTCCTGTTTGGTAGTGATTTGGTCAATGTCTTCGCATTCAAATATTTGTCGATGCTTAAGACATCTGACCGCAGCTTCTTTTCCCAGACAAAAGATCCCTGCCTGTCTTACTTTTTCTGTTTTCACTCGGGTCTTGTTAAGCTGCAGTAGGAGCTCGTTCTTCTGCGTTCCCCTTCTCTTTTGTACGACCTTCTCAAGCTGCCTCAAGACAGGTTCAGTTTTAACCGTGTGCGTGCGCATGTGTACAAACCCTACGCAATTTTTAATTTTTTAATAAATTTTTCTCATAAGTACGTATATTATATTTTTATTACGTTTTTATATGCAATTTTTGTATGGCTTTTATAATTTATCTTATAAATTAATTTAAGCTGAACTAATTTCTATTAGCCAAAAAAATTTGATTTTTTTATATGTTGCAAGAATATGCGATACAGATCTTCATCGATATTACCTTTTTTACCTTGTCTACTTTAATCTTTCTCTCTGTCGTATTTTGTTGTAATTTTCAACGTATGTTGATACGTATCGCATATTCACATTGAAAATAAAACTCTTTTCCCATTTTTGACAACGCAAATTATTAAAAAATGGTAAAAAAATACTTTTCGACACTCGCATTTCTTTTAAACTTACGCATGCGTGCAATCACAAATCAACGATATGTTTGCTAACTTTCAACTTGACAGAAACAAGAGTCGTTTCTTAGCCCACTCATTGATCAATTTGCTAAGGAAGGCAAAGACAAAAAAGTGGTTTTTGAGGGCCGTTTCAGTAAGGCAAACGCGAAGTGCAAATGGCTGTTTCGAAAGGATGTAAGTATATAAAACTTTCTGAATAGATTTGTGTACTCATATACGTATATATCACAAAAGTAGGCATATTCCACCTTAAAAACTCGCAGCCTTACTAAAACCAACCATTTATTGCATTCTACTAATTTCAAATTCTTAAAGTCTTCTTCGTGGAAAAAATTTGAATAGCATTTGGGTAGGTGTAGGGAAACGGTTTTGATATCCGGAAGATGAAGTTGCATTAACTTTGTGTTTTCGTTTGTCGCACATATAAGCACATCGATTATAACATATGCTCACTAGTTTTTTAAGTTAATATCAGCAAAATAAATTTGTAATCAAACTTAGTACCATGTTCCTAGTTGAAATTTTAATTAAAACTTAAATTAGTGACGCTTTCTAAGAACTTTCAAGTTGACGCTTATAAAAAATTTCTGTTGAAAAGTCAAATCAACAAACAAAAGCCTTTGTGAGCTGTACACATTTATAATCAAGTTTTCTGTCAACATTATTAAGACTCAGATAAAGAACTTCGTGTCTACATGGCATCTTTTCCAATTCAATAAATCATTTGTTGTTGATTTGCTGACTCGCAGAAGAAGAACAAGTATTTGTTATTACTTATAAATTGATGGGAAAATTTGTGTGTATTTACAAAATAAATAGCTCAGGAAAAAGTATTAAAATGCTAGGATTGGGCTAGAATTTGAATGTATCTATTCTAGGGCGCCGAGAACTACGCAGGCCGTAGAAAATTCGGGTTAATATCATTCTAAACAAATATTGGACACGTTATTAGAATCTCTGCCTTCTACTCAATCAATGAATCTACTAATTTCTGCATTTTACTCTTGGTAAATAAAAGGAAGTATTCGCGAGCAGTAAATACAAATTTAAAAATGAAAATGACACATATCAGCTAATCATAATGAATCCGAAAGTGGAAGATACCGGCAAATACAGCATTGAAATTGGCGGTGTTTCGAGTACAGCGTTTCTAAATGTAGAAGAAGCCGATCCTAGCTACACATTTACAAAACCACTGAAGAAGAAAATTGAAGGGTTTACAAAACACGAGACCACATTAGAATGCACGGTTAGCAGTAGTATGGCTAATGTTACTTGGCTAAAAGATGGGAAGAAAATCGAGTCCGACGATTCACGATACCTAATTTCTAAAGATATAAACGGAAACTTAAAACTGATAATCAAAGAATCTGTGCTTGAAGATACGGGCACCTACACTTGTCAACTAGATAAGCAGCCGGATAAGACCGAGACTAAAGTGAAAATTGTCGAATATCCATACAAATTCGTTAAGGTGCTCAAGAGCCAACACTGCGTTGAAAAAGATACAATAACCCTTGCTTGTGAAATCGATGATGCTACTGGTGAAGTGCAGTGGTGGCACAATGATGAGGAAATCAAACAAGACAAACGTATACAGGTTGTCAAAGATGGACGCAAACGAAAACTAATTCTTAAGGACTGTAAAGTTACAGATGCCGGTTTATTTAAATGTACCACAAATGCTGATAAAACCGAAGCAGAAATCATTATTAACTGTAGGCAAAATTAAAAAAAAACGCAAACTTTTTTCCAACTATTATTTTGTTTCTTTTTATTATCAGACCAAAATCGTTTTAACAAAAAGCTAAAGGATACTGACGCTGTTGAACGTGAAAAATTAGTGATGGAAATTGAGCTGCAAGATCAGACTGCTCCTTGTGTGTGGAAATTTAATGGTAATCTAATTGAGTCGAGCGAGAGGATTCAAATCAAAAATCTGGGAGGAGGTAAACATCAACTAATATATGAAAGGCTCGAATTGCCAGATGAAGGTGAAATTACATGTGAATCAGGCCAACTGACTTCGACGTGTAAGTTGACAGTGCGTCAGGGAGAAAGCAAACCCAACATTGACTGTCCCGATGAATATGCTGGTCCAGTTAATTCGCCAATTATCATGGAAGTACCATACAAAGGTGAGTATCACATAGCATGACAAAAATTAGTCCATGTAGTGAGCTATATATATATTTTAAAAGTTAACGGTACTAAGCAGTCACCAGTGGAAGCAAAACTGTGCAAAGACGGAAAACCTTTACCTATTAAAGAAGTAGAAATATCAATTACTGAGGATAAAGTAACATTTAAAATTAAAAAGCCGACCCGTGAAATGTCTGGAAAGTACCAAATTAAGCTTTCTAATTTCCAAGGAGAAGATATCAAGGATGTCAAAGTTATTTTTCAAGATGTGCCGCAGGCACCAAGGGAAGTTGATATTACAGATATATACCAAACTTCATGCATACTAAAATTTAAACCGCCGGAAGACGATGGCGGCCTGCCAATTATAAAATATGTTGTCGAACGCCAAGACATCAGTAAAAAACAAGTTTGGGAACCAGTTGCAGATGTGATGGCGGGCGAGCCATTTTCAAAAAGTATCGAAGATCTGGTTCCTAAAAAACAGTACAGATTCCGTATTCGCGCTGTCAATAAAATTGGTCCATCTGAGCCGACCACATTTAAGAGCACTGTTCTAGCTAAAGATCCTTGGGATGAACCTGGTAGGCCAAGGGATGTCGATGTAACTGACTGGGATCAGGACCATGCAGATCTACGGTGGCAACCTCCAGAGAATGATGGCGGAGATGCTATAACAGGCTATATAATTGAATACAAAGAAAAATTTGCTAGCGATTGGAAAACAGGCAAAGAAGTTTCTGGCGATTCACGTAGCACAACAGTGGAAGATCTTAAGAAAGGACAGCAGTACGAATTTCGAATTCGTGCTGTTAACAGAGCTGGTCTTGGGGAACCGAGTGATCCCACGAAAGCAATTATTGCCAAATGCCGTTTTGTCAAACCGTTTCTTGTCGGTGATGGTCTTACAGACATTACAATTAAAAAAGGACAAATAGTGCGTTATGACATAAAATACGACGGCGAACCTGAACCAACCGCTTCTTTCTTTAAAAATAATAAAGAATTAATGGCTGACAATCAACGTGTTTGTGTAGACCAGCTAGAACGCAATTCTTCCCTTGTAATAAAAAAAGCAATACGAAAAGACTCTGGCAAATATAAATTAGTGCTCTCAAATAGCTCAGGAACTGTAGAATCGCAGGCGCAAGTTACAGTTTTGGATCATCCTTCGGCCCCCGGTGGTCCGTTCGAAGCCAACGAGGTACGGGCTCATCGTATTAAAATGCAATGGAAGCGCCCTGAAGACGATGGTGGTTCTGAAATTACCGGCTATGCTTTGGAACGCATGGATGAAGAAACTGGGCGTTGGATAACAGCTGGTGAAGTTTCACCAAATGAGACTTCGTTCGATTTCAAAGGTCTTTCATCTGGGAAGAAATATAAATTTCGTGTTAAAGCACTTAATAAAGAAGGTGAATCAGAGCCACTAGAAACTACCGAGCCAATTTTGGCGAAGAATCCTTACGACCCGCCCAGTCGTCCTGGTAAACCAGTTGTTGACGACTATGACAACAAAAGCGTTTCCTTGAAATGGAAGATACCACCCTCCGACGGTGGACGTCCTATATTGCACTACATCATCGAACAGAAAGATAAGTTTTCCCCGGACTGGATTGAAGTCACTAAGACTGATGTGCCAACGCCGGAGTGTAAGGTAGAAGGACTGAAGGAAAAAATGGTTTATCAATTTCGCGTGCGCGCTGTCAATAAAGCTGGTCCTTCTGAGTCGTCTGAACCCACTGATAATCATTTATGCAAACATAAGAATCGTAAGTTGTTTTGTATGAGGAAGCTGGCTTTGCGCAATCATAAATCCATGCATATAGCTCTCCGTTGCTAAGCTTTTTCAATATTATAGAAATCAGCATTTATTAACTTGACTTTTATAACCTATCGCTTCGTAAATTTATAAAAAATATTTAAGTCCAGGTAGCAGATTCTCTCCCGCTATGTTTTTATGCAAACTGATATGACAAGTCATTTGCTTTGATTTTTCTTCTTAATTGTTTTTTCGAATAGTGAAACCAGAAATCGATCGGTCCACGTTCAAGCGTGTCACAATCAAGACTGGACGCACCCACAAGTGGTCAGTCGACGTCATTGGAGAGCCGATACCCTTTTTGAGTTGGAGTTGGCGCGATAACATTCCCTTATCTACAGGTGATCGCATAAAGATTGAAAATATTGACTACCATACAGATTTTGTAATCACAAATGTAAAGCGTAATGATAGTGGCTTGTATACGCTGAAAGCCGAAAATCGTAATGGTATAGACAGAGAAAGTATTGAGTTGATCGTTTTAGGTAAGCCTAGCGCACCGAAAGGTCCACTAGGTATCAGTGATGTGCATGCAACCGGTTGCACATTAGAGTGGGCGAAACCGGAAGATGATGGTGGTGTGCCCATTAAAGAATATGTAGTTGAGAAGATGGACACGGCCACAGGAAAGTGGGTGCGTGTAGGTCGCTCAGCAGGTGAGAAAGATCCCCCAGCTTTTGATGTGACTGGCTTGAATCCAGGATCAGAATATATGTTTCGTGTGAGTGCTGTTAACGAGGAAGGTGAGTCTGAGCCATTGACTACTCTAGTAGGAGTGGTAGCCAAAAATCCCTATGAGAAACCGAGCAAACCTGGCACTCCCGAAATCACTGATTATGATAACCAGAGTATTTCACTTAAATGGATCGCTCCATCAAGTGATGGTGGTGCTCTTATCGAAAAGTACATCGTCGAAAAAAAGCAAAAAAATAAACAGCCATCTGAATGGGAAAAAGCTGTCGAAGTTTCAGGAAATCAATTTGAGGTTACAGTTAGTGGGCTCCAAGAATATGACGAATATCAATTCCGTGTAGTGGCGGTTAATAAGGGAGGAGCTTCACCACCTTCTGATCCAACCAATGTCCAGATTGTCAAATATAAGAAACGTGAGCAGTCCAATCTTTACTTTCCTTTAATTTAAAATATATGATTTTAATTACAATTTAGTTAAACCTCATATCGATCGTACCAATCTAAAGCCGTTACTTATTCGCGCTGGTAAACCTATCAAATACGATGTGAAGATTCGCGGAGAACCGGCTCCGACAATTGTTTTATATCATAATAATTTAGAACTAAAACCGGGGGAGCTATCCGGCAACTACGATATAAAAATTGTGCCGTATAATGTAAAAATCTCTATAACTGAAACATTGCGACATCATAGTGGTGCTTATAAAATTTATGCTTCTAATGAACATGGCGAAGACGAAGCTACAGTCGAAGTAAATATTTTAGGTCCTCCTGAAAAGCCAAAAGGTCCTTTGGAAGTTACATGTGTGACAAAAGATAGTTGCAAACTGAATTGGCAGAAACCAGATGATAATGGCGGTAAGCCGGTGACTGCATATCAGGTTGAAAAATTTGATAAAAAGCAAGGCCGGTGGGTTCCAGTCGGTCGCACATCCGGCAATGATACCGAAATCGATGTCAAAGGTCTTCTCGAAGGCCATGAGTATCAATTTCGTGTCAGGGCTATTAACGATGAAGGCGAATCTGAGCCTTTAGAGAGTGATGATAGTATCATTGCCAAGAATCCTTACGATACTGCCAGCAAACCTGGCAAACCCAAAATCGATGACTACAATGAGCACATGGTGAAGCTTGTGTGGGAACCGCCAAATTATGATGGCGGTGCTCCCATAACACATTATGTAGTGGAAAAAAAAGACAAGTTCTCGACAATTTGGGATGAAGTCCTTACAACTGATGTAATTGGGCATTAAAAACTATGAATCCTGACGTTTAATATAAATCACCTTTTTTTAATTTATTTTGTTTCCAGTCCACTCTCACGCAGGCTACGGTCGAAAAACTTACCGAAGGAAACGTTTATCAATTCCGCGTAAGAGCAGTAAACAGAGCTGGACCTAGTGAGCCCAGTGATTCATCCGAATCACATTTAGCAAAGCCTAGAAACTGTGAGATTTATGAAAAAGTTCTGCAGCATGTAATTGCGCGAGATGTTCATTTTGCTGAAGTCTATCTAATGCTGCTTTAACGCTTAACTTTGTACGCCTTCTTTGATATTCATCACAATTCCGTTATTTTGGAATGCTTTCATATATGCTTCTTAAAGAAATCGAAATTTTAAAATAGAAAAATGCGATAGAAAATTTTCAACTTTGGTATTCACTAAGAAGATAATAGGCACAAATTTGTATATGTATCCACACGATATCATTCAAGGAAAAGTAGAATTTTAGTAAAATAAGACAAGTAAAATGCTTTGAACCTAAACAGTGGTGACTTCAAACAAAAAAAAACATTCACTATTATGCTCTTCTGTCCCATTTATTGTCTACTCAAGATCGTGTTGTATTTTCACTTCAACAAGCTAAGCCTAAATAAAATTATCCCCACTAATTCTTCTTTGTGGTTAGAATTTAAGTAAGCACGAACGTTGAGACCTGCTCGCCTTCTAAGGGGTTGGCGTTACGGTGTTAAATGTTTGAACTGCGAAAACAGTGAAAAAGGTATTAGTTAACGGTCTTAAAACTGCGCCCTAAACTGGGGATATGACGGTCGGTATCAATGGACCCGTGTCTACACGTATAAATTATGGAAGTATGATGGTCGATTACAATGATTAAGAAATGCTGTTACCTGTCGCGAAGACGGTACTATTCCAACTTTGTGTGTTCAAAGTCTCACTCTAGATCAAATCTACTGCTACGATATGCATGTTTTTGTTTATATGCATGGTGAATGAGAACGTTGACGGTCATCGGGCACGTGTAAATTGTGATTTATTCTTTCATAAAGATTAGAAAATTAGTAACTAGTAATAGTAGGGCCAAATTATTTCTCGGCAATACACAAAACGTTAACAATTTTATTGAAAGCAATGATTATCAATCTAAATTACTAAACAATTATATTCCCTTAATTTCACAGTGAAATACGAAATAGTTTGTAATTCCTATCTCATTGAAAAAAAAAGAGAAAAGGAATTATGCTCAGCCAGTGTACCATCGCAATGCCTTTGATAACACCAAACATAATCCAAATTAAGTTTAAGGGAAAAGCCATCCCAAAGATTCAGAAATTTGACTTCTACATATTCTCATTGAAAAAACGTCAACCATTTGAACGCCTAAATAATGCGGATAATGATGAGAATTTAATCTTTAATTAAGTGCGCGCTTCCAATCTATGCACGAAACGGTATTGTTGATGTCAACAAAATTTTCGCCAACATGTTTAGCCTTGTAGCTAAGCAGAAGTCTTATACCTCTTAGCCCACACACGTCAATCTTCCCAAGCATCGCCAAGCTTTCTGTTTGAGCCTAAGATTATTAATAACAACCATAAGTTCGCTGAGTTTGGGAAACTTTTTCATGGAGTCTTCAAGACTCGGTCATTGGTGGAAAACTAGGACCATCTCAAATATTTATCTGTAGAAATATTTACTTCTAGGAAAAGCTGCATTAATGTGAGTCCGTTATAACTTTAAAAATCTCATATAATTACATTTGACCTTTGGTTTTGCAACATAATATTCCGAATTAGAGACATAACACCCACCCTCTAGATTGTTTCCTTAGACCTAAGGGAATCAATTGTATCTGTTCTTAGATAGATTTTGCTATGGTATGGGAATGTGTGAAACTCCATTTTTGTAGTGGTTGTGTAAAGTTGTAATCCTTATCAAGAAAGGAATCTTTTTAAACAAATTCCACACAAGTCTTCGACAAATATACTCATTGACAAACCTGCATATTTTAAGCATAATATCGTGATGGCATCCTCCTACTTTCCACCAAATATTCCTACGCAGATCATTCGTGGTGAAATGCAAAGGCTGCGATTTCCTTGAAGGCTTGCAAAGCTTAATTCTTGCTGGAGGTTCGAAATCGAGACCTTGTCACTTTGGCGGTTCAATCTCAAATAACAGGGGCAAGAATTTTTCAACATGGTAGGCTCCGGTAACTTGAGTTGTCTGAAATTGATATTAATCTTTCTTTACTCTGATCCTGCTGCTACTGCTTGTTGCTACTGCTTCCAAATCGAGTCGTCTAGTCTTTCAATGGAAAACACGGAAATATGTCCACCTGGAAAATGTGACCTCAATTCCGATTTTTATACCTCTAGACTTGCGTCAATTCTGCCCAAAGAATTAACGGTTTTATACCTCACAAAATATTGTTTGATCGCTTACTTAGTTTAAATTTACAGCCAGGCAAAGCTTCAATCCGCAACACGTTTCAACATAAACTTGAATCTACCCGAGCCAATTTCCATATTTTCAACAATTTCTCTCTAAAACCAATGTGGGATGCTTCGCTTTCTACTAACTTCCTCAAACTTTGATAATTTCGAAGAAACTCAAAAAGAATTAAAGACGGCAGTAAGAGAAGGCAAAGGAAATGTTGAGATGAACAGAATGTACAAGTGCCCAATAAGGAAGGACGCAAACAACGAGTCTTATGTTAGGTTGCTTTAAAGTCATGTACCTACAGGACATTTTTTAGTTTTTCTTTCTCTCCAGCCTCCTGCCGAGGATATGTCTCCTTTTTTATTTGAGGAGCGTCCTCCAATTGAGGAGAAAGTGTTCAGCTACTGGCTGTAACGGTACTATATAGGACGACTTGTGTGTACCGATCCGCACGTCTGGCAGAAGTTTTGCTGAGCTGAGAAATTATAGAAATATATTTCTCAACTTGATCCTTGCGAACGATAGACTTATGAGGTCTTTGAAGATCCGAAAGCTCATTCCTGCTCGGTGTGTTGCATACTAGAAAGACAAAAAATTCGATCACATTTTCAATAAAATTCTTTCTATTCCAGTCTGGAAATCTACCCATTGCAAATGTAAACTTGATCTAAGTCTCTTTTTTTCTATTTTTAATGCCGAAAAGAACTTTCCGCAATCCGATGTGCGAGCTGTGCGTTAGTGGAAGCTAATATCCTATCTAAACAAGGATTTTATAACCTATTCTTTTGATGGTTCTGTTGCTTCCGGAGTATCCAACGTCTCAATTTTGGAAAAGTTCTTTTCAATCTTTGCCGAACTTTTCTCTCTCAGGTACACCGTTTCTTTGGTCAAACGGTGTGAAAAAATTCGTACTCTTTATCTGTCAGCAAAACGGCCTTGACCTTAATCAAAAGTGAAGATGTTAAATGATCGTTTCACTGATGAATGTGGTGGTTTGCGTTTAAATAAAATGTACGGTAAACGCGATTTGATGCCATAGCCCTAACTGTCAAATGTCCCAAACGTGGTCTTCGCCCAACTCGGACAAATGTTATGCAGGATCGGAAGGACAAAGTGATTGTCGCTTTAATAAGATATCTCCCTCCATGGCTTTTTAGCCCCTGTCGGGTGCGCTAGTCAAGGCCTGGAAAGGAAAAATCGTCAATAGATTTATAAGTATTCACACGTACGGCAATGCCGATTTAAAAGCGAAAGCGAAACTGTGTCATTTAATACATGTGACCAGTGTAGGACGACAAACCCGGCTGTAGATCTCTCTTTTGTATGCAGAAAATTTAATATTATTACACAGCTTTTCAGTATTTTCACTATGTATAACAACCTTTCTAAAACTTTTAGGCAACAACGCCCATCTCATCCGACTGATTTTCTTTCAAAACTGCTAAACACCCATTTTAATTCAATATTGATCTAATTAGACTAGTATTTATTACGTGGATTCTGTTTTTTATGTATTTATTTTCCATATATATTGTAAATAAATGTACAAAGAATAGACAGCCGACAGCCTCTAAGTCGGATAGCTTAGATCACACGCTTGCGTGCATTGAAAATTTACCCTCATATAAAATTTGAGCCCGCGACCATTCAATTGTTAGTCGCGTTGCTTTAACTTCTCGACTACTCATACGGATGCTTTGTTTTTCTTTTTGTTTACTTTCCCAATTATCTAGTTAAAGCTCTTGATCAGGCCAAACTTCAGCAATAAACCTTCTGGATATAACACAAAGGACAGTGCTTAACTGATTATCATTGCACAAGCCTCCTACTAAAGTAGGATTTGTATCACCAATTTTTCCTATTAATCATCATGCACTATCGGCATTATTTAAAAAGCGCAAAAGGTCAACAAATAATAAGAGCTCATTACACTGCTGCAAATATTGGTCTTATTGTTAAAAGGCCTAATTTATTCATCCAAACAAAAAAAAAAAAACAAGTAAGAAAGTTACGTTCGGAATCTCGCATACCTGTCACAATGCAAATGTTTGACACCTTGTGGTTTTATTTCTTATCATACAAAAATGAAAGGGAAGAATTTTTCTTTAGTTTTTCGCATTCTAATTTGCAAGGCCTTTTATTTGATACCTATACGGGTATCTTTAAGGGAAACTTTGTCCGCCATATCGGTCTCTCCACTGTAGTTAATTCAAAATTAACACACTTAGCTTGCCGCATTCTACTTTCCAAATTATTTTTATGAACGGTATTATAACAAAAAAATTAACTTGCTTCATGACGCCCCCCATAATTAATTTAGAATTAACACAGTTACGTTGTCGCCTACTAGTCTCCGAGTTTTTTTATTTGATGTCCATATCACCCGTATTATTAAAAAAATATTTGTCCAGCAGGGCTTTGGCAATTTATATGTATTAATTTAAGGAATGTACAAAATTATTTTAAATATTCCGTCTTGTTTACTTTATGATTAAAAAGCATATATCCTCAAAATGTGAAAAAAAGAAAATTTTATTACTCATATCTGTGTGTAGGCTTGGCCAATTTTTTCCATATTTGTACATAAACGATAAATTTAAAGTTTTCATCTCCTACAATTCGTGAGTAATGAGTAAAAATCAACAAACATTTGTTTAGAAAAACGGAATTGCGTTCAGTTTACGCTTCGCTGAGGCATTTTGCAATACCAATCTGTGTACTAAGATTTCTAATGTTTGCACCAAATTTGAAGTTGATAACTTTATTTTGGCAACTGTGTGTCAACAACACATACCAAACAAACGTAGCTTAATTAGTTCAGAACTCAATGCTAATCAAGACTATGTATATTTTTTAGGGTTTTTGAAGCTTTCTTATGAGCGTTGCAAATATTGTGACAAAATGAGTATACCACCATCTCTCAGTGGTGGGTACAAAAGAAAACAAGAGGAATTATGAATTAAACTCTTGTACACATAATATTAGACATCATATTAAAAATGAAAGAAATCGGAACTTTTCATTTTTTTAAAACTTTCTCCCCCAACGAGTCCCTGGTTCGCAAGCTTGTTTCAGGAATTAAAAAATGAAAAGTTTCTCAACCCACCCCAAAAGTTTCCCTACGTTCAAATATTACGGCTATGAAAGGCTATGATTACAAAACTCAAACTACCGAAATTTCTATTTATTCTTAAAGCACGCCTTAGCAATCTGTTGAAATGCGATCTATGGGTATTGTAATGGTAAATTTATTGCTGGTTAATAGTAAAGGATTGCTTTTATATTTTGATGCCTAAGCAAATGTATGTTCCAAGTTTTAGTCGCTCGCTCGTTTGATTCAGTCCTTATGACTTGATGAACGTTGATAACACGTTTCTCTTATTTGGGCTCTCAGATCTTAATTCTTTTATTAGGTAAAAGCTGTATTGTCTTTCTGTGGATATTTTTTAGATTTTTGATCGGTCTCTTGTTTGGCCTACAGAAAGCATTCCTGTACTACAAAGATTTTTAAAGTTAACAAATTCTTCAATGTTTTAGGGAAATCTTTTTTACCATCACGGGAAACTAAGAAATACTCTGCTCTGTAAATAGTTGCGTTAATTTGATGTTTCTATGACCACCTTTTTAGGTCCTGTTTATATTGCTCTAATAAAAAGGGGTATCCATAACTAAGCGTTATATTTGGTAAGATTTCATTTTAGATAATTGTATAACTGTATGCTACAAATAGTAATTGAATTATTAAATCGATACTGAATAATTAGGTGTTTACAATTGCTATAAAAAAAAAAAAAACTACTCACAAGTTTATTTGTTCACTTCCACTATGTCTGTTTAGAAGCGGAGGAGAAATTCCTAGATGTCGTTTGTTGTCATATTCAATATAAGTAAATCAGATCCAGCACGGCTGTTTAAAGTATCAATTTATTTCCAACACAATTATTCAACATTCAATTGAAAAATACGCAATACACCTTCGAAATGCTATGTCTAATGCTTATTAAGGTATCTAAAAAAACGAAAAGCTAATATTGCATGGCTCTATGATCACAAACAAGGCGAAACCTTTTTCGATAAAAGTATTATGTAGTTATGTAAAATATATTTATCTGGTATTAACTTTTGAAAAATATCCTTAGTAAAACCTAGCATTAATCGCGAGCACATGAAAAAAATCAAAATCCGTGCTGGTCAGACAGTCAAATTTGACGTTGACGTGAAAGGTGAACCGGAACCGACGTTAAGCTGGGCTTTTAAGGAAAAGGAGCTTCTTGGTACTGGGCAAGTCCGCCTGGAAAATAATGACTATAATACGAAATTAACAATATTAAATTCGACTCGACAAAATAGTGGCATATATAGACTTAAAGCAGAAAACGTCAACGGCGTAGACGAAGCGGAAGTGGAGGTTATTATCCTTGATAGGCCAGGAAAACCCGAAGGTCCCTTGGAAGTTAGTGATATTCACAAAGAAGGATGTAAACTGAAGTTTAAAAAGCCAAAAGATGATGGGGGCGCATCAATAACAGCTTATGTAGTCGAACAAATGGATGTCGCAACAGGACGTTACGTCCCGGTGAGCACGGTTGGTGCCGACAAAACTGAAATTGAAGTAAAAGGTTTAGAACCGAATCATCGCTATCAGTTTCGAATTAAGGCCGTTAACGAAGAAGGTGAGTCGGATCCATTAGACACGGATTCGGCTATAGTAGCAAAAAATCCGTTTGATGTCCCTACTCCTCCGGGTTTGCCTGAATTTGAAGACTGGGATGAACATCATGTTAAGCTTAAATGGGAACCGCCTATCCGTGACGGTGGTGCACCTATTAGTAATTATATTATAGAAGTTATGGATAAGAACTCAGGTGTGTTCATTAAAGCAGCCGAAACTGACAGCTCTGTATGCAAAGGGATCGTGAAAAAATTAGAGGAAGGACAACAGTATAAGTTCCGTGTGCGTGCTGTAAACAAAGCTGGCTTTTCGGAACCATCAGAACAAACGAACTGGCACACAGCCAAGCCACGTTTTCGTAAGTATATAATTTTTGCAAGTTTAATTGTATTCACTATAAATTTTTAATTTTCTTCAGTCAAGCCTCACATTGACCGTACAAATCTTAAACACTTGGTTGTAAAAGCAGGTCTTTCCATTAGTCTTGATGTCAGTGTCAAAGGGGAACCCGCCCCCAAAGTCGACTGGTTCTTCAAGGATCAACCGCTGGTATTTGAAGATAATGGTGTACGTATCGACAATGTTGATTACAATACAAAATTTTTTGTTATGCGTGCTCAACGCTCCATGAGCGGTAAATATACCATAACAGCTACAAATGAAGTCGGTGAGGATAAAGCGGAACTTGACATTAATGTTCTCGGTAAGCCCGGGACTCCCAAGGGTCCTCTGCAAATCAATGACATTACAAAACATGGATGCAAATTAAGGTTTGAAAAACCAGATGATGATGGCGGATGCTCTATTGACTATTATGAAATTGAGAAATTGGACCCACACACAGGTCAGTGGTTACCCTGTGGCAAAAGTATGGAGACGGAAGTTAAAGTGATTGGTCTGCAAGAAGGAAAATCATATAAATTTCGAGTTCGTGCTGTTAACAAAGAGGGCGAATCGGAAAATCTAGAGACCGAGAAGTCAATAATTGCAAAAAATCCCTTTGACGAGCCAGATAAACCTGGTCGTCCGGAACCAATGAATTGGGATAAAGACTTCGTTGAGTTAAGATTTGATCCACCCAAGGACGATGGCGGTGCACCAGTTCAGAAATTCATTATACAGATGAGAGACAAGTCAGGACGTTCTTGGACTGATGCTGCGACTGTGCCTGGCGATCAGACTACTGCAACTGTTACTGGTGTAGAAGAGGGTCAAGAATATGAGTTTCGGGTCGTGGCGGTTAACAAAGCTGGGCCTAGTGAACCAAGCGACGTCTCTAAATCAATAGTAGCTAAACCAAGATTTCTTAAACCCTACATAGACCGTAAAAATTTGCAAAAGAAAATTCTACGAAATGGTCAAATGCTACATGTTGAAGCCTTAGTTAAAGCTGAGCCCCCAGCAAAAATCACTTGGAAACATAATGAGGCAGTTTTGAAGTCATCTGAACGCCTTAAATTAGAAAACGAAGACTATAAAACGACTTTTATCATGCCGAAAGTGAAACGTTGTGATAGAGGCATTTATGTAATAACAGCGATGAATGATTCTGGCGTTGATACAGTACAACTCGAATTAGAAGTATTGTGTAAGCCCAGCAAACCAACGGGCCCACTCTCAGCTTCTGATGTTACGGCCGAAAGTGTACACTTAAATTGGGATAAACCTGAAGATGACGGTGGTGAGCCTATTGAGTGTTACGTAGTGGAAAGAATGGACATGGAAACAGGGCGTTGGGTGGCGGTGTTAACAACGAAATCGCCCGAAGCTGATGTTACTGGTTTGACAGAAGGCAAGGAGTATTTGTTCCGCGTTAAGGCTGTCAATTCGGAGGGAGAGTCTGAACCATTAGTAACAGATATACCCATTACCGCTAAGAATCCGTACGACCCGTCTGATCCACCCGGGAAGCCCCAAATAATTGATTGGTCAAGCAATCATGCTGCACTAAAATGGCGGGCACCTGAATGTGATGGGGGGGCTCCGATTACTAGCTACGTTATTGAAATGATGTTGTCGAGTGGAAAGTGGCAAAAAGTATTGGAAACTAACACTGCTGATTGCAGCGCTCGAGTGAACGATTTAATTGAAGGTAAAAAATACCAGTTCCGTGTAAAAGCTGTTAATAAGGCTGGAAAAAGTAAACCTTCTGAGCCCTCTGATCAAATAGTTGCTAAAGATCGTTTTGTTCCACCCAAAATTGATCGCACAAATATCAAAGATATTACTATCAAAGCAGGTCAGCATGTTCGTTATGAAATTAAAATTTCTGGTGAACCACCTGCCAACAAAACATGGTTCCATAATAAATCCCGCATTGAAAATGACGATGTTAGTATTGACTTAGAACAATACCGAACTAAATTTTCCATTCCATTTGCGAAACGATTCCATACTGGAAAATACACTATTAAGGCACAGAACGATTCTGGTACCGATGAAGCTACTTTTGAAATCAACGTCATAGATCATCCAGGAAAACCCGAGGGACCACTTCGTATATACGATGTACATAAAGAAGGATGCAAGCTGAAATGGAACCCGCCTTTAGATGATGGTGGTGTTCCGATTGATTATTACATTATTCAAAGGATGGATATAGAAAGTGGTCGTTGGATACCTTGTGGACGATACAAAGAGACTTTTGCTGAATTAAATAATTTGGAGCCTTTACATGAATACAATTTTAGAGTAATTGCTGTCAACGCTGAAGGTGAATCGGAGCCGCTTAAGGCAGATCACTCAATTGTAGCTAAAAATCCCTTTGATGAGCCTGGAAAACCTGGCACACCTGAAGTTATTGACTGGGATAAGGATCACGTTGAACTTGCATGGAAGGCTCCAATCAATGATGGTGGTTCACCTATTTCCTCTTATGTTGTGGAGAAACGTGAAAAAGGTTCTGACAAATGGATTAAAGGCGCTGAGATTCCCGTTACTGTCACAGCTGAAGTCTGCAAAGGAACTGTGCCAAATTTAGATGAGAATGTTGAGTATGAATTTAGAGTGAAGGCAATCAATGCTGCTGGTGCAGGTGACCCTTCAGATGTCAGCAAATCTATTATCACGAAGCCACGCAAACGTAAGTTTGGCAGAAAAAAATACTTGGCACATTATTTTAATTCAGATATTGCAAAATTTCCACAGGAGATTTAAGTATTTAGGCTATTCTTATGCTTGGAGAGTTTTGCCCTGAATATTTTTAACTACTAATATTTGTAAGGTTTGGTTTTCAGTTATTGCATATAAGGGTATTACTCATACCCACAGCCTAGCAAGGGTATTATTCAACTTATAGGTTATAGTAAGTTTTACATTTCTTTAGTTCCAGTAGTAAAAGTGCGCTTTGCTTAAAATATACGTATGTTTTGGATTATTGAAAAAACAAGCCATTAGCTTAGCTTCATGACACATATTGATATTATCGATAATTTATTAAATCCCGGAATTGTGTGCGTACATCCACAGGAGTTAAAAAGGGCAGGCAGCCCTTCTGTACAGAAGGAAAGATACAAAAACTATACATGATTTTGCGATTGAATATTCTGAAACTTTGGCTTATCTAATATTAAATGGTAAGGCAAAAAATAAGAAAATTATATGCGACGGTAAAACATTTTGCAGTTATACCCGTTATTCTAAAACACAAAAAAAAAAAAAACAAAATGAGCAACATTTTGATACTCTGTAATATTGTATAAGTGCGACCAATTTTTCTCATATTCATAGATGTGCGCATAGATAGAATATAAACAAAAAATTTTATCAGTGCATTTTTACTTAAGAAGGAATGAGCAAGAAAGTAATTTTTTTCCTTTGCAAGCAGAAGTGTTTTTATTTTGTAGATTATAGCGTGTTATTTTGCCGATTTGGGCTTTTTTCAATGGCTCTAAAAAGTTAAAATTGGCCAAATTTGAAACCTATATCAACTATTTACTGCCACAAGAATCCTTACTACAGACATCTTCAACAGCATGCAGGCAGGCATGCTCAAGACGATTCACATTTTGGTACTGATTAAGAAAACGTTTAGCGTTTATGATCTATGAAGCTCGACTTTGTAACAAACTGGTTTGTCTCTCGTTACTCGGTCGATCTTTGCCCATATTTTTATATTCCAGGGTGTTGCTTCCGTTGTTAAATGAAACGGGTACGAGAGACCTCACTCCGCTTAATGAAAATATTGCGTCCATGTGCACAGTTTCACTTCTTGCAGTTTCATCAACAGACTTTCTGTCCCGTACCCGGTTCCAGTTAGTATAGTATCTGTAAAGTCTGACAAGAAACTTCTGCTACTTCTTTTTCGTTATTTTCTTGTTTTTTTATTTCTGATATAATGGGTATCAGGAGACTACGAAACAATCTTTCAGCAATCTTTAGCTTAACAGTGCCGACGACCCACTACTGGAATTAGATCGTAGATGTCGTTGGCCCAAATTGAGGCAAACGATTGCTCCTTGTTATAATTTGTGGAAGGAGTTATAAATTTCTTCTGATTTTAATGTTCAATAGGCTAAATTGCTCAGAGTTTGTGTTTTAAGGTTACTTTTGCGATACCAAACTATTAGTAAGTCACTATTAAAAAAAAAAAAAGGAGTAAGAAATTTATATAAGTTCTTTTATGAGATACTCATATCGCTGGTATTAATAAAAAAAAAAATTAATTGCGGTGTCTACCATATTCATTTTAAAACGAACCCATTTTTATGCAAATAATATATCTGCATTTGAGGAGCGTAAGAAATAGTTTTAAATGTTTTGTCCTGTTTGCCTTATGATAAATAAGCATAAAACATCAAAAAAGTGAAAAAAAATAAATTTAATTACTTGCAAATTTGTGTGGACACGGTCGATTGGTTCCATTTCTGGGCCTGGAATGTAAAGTGTTTCGTGAAACAAATGTGGGAGTTTTCAGCCTTCTAACTTTAATAATTTCCGAATAACGATAGAAAATCTAAAAATTTTTGTTAGAACAAACTAAGTTGAGTTCAGTTTACGCTCCACTACTCGCTTCTGCTCTGAATAATTTAGTGAATTTTAAATACTAACCTGCTTGCAGAAACTTACATACATACGTTATATACGTTATGAAAAAAAAAAAATAAGTATATCCCTATCTTAGATTGGCGGGTATAAAAAAAAAAAAAATGTAATTGCTTATGTCAGGTATTTGAGACTTTAACGTATGCTATTAAATAGTGTTTGTATAGCATTTGCAGAGTCTTTAAATTTGATTACGCATCGAATCCTTTAATATTAATATTAATATTTTTTAGTTGCTCCGAAAATTGATCGCCGCAACATTAAAACTTATAACGTTAGAGCAGGCGAACCCATCTTTTTGGACATCAATATTGCCGGTGAACCAGCACCACATTTGCTCTTGACTCAGAATAATAAATCAATCCACCAAACATCTCTGCGATATATTGAAACCCTACCCTACAATATAAAGTACGTTAATAATAACCCAGAACGTAAAGATACAGGTGTGTATACTTTACTTGCCACCAACACATATGGGCATGATACTGCTGAATTCCAAATTAACGTCATAAGTAAGTAAAACACAAAAAGCGACTTATTGAATTAAAGAGATTAATACATAGGGTTTTCTTCTCTCTGCAGCTAAACCTGAAAGCCCTGAAGGCCCACTTGAAGTATCAAATGTACATAAAGAAGGCTGCAAATTAAAATGGAGAAAGCCGAAAGACGATGGAGGAGAACCGATTGATTCGTATTCCATTGAGAAATTTGACGCAGAGACCGGTGTGTGGCTATCTTGTGGCAAAAGCGATACTCCGGATTTCAATATTGAGAGTTTACAGCCTGGTCATGAATACAAATTTCGAGTCAAGGCTGTGAATAAATTGGGTGAATCTGAACCGTTGGAAACTTTTGGCACAATTGTTGCAAAAGATCCATTTAGTACTCCGTCTAAACCAGGATGTCCGCATGTAATTGACTGGACAGCTAACAAAGCTGAGTTAGTCTGGCAAGCGCCTGCTAGTGACGGTGGTTCGCCCATACTTGGCTATGTGATCGAAAAGAAAGATAAATACAGCGGCGCAATGTGGGAAAAAGCGATGGAGACTGAAACGTCTGACCCTGTTGCCAGCATTAACGGTCTCATTGAAGGCAACGAATACCAATTTCGAGTTATGGCTGTTAATAAAGCCGGTCAGTCAGAACCGTCGGAGGTCAGTAAGATGTTTATTGCCAAACCACGCTTTCTTAGTCCTAAAATTGATCGCCGAAATTTGCGTGACATCACGATATCTGCAGGCTCGACACTAAAATTGGACTGCAAAGTATTAGGCGAGCCTGCTCCTAAGATTGAATGGAGATTTTCGAATTGTCCGTTGCAGACAGGAAAAAATATTACAATTGATTCGATTGACTATTTTACTAAACTTATCATTCGGCCCACTGAAAGAGGCGATTCCGGTGACTATACGATTACAGCAACCAATAGTTCTGGCAAAGATAGTGTGCAAATTAAAGTGACAGTAACAGATAAGCCAAGTGCACCTAAAGGGCCACTCCAAATTTCGGATATTCATAAAAAGGGGTGCCACCTCAAATGGAAAAGGCCTGACGACGACGGCGGTACATGCATTGAATATTTCCAGGTGGACAAACTAGATCCGGAAACGGGATGTTGGTTGCCATGCTGTCGCTCTACTGAACTTCAGGCAGAGATACTTGGTTTAAAACAAGGCGCAGAGTACAAGTTTCGCGTAACAGCTGTAAATTCTGAAGGTGAATCCAAACCACTTGTAAGTGATGATTCGATTATCGCTAAAAATCCGTTTGATGAACCCGGAAAGCCTCAAAATCTTTGTGTAATAGATTGGGATAAAGATCACATAGATCTGTCTTATTCACCACCATTGGATGACGGCGGTTCGCCCATTACCGGCTATATAATTGAAGCTTTTTCCCATAACAAGTGGGAGAAAATGTTAGAAGTTTCTGAGGGGGAAACAAAGGTTACTGTTCCAGATCTCGTTGAAGGGCAAAGTTATGAATTTCGTGTTTCGGCTGTTAATGCTGTTGGACCTGGTGAACCTTCGGACTCTACATCCCAAATCGTCTTGAAATCACGCAATAAACCTCCGCTTATTGATCGTACAAATCTTATTGATATTCGAATTAAAGCTGGTCAAATTTTCACATATGAATGTAAAGTGTCTGGTGAGCCTGTACCAAAAACGAAGTGGTTTTGTAACAAACGAGAAATAGTATCGAAGGACAATGTAAAGGTATCTCATGCGGATTATATTACTAAGTTGAAAGTCTCTAATGCTACTAGGGAAAATTTTGGTACGTATACTGTTCATGCGGAGAACCCTAACGGTACAGATAGTGCAGACGTTAAAGTAGTTGTCATAGATCGACCAGCACCACCTAATGGTCCTTTGAAAATAGACTCACTTCACGCAAACGGTTGCGTGTTGCATTGGAATCCACCGGACGACGATGGCGGTCAACCTATTGAAAGCTTTACCGTCGAAAAATTGGACGAAACCACAGGTAGATGGGTACCCGCTGGGGAAACTAACGGTCCTGTAACAAATTTGGAAATAAACGGTCTTATATCAGGACATAAATATAAATTTCGCGTCCGTGCTAAAAATCGTCAAGGCACTTCAGACCCATTAACTGCACCGCAGGCTATTATAGCAAAGAATCCATATAATGAACCTGGCAAACCCGGTATTCCTATAATCAGAGGATATGATAAAGAAGTGGTCGATTTGCAGTGGAGTCGTCCTGAAAGTGATGGGGGATCACCCATCACCGGATATATTGTTGAAAAGCGCGACAGGTACTCACAAGATTGGGATCCTTGCGCTGAAGTGGATGGTGATGTGACGAATGGTGCCGTTACCAATTTGGTTGAAGGTGTTAAATATGAATTCCGTGTACGCGCGCTTAATAGGGCTGGAAAAGGTGAACCAAGTGACGCATCCGTGTCTCACGTAGCTCGCGCCAAAAATACATCACCCAAAATAGACCGCAATTACATGCTGGATGTTAAGATACGGGCGGGAAATACAGTTGAATACGATATTCCAATCAGCGGGGAGCCAGTTTCAAATAAGGAATGGTCTCATGAAGGCCAAATAGTAATAAATACGGATAGGTTTAAGATCGTAAGCGAAGACTACCGTACAAAATTACGTATTGTTGATACGAAACGAGCGGACACAGGTGTTTACACACTAACTGCTCGCAATATCAATGGCATAGATAAAGCCACAGTGAAAGTTACTGTGCTGGATGTACCATCAATTCCTGAAGGCCCATTGAGACCTTTCGAAATATCTAAAAACTCTATCACCTTACGCTGGCGTCCGCCAAGGGACGACGGTGGCTCTGAAATTACCCACTATGTCGTGGAAAAAATGGATAATGATGCTATGCGTTGGGTGCCTGTTGGAGATTGCGCTGATTGCGAAATTCGTGCTGAAAATTTAATTGAAAACCATGATTACAATTTTCGAGTGCGTGCTGTCAATAAGCAGGGTCAGTCACAAGCTTTAGGAAGCACCCAACCTATTACCGCTAAGGATCCATTTAGTCGCCCCGACAAACCTGGTCAATTGTACGCAAGTGATTGGGGAAAAGATTTTGTGGATTTGGAATGGGCCGCACCAAAACGTGATGGAGGGTCACCTATTACGGGGTATATTGTAGAGAAACGCCCCAAATTTGGTCAATGGGAAAAAGCACAACAGGTATCTGCTCCACTAACTCAAGCTCACATTTCCGGTTTGATAGACGGCGGAGAGTATGAATTCCGCGTCGTTGCAATTAACCGTGGTGGTCATAGCGATCCATCCGATCCCTCCTTACCTATTATTTGCAAACCTCGTTTTATGGCACCGCATTTTGATAAATCACTTCTTGAAGATATCACTGTTATTGCCGGCAAACATTTAGGATGGACTTTGCCAATTGAAGCGTCGCCTAGGCCAACCGTAAAATGGTTGTTCAATGGCAAAGAAATAGAACCATCTTCCCGCATTGAAATCAGCCTGTTCCATAATGAACTTACTTTTGAAATATCTAATGCTCTTCGGAGTGATGAAGGCCGTTACACACTGAACTTAACAAACGAACATGGATCCTTTGAAGCATCCGCTCATGCGACGGTTGTAGACCGACCCAGCCCTCCGATGAAGATTTTAGATATTGGCAAAGTTACCCGAGACGGATGCCGTCTTAAATGGAACGTACCTGAAGACGATGGAGGGTCCCCGATTCTTCATTATGTTATAGAAAAAATGGATTTATCACGTGGTACCTGGTCCGATGCTGGGATGAGTACTCACCCAGTACACGATGTAACCCGTTTAATTCACCAGAAAGAATACTTATTCCGTGTGAAAGCTGTAAATGCTATTGGGGAATCCGAGCCTCTCGAAGCAGAAAAAACGATTACTGCCAAAAATGAATTTGATGAGCCTGATGCTCCAGGCAAGCCGATTGTGACTGATTACGATGAAGATCATGTTGACCTAGAATATGGCCCTCCTAAATCAGACGGTGGCGCTCCACTTATTGAATACATCATCCAAAAAAAAGAAAAAGGTAGTCCCTATTGGATCAATGCATTGCATATTTCACCAGAAAAAACTACAGCCACAGTTCCGGAATTAACAGTAGGACACGAATATGAATTCCGTGTTATTGCAGTTAATGAAGCTGGTCAATCAGAGCCGTCTGAACCATCAGATATGACTCAAGCTAAAGCCAGGTACTTAGCTCCGAAAATCCTTACACTTCTTCACGATGTTCGAATCAAAGCTGGACTCATCTTTCATATCGATATTGATTACATTGGTGAACCAACCCCTGAAGTTTTTTGGGATTTAAATGGTGAGCCACTTAATAATAGCGAGCGTTCAACCATTACAACGATTGGTCGTCACACTGTCGTGCATATCGTAAATTGCAATCGCAACGACTCAGGACGATATCATGTGTTACTTCGCAATAATTCTGGTATTGATGAAGGTAGTTTTGAACTAATTGTACTGGATCGTCCGGGACCGCCTGCTGGCCCTCTGGTATATGAAGAGATATCAGCAAACTCGGTCACTGTGTCATGGAAGCAGCCTAAAGATAACGGTGGCTCCGAAATATCGTCGTATGTAATCGAAAAACGTGACGTTACACATGGTGGTGGATGGGTGCCAGCCGTTACATATGTAAATGCTAAGTACAACCACGCCGTAATTCCTCGATTGCTAGAGGGCACACAATACGAATTTAGAGTTATGGCAGAAAATTTGCAAGGACGCTCAATTCCTTTAGCATCAGAGGAACCTGTCATAGCTAAAAACCAGTTCACAATTCCAGGAACTCCTGCCAAGCCAGAAGTTTCAGATGCTGACAAAGATCATATATCTATTAAATTTAAACCCCCGATTAGCAACGGTGGCTCGCCTGTTATTGGTTATGACATAGAACGGCGTGACAAGGCAATGGGCCGGTGGATTAAGGTTAATGGAGAGCCAGTCCCCATTTGTGAATACACTGATGATCGCGTGTGCAACGACCATCAATATCAGTATCGAGTGTCTGCAGTAAATGCTGCAGGCAACGGAAAATTTTCTGATCCTTCCAATATCATATCAGCTAAACCAATGTGTGAAAAACCGCGACTATACCTAGATGCATTAATTGGTCGTAAAATTAAAGTACGTGCTGGAGAACCAGTTAAAATTACCATCCCAATTTCAGGGGCTCCAACGCCTCTTGTTGAATATAAACTTAACAACTTTAAAATTTCCCAAAATAATCGCATATCCTATAATTCTAATTCTGATCAAACTACCTTCCGTATCGACGATTCAACAAGGCAAGACACTGGCAAATATTCCGTAGTATTATCAAATGATTTCGGTAAGGACTCCGCTGAAATTGAAGTCATTGTTGTAGATATACCCTCTCCACCAGAGGGACCACTTACTTACACTGAAGCTGCTCCCGATCATATTTCTCTGTCATGGTATCCACCTAACGATAATGGTGGTAGCGATATTTCCGGTTATATTGTCGAATTTTGTGAATACGGCAGCGAGAACTGGCGACCCGCTCCTGGGTACTGTGCCAAAACTAACTATACTGTAAAGGGTCTTACCGAAGGTAGAAAGTATGTATTTCGCGTAAAAGCTGAAAACATATACGGCCTGTCGGAACCATTAAATGGCAAACCAGTTACTGCAAAGTCTCCATTTGATCCACCAGATGCACCAAGTCAACCGGACATAGTAGCTTACTTCCCTAATTCAGTTACTGTAGCTTGGCACCCACCCGACTACTGTGGCGGTAAACCCATAAATGGGTATTTAGTAGAAAGGCGTGAACGGGGGGGTGAATGGCTGAAGTGCAATAACTATCCGACACCAAACACCAGTTATACAATTTCTGACTTAAGAGAAGGCGGACGATATGAGTTCAGAGTTGTTGCTGTCAATGAAGCTGGTCCTGGTAAGCCATCTAAAGCATCAGAGTCAGTTACTGCCGAAATGCAAAGATATAAGCCAGACCCTCCAGAGCCACCCAAACCAGATCGTATCACTAAGGACTCTACAACACTTTCTTGGCGTCCACCAAGAAACGACGGAAAATCAAAAATTAAAGGGTACTTTTTAGAAATGAAATTGAAAAATTCTAAAGATTGGGTTCCAGTTAATGACTTACTCGTCCACAACACAGTTTATACTATTCCAAATTTAAAAGAAGGGGAGGAATATTCATTCCGGGTTATTGCCTTAAATGAAGTGGGAAAATCTAATCCGTCAAAATCATCCAAACCCATTATCATTGAAGAACAACCCAACAAACCATGTTTAGATTTAAGTGGAATAAGGGATATAGTCTGCCGCGCGGGCGAAGATTTTAGTATCCATGTGCCTTATATGGGATTTCCCAAGCCTGTGGCTCAATGGTTTACAAACGATGTTTTGCTAGAAGATGACGGGCAACATTTATTCCAACATTTAACAGATGAAGCTGCCAGCATTGTGGTAAAAAATTCCAAACGTGTAGATTCAGGACAATATCGATTACAATTGAAAAACACATCTGGATTCGATGCGGCCACATTTAATGTTAAAGTACTCGATCAGCCTAAACCACCATCTAATTTGCGTGCTGATGAGTTTGCAGGCGATGCATTAACACTCTTCTGGAATCCACCAAAGGATGACGGTGGCTCTCCAGTTACTAACTATATAATCGAGAAAAAAGAAGCTCGTTCAACGGGAGGTTGGAGTAAAGTTAGCAGTTATTGCACAACTACATTTGTACGAGTTCGTAACTTAAACATTGGAAGAGAGTATGATTTCCGAGTGAGTGCTGAAAACAAATATGGATCATCGGAACCAGCCCATACGTCTGAGCCCATACGTGCACGGCATCCTTTCGATGTGCCTAATGCTCCTGGGGTTCCAACTGCTGTTGATTCTACGGAAGATAGCATCACCATCTCATATATGAAACCAAAACACGATGGTGGTTCGCCAATAACAGGATATATAATTGAAAAGCGATTAATTAGTGAAGATACATGGACTAAAGCTGTTCAGTTGCTGTGCCCTAGTCTAACGCAAAAGATATCGAATTTAATTTCAGATGCCAAATATGAGTTCAGAGTAGCTGCTGTAAATAGCGCTGGCCAATCTGCATTTAGTCTGTCGAGTGATCCAATATATTGTCAACGCCCCCCTTATGCTCCGAAAATTACTTCGGATCTATCCATTCGCGATATGACAGTAATTGCCGGCGAGGAGTTCCGAATAACAGTACCCTATCAGGCCAGTCCTATACCGACACCATCTTGGGCAATTAATGACGAAGATATTATCCCAGATGACCGCATTAAATTCGAAACAAACAGCTACAATTCTATTTATTACAATAAAAATGCTAAAAGATCTGATAGCGGTTCATACACAATTACTTTAAGAAATAGTAAAGGCTATGATTCCGCGGCTTGTCATGTTATCGTCGTCGACAGACCTGGTGTTCCTCAAGGTCCTTTAAATGCATACGATATCACTCCAGACACGTGCTCACTATCGTGGAAAAGTCCTCTAGATGACGGTGGTTCAGCGATCACTAATTATGTTGTAGAAAAATCAGATATTAATGGCACAGCATGGGCTAAAGTGAGCAGTTTTGTTCGCAACATTCATTATGATGTAATGGGACTGGAACCTTCTCGAAACTATCGTTTTCGGGTGCGCGCAGAAAATCAATATGGGCTTTCAGATGCCCTTCAAATTGATGAAGCTATAACAGCTAAATACCAGTTTACAGTCCCTGATGCACCCGGTCAGCCCAAAGTTATCGATTGGGATTCTGGCAATGTCACACTTCTGTGGACTCGTCCGGGTAGTGATGGTGGCTCCCGTATTCAAGGTTACCAAATTGAATATCGCGACGTTATTAATGAGACATCGTGGAACCATTACGAATTTTTAATAAAAGATACTAAATATCAGCTCTACAATCTTACAAATGGCTGTGAATACGAATTTCGAATAAAAGCAAAAAATGTCGCCGGCTTTAGCAAAGCATCACCATCTTCGACGCGTTTTAAATGCAAAGGCAAATTTACGGTTCCATCACCACCAGGCACGCCACATGTTGTTAAAGTTGGAAAACATTTCGCTGAGTTGAAATGGGAAAAACCTCAAAGTGACGGGGGCGCACGTATTACAGGTTATTGTGTTGAACGACGTGACTTAGGTGGCGCTATATGGGTTAAATGCAATGACTACAATATTTTGGATACTGAATATACTGTTTTCAATTTAGTTGAAATGGGAGACTATGAATTTCGAATTTATGCCATGAATGCAGTAGGTCGATCCGAACCCAGTATTTGTACTATGCCCATAAAGGTATGTGAAGTTCTAGGGGGCGAAAAACCCGAATGGGTTACACATTTGCACGACCGGCTGGCTCCTTGCGGCAAAGATTTCTCATTGCAATGTCAGGCCACTGGTAAACCAGCCCCAAGCGCAAGATGGCTACGAAATGGAAAAGAGATTTCGATGGGAGGCGGCCGCATAACAAGCGATAGCAAAGACGGGGTTTTTCGCTTGCACTTTTCAAATATACAAGCGGGTGATGAAGGTACTTACACATGTGAAGCTATTAACTCCTTGGGTTTTGTCCACTCATCCGGTTATCTGAAAATTGGATCACCACCGGTTATTAATAGATACCCGAGTGAACTTGTTTTGGCTGAAAATGATAACACCAAAATCAAGATTTTCTATGGTGGCGATCAGCCAATGGCTATAAGTATAAGTAAAAACAATGAACTACTATCTGACATAGAGAATGATTCCCATTTTAAGATCACCCAATTTGATGAATATGTAGCCATTTTTATACGAGATATTGTAAAAACTGACTCCGGTCTTTACCAAATTGTCTTTAGCAACGACTCAGGAATTGCAAAGGCGCAATTTAATGTTCACGTGACGGGATTACCATCAGCGCCGGTAGGTCCTTTGGGGGTATCACATGTGAATAAACACTCGTGTACATTAACTTGGCGTCCACCTACGTATGATGGAGGCCTGCGGATAACACATTATGTTGTTGAACGTAAAGATATAACTTCATTACATTGGATAACGGTATCCAGTTTCTGTAAAGACACGTCTTTTAATGTACAAGGACTTATTGAGCATCAGACGTATGTTTTTCGTGTTATGGCTGTTAACGATAATGGAATGGGTGCACCATTAGAAGGACTGAATTCAGTTGTAGCGAAAGCTCCCATTGATCCGCCGTCTCCTCCTGGCATACCGAGAATTCTCGAAGTTGGTGAAGATTTCGTACATTTAGAATGGGATAAACCCTTATCGGATGGTGGGGCTTACGTACAAGGCTACTGGATTGACAAACGAGAAGTGAGCAGTGAAACATGGCAACGTGTAAACGTCATCATTTCCGTTGCCAATCAAATTAATTGTCCTAATTTAATTGAGGGACGTCAATACGAGTTCCGCGTCTTCGCTCAAAATGAAGCTGGCCTCTCTCCCGAGGCAATAGCTGCAAGTTGCGTTAAAATTATTGATCCCCAAGCAGCTGTTGCACCACTTATTATAAAGCAGTTAAATGATGCTCATTGCATACAAAACCATAATGCTCAATTTACTTGCACCATAACAGGCGTACCCAAGCCGAATATAACTTGGCACAAGGGAGCGCGAGAGATTACAAACGGTGCTCGTTATCACATGTACTCGGAAGGCGATAATCATTACTTAAACATTAGCGACGTGTTTGGGGAAGATGCAGATGAATATATATGTCGGGCCGTCAACAAAGCTGGGGCGAAATCAACTAGAGCGTCTTTGATGATTATGAGTGGGTATCAAATTTTGCTTGTTTGTATCTTTCTATTTATAGCCCACTTAGGAAATTACACGTTATATTCAGACAGGTATGCTTAATTAATGTTTTTATTTTTATAGCCGCCCCAAAGCTTAACGTGCCTCCCCGATTTCGCGATACGGCTTACTTTGACAAGGGCGAAAACGTTGTAATTAAGATTCCTTTTCTGGGCTTACCTAGACCACGTATTCATTGGGTAAGAGAAGGTGAACATATTGAGACTGGTGGACATTATCTCGTAGAAGTCAAGGAACGTCACGCTGTTCTCGTTATACGTGATGGTTCTCGGATGGATTCAGGCCCATATAGAATCACAGCTGTAAACGAGTTAGGTTCAGATGCCGCAAATGTTAAAATACAAATAAGTGATCGTCCAGATCCTCCACGCTTTCCGACAGTTGATAACATTGGTATTGATTCCCTATCGCTGAACTGGAAAGCACCTGTGTGGGATGGTGGTAGCGATATTACTAATTACATGATTGAAAAACGTGAACACCCGTTATCATCTTGGATACGCGTCGGTAACACACGTTTTACTACTATGGCTGTTATGAATCTTACGCCATCTAAAGAATATGAATTCCGAATTTACGCCGATAACGTTTACGGTCGTTCAGACTCTTCCGAAATAAGTTCCTTGGTTAAGACGAAAGATACGATCAAAAAGAAATTTAGAGAACATAAATGGGAAGTTGACGAGTTGGGCAGAAAAATCCGTGGGAAGGCTGATGGACCAGTCAATGATTACGACACTTACGTGTTTGACATTTATTCAAAATTTACGGCACAACCTGTGGAAATATCGCACAATGTTTTATACGACAAGTATGATATTCTTGAAGAAATTGGCACCGGAGCGTTTGGGGTCGTACATCGTTGCCGTGAACGCAACACAGGGAATATATTCGCTGCCAAATTTATTCCAGTCTCCCATGTTATAGAAAAAGATCTCATACGACGAGAAATCGATATTATGAATCAACTCCATCATCAGCAACTAATTAACCTACATGATGCGTTTGAGGATGACAATGAGATGGTGCTTATTTTAGAATTGTAAGTAGAAACAAAAACGTTAATAGTTACAGCCTACGAAAGGAAAAACATTTTTTTTACAATTTGCAGCCTATCAGGTGGTGAGCTTTTTGAAAGGATTACTGCTGAAGATTACATAATGACCGAAGCTGAAGTAATTAATTACATGCGCCAAATTTGTGAAGGCATCAGACATATGCATGAAAAAAATATTATTCACTTAGATATTAAGCCTGAGAATATCATGTGTCAGACACGTACCAGCACCAATGTAAAATTAATCGATTTCGGCTTGGCTACTCGCCTGGACCCTAACGACGTCGTGAAAATAACAACCGGGACAGCAGAATTCGCTGCTCCTGAAATTGTTAACCGAGAGCCGGTTGGCTTCTATACTGATATGTGGGCTACAGGTGTACTGGCCTATGTATTATTAAGCGGCTTGTCACCATTTGCTGGTGACAACGATATACAAACATTAAAAAACGTGAAAGCGTGCGACTGGAACTTTGACCCGACTGCATTCCGTCACATATCAGAAGAAGCTAAAGATTTTATAAGAAAGTTATTGGTAGCTAATAAAGAAAAACGCATGACCTCTCACGAGTGTTTATTGCATCCGTGGTTATCTGGCGATCATCGTAATAGAACTCAACAAATTGCCAGAGATCGTTATCTTGCATTCCGTGATAATCTTCGTAAAAAATATGAAAACTTTCACAACTGTATTCTTCCATTAGGTCGTCTTTCCGAGTATTCATCTTTACGTAAATTGCTTATGGAAAAGTACAAAATGCACGATACATCTTTCGACCGACGTCAAGCAGCACCCCGTTTTGTCATACGACCGTCTTCACAATTTTGCTATGAAGGCCAAAGCGTAAAATTTTATTGCCGCTGCATTGCTATAGCAACACCGACACTCACCTGGATGCGTAATAATGTCGAACTACGTCAAAGCGTCAAATTTATGAAACGGTATGATGACCACGACTTTTATTTCATTATCAATCGTGTTAAACTTGAAGACCGCGGTGAATACATAATTCGAGCTGAAAATCATTATGGTTCCCGTGAAGAAGTCATTTTCCTTAACGTACATCCATTACCGATGGAACCACCCAAGTATATTCACGAAACAACACCGGTACGTCGACGTGCGCCATTACCTTATACATTCTGGCAAGAGGAAGCGGAATCGGCGCCCAGTTTTACATTCCTTTTGCGTCCACGTGTCATGCAAGCACGCGACACTTGCAAGCTTCTGTGTTGTTTGAGCGGCAAACCAGTGCCAACAGTTAAATTCTTTAAAGATGGCCGTGAGCTTAGTAAATATGAATATTCGATAACTCATTCAGATGGCGTTGTCACTATGGAAATTATTGATTGCAAGCCATCCGACTCTGGCAAGTATACTTGCAAAGCAACGAATTGCCATGGCACCGACGAAACCCATTGTGTGGTAATTGTTGAAGGTAAGTACGTGCACCCATGAACGAAGATAAGCATTCCATAAACGCAAGTTAATTTTCTGAAAACATTGCTCCTTAACACTTGTATACATAAGAGGCTTTTAAATATTTTTACACATACATAGAATGCAATGAGTTTTCTATAACACTATAAAGTATATTTTATGTAAATTTATTTATAAAAAAATTAAAACAAATTATTCACAAATATTCAAGAATATTAGAATACTTTCTTAATATAAAAAACCTATGTGTTCACTATTTTCAACAAAAAAATTAATTTTGAAATACTATTATATACTTTTTTTTAGGTGAATGGGTCACGCCAGAACAAGCTCAACTAGCGCACAATTTTCTTTATTCAGGAGGTAAACGTTAATTATAGTTTGATAAAGAAAAGAAAGTAGGCATATATTCTCACTATACCTTATTTGTCAAAGCTTCATAAAGTAATTTTATTTCATTGGTTTTTTTATCGTACGATGTCAGTTTCCATCACTATAACCTATGATAAAAGTTTTTTTTGTAGATCCAATTCCAAAATTTGTCTTATGGTCAAAATTGATATCGACATATTTGTATAACCCGCTCATCGGACTGCAAAATTAGCAAAGAATTGTTTTCACTTTTAGGATATAAGTGCTTTCTTTTCTTATATCCATTTCACAACAGTACGTACACGTACGCGTACGTGTACGTGTACATTTCACAAAACTCTGCTTAAAGTTGGAAGAAAAGCGAATATATTCGATTTCCCCTTTTACCTAAAAACGAACGATATACTCCTTTATAAACAAACAGGAGAGGCATCCAAATCAAATACACTTTCAACTAAAAATTTCAAAAAAAAAACTGACACAGGAACTTTTTGATACCCACAACCAACTTTTTTTGCTGTTTCCGCTTTAATAGTACGCGACATCTGAACACAATTTTTAATAAGACAAGTCTTAAATCATTCTATATCAGTATCACAAAAATATTTAATATATAAATTTCCATATGTATTATACAAAATGAAATGCAGTTCGAACGCCTTCGATATTAGTGCGATGAGCTGTATACATCTAGCCTATAATCACCATTACTTTGAATCGATGTTAAATACATCTATGATACTAATAACGTATATATATTGTCTATAAGCAGATGAATTTAAAAATATTGTATGCTAAATTTTAGTGGAAGCATCAATACAAGGCAACGTTGCCGAGCCATATTTAATTTGTGCTGTTATAAGTATCATTTATAAAATGTGACATTTTTGTACGTCCAAAAAATTTTGCACTGAATTTCTAAAATTTTACTTAAAAAGCCCCATTCTGCGTACTTGATTCGATTTTTTTTTGTGGTGGTGAAAATGGCGGTTCAATGAAACCTAAACGCTGTTCCTTATTTTTCATCCATTTCATAATACGATCTCTAAAATTAACAAATGAATATTCTTTCCACATGGAAATGAGGATTAAATAAAAATTAACTTCTTAATTTAGATCGTAAGTATATAGAGCAACCAATTAAACCTGCTCCACCACCAATCATTTCCTCACGAATATGCAATAGCATTACTACATCATCGTATTCATCGAGCAGTGAGGGCAATAACAAGGTTTGTACTCAATAAAAAAATAAAAACTTTTTGGTTTCGAAATTGCCGTTAAATGACTTTGTATTTCAGGTTGTTGGCACAAGTTTCTCTCTAAATCAAAACTCTACCACGCTACATAAAAAGAAATATGCAGCAAATACTATGAAAACATCGGGAAGCCCTTCAAGATCACGTAGCGCTACTAAAGAACTAATTCGTAAGTATTAGTGTATATTAAAAACATTCATTTGCAAATCAATTTAATATGTACATATTTATTGTAGTTCCACCGGATGATTCACTTATGTGTAAGCCTGAGTTTATCAAGCCATTAAAGGATATGGTGGTATGTGATGGTGATCAGTTGGTATTAAATTGCCATGTTAAAGGGGATCCGGAGCCGCAAATTACTTGGACCAAGAACGGCAAGCCAATCGCATCATCGGATATCATTGATTTGAAGTACAAGAACGGTATCGCTACTTTAACTATTGATGAAGTGTTTCCCGAAGATGAGGGTCTCTTCACATGCATAGCCACAAATTCCATTAGCATCGTCGAAACCAAGTGCAGAATAACTGTTAAACGTAAGTTCTGCTAGAAGTATCAAAAAATGCGGTTTTAAATCTTACGAAAGAAAGAATATTTTATTTGCATAATTTAATGTAAGAAAAAAAGGTATAATAAGGAATAACGATGGTGTTACCTATTATATTATATATTTACTTCTTCAACATCTTAAAAAAGTTGGTATATGTTCATTAGCAATGCTTTATTTACAACTTGTTTGAATGTGAACGCACACATGTGACCTTTCTCTTCTATATAAAATGGATTTCATCCTTTATTATTATATTGTTACGTAAATGCCCTATTTAATAATTTGAGTTTTCATGAAAATTAGTCAATTTCCTAAGAATCTAAATTCTAAACAAGGAAAAACCAAATACACCTGCGGCATGCCGCTGGCTGGTCGGGTCAGTCATAAGGGAGTTGTAGGAGTGTCGAAAAGTGAATCGCGGGAGTCGAATTGCAATATTCGAACGGACAAGAGTAGAACGACGATTAAAGCGTTATAAATATAAGTTGCTGTAAACGATTTGTAAATGGATTAGATAATTTTGTAAATGAAACCTATACTGCCCTGAAAATCACGATTCAGTGCTACGAACTTATTTCAAGTAGAGTTGAACAGATAAAGTAAATTCTCAAAAGACGGATTTACGTTACGTTTATAACTAAAAATTAACTTGAAAATCTTTCAAGTTACCATATTAAATTTCTCCCAAAGATTCTGAAGAAATTGTAAAGAAACGTTTTAAATACATTGTTATGCTAAAACAATTTATCATTTGGGTATATTTCAAATAGTATTGCCGGATGGGGTCGCGGGACTGGACTGCAATGGCGTTGATAATTCATTGTGGTTAATTTAATAGATACTTATTTGTCCGATTTTTCATGATTGTAAGTCGAAGTTGCATATACATCCGGTCCGGCTTAACCAACAAGTATCCGCGATAAAAAAGCAAACTGTATAAAAAAAATTTAAACGCAGTGATGCTCGCTGTTAATACTATTCCCATGTCAGACTTATTTTCCCTTCCTTCAAAAATGCGTGGTACAAAAACTATCTTCAGATGAGCTAAATCCTCTTTTTATCTTGGTTCTTATAAGCTATTCTGATATAACATTCGCGCAAGAGTGAAAGTGTTTTTACCATTCAAGAAGAGATATTAGCAACTCCAAAGTTACCGAAGATTCACTATCCTCTAATTCAGAAACGTCCTGGAGTTGGCCGATGACTGTTTTCAAATCTTCGAGAAACCCAAATAAACGGCTGACATCTATCAAACTTAAAATTAAACTTTTAAACTTTTTTATAATTGTGTACGATATTTATGGATGCTATGAATATTTTCGATTCCTTCAACTCAATCAATAGCGTCGTGTTGCGATTTAATTTAATTTTATTTACTTATTTATTTGATTAACATTGCACAAAGGTGATACAAGTAAAGGGGCATTAGTACTAAAACTAACCGGCTAGCCCAAAGTATCAGTTTTTTATTTGTTGTATATGCTACAAATATATTATACAAAAGTGAAAATATTATATGTGTTATTGCGTATAAGAAACCGTATAGGTGTTAGAGTTATATTAAATTTGCGGTGTTGCAGTCATACAAAAAATTATATAATTCAAGTATATTACATCCGCTTCAGGACTTAAGAAGATGTGTAAGCGGTTCTTGTCAAAGCCAGCATTTCTTTTTGACAGTTACCTGTCCAATCTGTCCAGTCTTATTCAAATTTATAACAGGTTAGAATAGGTCACTTTACTTGTCAAAGTATTAATTTTCTTATAGTGTTGTGTGAATGAATACGTATTTGGCATCTCCACAATAGGCGAATGATTTTCTATGAAAAATCTTAAATCTTTCTTATTCTAGGCAGGAAATATCAATAGCGGTGTGCACCTGCGAGGTCTGCTTGCTCATTACCCGGAATCCCAACATGGGAAGGCACGTCGGTCTGAATTTTTTATCCAGATTTCGAAACAATATTTCTCGGGTTTGTACTAAAGGAATAGTGTAGTTGTTAAGGTCAAGAATGATATTAAGAACTCCTACGCTGTCGAAAATTTGCCTCTACGCTTGAAGCGAAATTTACTGCTTGATAAACTCCTATCGCTTCAGCGGTAAACCGGTATGGTAATCGTTCGAGAGACCAACCTCTGTTATTTCATTATTATCTCTAAAAATAGCAAAAGAAATAGTATTATTAATTTTAATTGCGTCGATGTATAAAAATGGCCACTCGGATGATTCTCCTCATAAGTCTTTAAAGATTTATTTACGTAATGTTTTAGTTGTTTTTTCTTTGCTGTAGACTGTGAAATCGCTGATGGACGAAGAGTTGGGTTGCCACGACGCCAAACATGAATGGCGTTGAAAAGATGGAGTGATACCAAGGGTTTGCTTTTGAAAAAATCAACGCAACAGGTTTATCATAAGTCATTTTCTTTTCACTACCTTTCGCATATGTTAAAATAAAGAAAGATTGTTGCTGTAGAGAAGTTTAGGGGCAAGGTGAAGGATGACAAACTGAGAACGCTGGGGTAGGGATGGGAATTCCAATTCTCTTAAAACGGTTTTAATCGGTTTAAGTGAAAATGCGTAAATGGCTCTATAATAAAATGCATTTAAAAGGAAGACATCGCTGTTACCATAGCGTCCATAAATGTTCTAGCCGTAGTCAATTTTAAATAGAATCGACGTCTGCATTACATGAATTAGTGAGGATTGACGTGCAAAACTTCGTCTAGACGAGAGAAATTTGATGATATTAAGCTTTTCATTATTTTATCACACATATAACGGCAATAACCTTTGAAATTGTATTGTTTATCAAAAACGACGCCTACCAACTTAAACTTGTTGACTTTATTTATGATGACATTATTAAAGGAAAAGGACGAAAGGATACAATTGTGTTTCCGACATAAGTGGGGTAATCTGTACTTATCTATTGAAATTTAATTGATTTTGGCACGAAAAGTCCTATTTAATAAGAAATTTTTATAATATTGTAAAATATGGAGCCTACTTCCCCAGTTGAACGTTTTTACGATACGGTGAAAAGTTGCGAAGAAGTCAAAGGCTGAAAGCCACACATTATTAGGGCATGAAATCGTATTGCTGGCAAGGTGATTGAAAAGTAACAGGCCGTCAATAGTACACTGCCTTTTTTGAAAAGCCGAGTGATTATGACTAATTAAATTGTTTCTTGTTAGGAATCAAGATAACATTTTGCAAGGATTTTTTCAATGACACTCTCCATGCAAGAGATCGAAGAAATTGGGCGCTATCACAGATTCTGTTAATTTTGTATCATAATTTTCGTTTTTATGAAAGAGGATCATAGACATAGTGACTTTTCCAAAACATGTTTTCTTAGAGATTCTGCATTTTAATTCGAAAATAAAGTTTGCACTTTTACAGACTAGCATATGACCAATTCAACTGCCTCTACGAAAATTAGCCCAAGCTCGCTAGTTAGATCTTCAAAGATGTGAAAGTTCAAGGTTCCACCATGGGACATGTTCGTCGTGATTTTCGTCAATATATTGAGAAATAGTATAAAGTGAATATAATTAAATATTAATAATTGAGTAAAAATATAATTTTTTGCATCCTAGTAGCTTCGTAGTTTGTATTCTCATGAATTACATATTTGTCGCTGCCATCTACACGGTGATGACTATATATGTGCCAATCACCTTTGTTAATTAAAAATGGTGGTTTGTTTTTTAAGGAATAATGTGAGGTATTGGGACTATATTGGGGCGTGCCGAAATTAATGATGATGAGGAAATAGTTACTTCCATATAGATTGTTTAACGCTTTCCACTGCGTTACTGCAACTACATTAAGCGAATATAATGTTAAATCTGAAAATGTTCCTCTAGTTGAGTAGTGGATTGCAAAGCCACCATTTAACAACGTCATATTGGAACACAGTAAAAAGTTTTCAATTCTTTTATCTAAATTTTTAAACTGATGAGGCCCAGTAGCGCTTCTAGGGCATTGAAAGGATAGGATCTCATCACCCCGGTAATGGCAATGCACGCGAAATGTTGAGTTTTATATAATGTCGTCGACGCGGTTCTTTATTTCAATTAAGGCCACCAAGTCAAAGCTGTGTAGGGTAGCATGGATATGATTACGGTAGATCAGTTTTGGGCTTACATGCCATGTTTTGCCGTAAGGATGTTGGCAGGCAAAGAATGCTCTGGTCACCTTTCCCATTAGCCATCTTGGATGAGGATTCCAGGCAAAGCCTCTGTCATAGTGGACTCCTAGATGTTTTACCCCTTTTAAATAGTAAAGGACCACATCCTGTAAGCAGGTGTTGTCCAATGTTAATTTTCCCTTTTTCGTAAAGCGCGTCAGGGGTGTTTTTGCGGATTAATGTTCAGTCCTTTGTTCTGGTACCACTTGTAGGTTATGGTTAGGTCTTTCTGCATGCGATTGGTCAGTGTTTGTTGATGCCACCCCACCCCTCCGATTGCCAAGTCGTGCGCATTATCTAATATTTTAAATGCCACGTCGTTTAGCTCCACTAACTGATCTTTTACGACCACGGTGTAAACGATAGAAGAGAGCACGCCACCTTGGGAATGCCTTCTATTGGCTCTGAGAGTTAAGGATGCTCCTGCCAGCCTCGAAGCAACGAGCTTGGAACTCAGTATATTGGTTACCCAATTAATAATTAGGATTGCGAAATTTTTATTTTTCAAGGCTGTTTCTATAGCCGCGTATTGCGTGTTGTTAAAGGCCCCCTGTATATCGATGTAGGCAGCGAGAGCTACTTGCTTGGCTTGCATCGTGTCTGCGTTGATGCTGATCAGCTCATGAATTGCCGTCGTAGTAGATTTTTTACTCTTCTTCTCCACTCTAGACTTGTTCCAGTCTTGGGACACATAACCCCTTAGCAGGCTAGCGTTGCAAAGTCTAGCAAGTTATGGACGAACCTTTCTGCGCCCTTTTGGAGTAGACGCGACTTTATCCCATACGGTCCTGGCGATTTGCATGGAGCGAAAGTTGACACGGCCTAACTCGTCCGCTCCGCACAGAAGATTTTTGTAGCGAGATTGCCGTCTCTAGAGCACGCAAGTGTCCTTCTCTGGAGTACGTCTGATACCTTAGTCCCAGCGATCAGCTTCTTCGGGAATTCCTTTGTAATCTTCATCTGGCTTCTTTAGAGAGCATATCCCATTGCTGTAGTTTTTAGCTCAGGCCTTTTGAAACCGCGCTGCTTCTGGACGATTATTTATGTTTTTGCAGTGCTATCCTTAGGTAGCCGGCTTCCTCCCCTTCAGCCCGCGCGTTAAATAAGGTGAGGGTCCGATTGCACTTAGTCGAATCACCGGACTTTTTAGCCCTGTTGAACTATTTTCTGGCGTGGGATCGGTGCTTTTGATGTCTCTGATTCCACCAAGGTACTTCCATCGTCGACATTTTGGGCTTCAGAAGACAGCTTTCTTGGTATAGCCACGATGTAATTTGAGATGTCCAAAACCATATGGAGGGCGTTGGCATCGAGCCAGTCCAGTCTGCGGAATCTGCAGTACAAGGATTCGCACCTCATTTGAGACCTTCGTTTGTAAAGCTCCTGCTAATAGCCGAAGAGGCGGCTTTAGTGTGAAATGAGACTGTAATGAGACTTTAAAGGCTCATTCCTTGACTTTCGTGCGCATCTGGTTACTGCTTGTCCTCAGCCAATCCGCCCTTGGTTAGCTAGTGTCTTTGTGCCGGCGGTTCCTGGGTTTTCGAGACTGTCTTTTAGGTTGGAGGTGCTACGCTTCCTCCTGGCCGTTTTTGTCGATAAGACCGCTGCTCGGATAGAGCCCGATGGCCCTTCTTCGTCGTCGATTGCGGCATGCAGGCGTTTTCGTGCTTCTGCGTTCTTTTCGTTAGGTCTCAGTAAAACTGTGCCGATATCTCAGCTGGCAGTACGTCTGTTTTTCTTCAACACTGCTGCCGAAGATTCGTTTACTGCCAGAGTTAGGGCCACTTCTCATTGTGTCCCTCTGGAGTGGCTTTCAGAACTCCAATAGCTTTAAAAAATCTGCAACGTTTTCACCTTTGCAGAAATAATCGACGGCTTCATCAATTCGAGGTAACTCTTCCTCAGCTACGACTTTAAGAGCCGAGCTTTCTCATTGTATTATTGCTAGCACCGCCGTCTTCAGCCATTCCGGCGTCTCTTTCCCCTTATAGGTAAGCAAGCGCAAATCGTGGCGAAAAGTGCAGCCAAAAAACTGTGGTTGCAAAAACTTTACTTGTGCTGGGTACGGATCTTATCCAGGAGGCCACTTCGTATCGCCGCAGTTGGTTGCCCTTCCATGATGTCTTGGGGTAGTCGACTGGGACAATTCCTATCCCAGTCAACTCCCTTATACGATCAGTTCCCTGCAGTTCCAGCCGCTGGGCGTTTAGGTGGTTTGCCCGGACTAGAGGCGGAGGGGCCGTCCAGCCTATCACACTTGCAACCAATCTGGAGTTTCACAAATTCAGAGGCTACGCGAGTCACCCTTTCGCGTTTGCGAGCCTCCTGCAAGATCATGATACCTTTGATCAGAGCCTGCGGACGACGGCAAGCGGCTCCACTTAGGCTCTTCTTTCTGCCGTGGAGAAAGACGCATCGTACGACACTAAGTTTAATATAGGACTATAACACTAAGTTTAATATTTAGCTCTGCACTTCCTGGGTCACAATATTGGACTCCGTTTATTTAATGGATAACTACAGGCAGAAAACCTTACCAGGTTCAACGACTTGTAAAATTTAGATTTTCTAAAAAGTTGGAACTTTGCTCGTCATTTATAAACTACAGCAGATTAAACTATAAAGCTTTCTACATACACCCCTGGGGCGATAGCAAAGTACATGAACAAAAATAATAGGTTATTAATTGTTTTATGTGAATGCTTGCAATATTTCAGATCTTCGGATAGCTCTTAAAGTATATTGTTGATCAGTATCAAATTCGTAGTTGACCTAGGCACGTTCGTCTGCCGGCACATGTGCCTACGCCCATGTATGAAATTAGCATTCTTCGCGTTTCGAAAATCGGGATATCCGTTTTAAATTTACTGAAACTTTGCAGTAAGTTAGTAACAAAGTAGGCGAGCGAGATAGAGAACATGTTTACACTAGACTGTCTTGTAAATAAATTGAAAAGCAAGAAAAAATTGGCGTTTTTAGCATTATATTATTTATATTATTATTATAATTTTTTTAATTTTAGACTAATGAATTGAATTCTTAGACTAAAAAAAGAGACATTGAGCACATTTATATTATATATTTATTTATATTTAAAATGACAAAGGATTTCATAAACATCCTACTGGAAATCTCGAGTACCTGTGCGAAAATTGGCATAATCGCCCAGGCCTACTAAGTTTCATAACATATGGAAATTTCATTTTTTTACCTTTTCGCTTTTTTAAAATATTGTTTAAGACAAAGATGGTGAGTTTTCGTATTTTAATGCAAAGCGATTTTTCAAGACTCTCGAATGTCTCCACCTTCCACAATAACACGAACATTTGATCTAAATCGTTTTCATTGGAACATTCTTTTGAGATTTGCGAAGAGGTAGTAGTCACTAGTGTCGACAAGAGTGTGAATAACACAGTAAGTAGGTCATCAAAGAGAACTTCAATGCAAACAACATTGCTAGCGCTCCAAATTGGTAGCGTGTTGTGTGCCCCTTTTCCGGGTAGCTGAAGCACAATTACAATATTCTTCCCTCTTATGGCTTTGTGCTGAACCTAAATTTTCGACGCGAGAAAAATTGGTAATGTAGCTCGCTATTGCGAGACACAAAATGCACAAGAACGTAATGAGGTAGTATCGGCGACAGGAGGATTTTGAATAAGTAAAAAAACATTTTTGTTGGATGGTTTGGCATTTTATCTGAAAGATAACTCTTCGCATCCAATACCTCTTATTCGAGAATGACTCCATGGGAGCTTTTAGATTGATGAGGAGCCTTCCAATTTCAATCCTGATTGTGCATCGAACTGTGAAGTAATTAAATGCAGCAATACTCCGTTAGCAATTTTCCCAGCCCATAGATTGTAGCGTCCGCAAATAAACCTTGAGCTTGCCACTAAATTGACGCAAACTTACAAAGTTGTCTTTTTCCATACGTTTCAACTCGAAAATGTCTGTATTCCGTGTCTGAAAATTGGAAAATTCATTATCAAACTACTCCTATAGCCTGACTATATAGATAACTAAAATGACGCTTATATATTAACATGATGCAAAGCGGCATTAAGACATATGTTATTGAAATTATGAGTGAGGGTATTCATCGTGGTAGAGACATGCTTGCACTATGCAAGTTAGTTACGCGACGATTTACGTTAACATACTAGACGTGGACTACGTGTAATATGACGTAAAGTATTGACGTAAAAATAAATATTTCATTATTAATGCTTAGAGCAAATATGGGATTTAAAAAAGGATATAGAATACCGGTTTACTTTACTTTATCAATTAGTTATATACGTTGTATGGGTTTCAAATTTCAAGTACATTTCAAGTGTATTCGAAATTTCGTTGATAATTAATTACTATAATTATTATTATAATTATTATAGTTAATTATTATAGCGATCTGCAGGATATAACAGTTCTTACGCGTCCCAGAAAGATATATCTTAGTTTTTTGTAAGTTTATCATTGTTTTCTATTTACTAAAGTAGGACAATATCCCTGCCATCGCTCTTTGCAAATTAGTTAGTGTATCACTTACCGTAAGGTCAGAGCCAAGAATTGTCTGTCATCAGCAAAAACATAAACATTTATAGATTCAAATTTCTACATGACATTTTCTTTAAATTTATTACTTCAAACGTTACTTGTTTCCTATTTTATTGTTGGAACTGAATAAGTATTTTGTTTGGACTTTCGAAGAATTAAACAAGCAAAGTTGATTTTCAGAGAAAATGGAAATGGCGGAAATTTGTTTTATCTATACAAAAGAATAAAATCAACCACTAAATATTTATGCACAATAAGATTATTTTGTAGTTAGGTTTCCACTACAATTTTTTTTAAAAGCAAATAATTTTGTTTTTGTTTAATTGCGTGGGCTAAACATATATTTTATTTGCACTTTGGAATGAGCGTGCCGCCACAATTTATGGTTAAAGTATCTGATATAAATACAGTATATAAATTTTCCATTGTTAAAAAATAAACCAATTGCTTAATTTGTACTCACTTTGATTATTCGCGGCGCTGCTAACCAATTTCTTTGTTTTTAATGTGTTAAGTAAAATGTTAAACATGTTAAGTACAATTAATCACGAAACTCACATCGCATTTATTTATATTAACAGTTAAAGTGTGCGTTTAATTTGTTAAACAATTTTAACTACTCACGAATATGTAACGAATTTGCGCTTGGTGAAAATTAAACCTAGTACCGAACGTATTTTTATTTAAGTAACTCGGGGTCACCAAGTGCTTTGCAAGTTTTTTTGCAATTTTTTAAGCAATCCATTGCAAATGCTATGGTTATGGTTTCGACAAGCCGTGGAGCTTTTGGCAGACGTTTATTAAAGCTTCACGAAAAGGTTTTTAATGATGTCCGAGACGCGCATATTTTAAAGATTAATATTCCTCTTACTCTTTGCACTCTTTGGCAGCGCCTGGATTTTAATAATCAGAGTTTTTTTTAGGAATATATAAATCTATGGATCAAATTCAGTCTTTAGAGAAAGGTATTAGGACTAAACTTAATATGTTATAAAAAATTCGGAGGCGACAACCTTTGGATTTTATTGATCGAACATTTTATATACTTTCCATATCTTTTTGATATTTCTTGTAGCTTTGGAAAAAAGTTCTGCAAAGCGGCTTATAAGCAGCGATAAACCACCAAAAATTGTTAGCCATCTAGAGTCCCGATTTGTAAAAGACGGTGACGCTGTTGTTTTGGCCTGCCGCATAATTGGAGCCAAGCAATTTGCTGTAATCTGGCTGCACAACAATAAAGAGATTAAGCCAAGTAAAGACTTCCAGTATACAAACGAAGCCAATATATACAAATTACAGATAGCTGAAATTTTCCCCGAAGATTCGGGCACATACACTTGCGAGGCTTTTAATGATGCTGGTGAATCGTATAGTACTTGCACCATTAATGTTGTCGTCCCCGGAGAGGACCCTAAACAACCAATGTTTGTCAAATTCCCCGCATCCAATACAGTCCAAGAAGGCGAAAATGTCAAATTTGAATGTGAACTTCAAGATGAACCGCTTCAGTTGGCTTGGCTTAAGGATGGAAAGCCAGTAAATGAAGCCAATCCACGGTATACATTTACTAAAGAGGACGCTAAGCGCTATACCTTAATGATCAAGAAATGTGCATTGGAAGACGTAGGCCAGTATCAAGCGAAAGCTATCGGCAAAAAGGGAGAGACATTCGGTTCATTTTCAGTAAACGTATTTAGCTCCGTTTAAACAAGTTTTATGCAAATAATTGAATCACTTTGTTGTATGCTTTGTTATTAATTAGTTTATTATTGCTTTCATTTGCTTTTCCGTCTTTTCCCTCAAACATGTGCCACTAAATTTGAAGGTTGCTTACCCACAAAAGCAGATCATTTTATTAGTCCATGACCTGTTTACGAACTCTCTAACAATTTAGTATATTAATTGTAGTATAATCGTGTTTTTTCGATAATGCTTTTATAATTATTCTTAATATTTTTTTAAAATGCGTGTTCAAAACAGTGACACTTTTATACCAAGCATCCTCAAAACTCCAGCACATTGTATGTCAATAACTATATATGTAACTTATTAAAAGAGCCTCCTCAAATATTTATATATGTATCTCTACGCGCGTAATATACAACCACATAACGATATCTAAAATTTAAGAGGTTATCTTTGTGTACATGTGGATAAATTGAAAATAGTATAAACATATAACAATAAACATCGTTTTAATATAAAAAATTAAAATTGTAAATTGTGCTTTTTTATGTTTTTAAATTAATTTATATCATTCATTCTTTTAGGCGACTTCAGGCAAATTTAGAAAAAATCGCGTAAATTAAGTGCATTAAGCAATGTTGCTTTAATAAACTTTAAAAAGTCCGATAATGAGAATAAATGGTAGACATCATATAGGATCTTGCAAACAACTCTGAGCGGGTTAAACAGCTTATAATTATATTTACATTGACTAAGCTTAACAAAGGTAAAGTGTCTAGAAAAGCGAGTCAATAGCACCATTTATTACTTTGAAGGGGAAGGAAACGCCAGGCACAAATCTACGTTTCTCGATAGACGGTAAGTACAATAGAGGCAACCTATTTTCGTAGGGAGTAAGAGAGGCAAATCGGATCCCAATTCAAATTCCTAAGGGTAAACAGCAAGAATTGCTTTTGAACAGATTCAAATGAATCTACATAGCACCTATATGAAGGAGACCACACAATAGAGGTGTACTCGAGTATAGGTCTAACCAAACACATGTACGGCCTTTTCGAAATGTAGGGATCATCAAGTTCTTTGGACCGCCTCTTTATAAAACCAAGCGCGGACCTAGCTTTGCTTATCGAAAGCTCAATATGCAAGTTAAAACGTAACCTATGGTCAAATAGAACGCCTAGATCTGTGATCGAATCGACGTCCTCCAACTTATGCGAACATATGAAATACTGAATAAGGAATGATTTTCTTTTTGAGAAAGAAAGCTTCTTACATTTACTCAGAAGATTCAAAGAGCACCATGCAACAAAATTATCCAAGTCACTTTGAAGTTGATATGATTGCGATTCAACACAGAAGGGAGAAAACAGTTTCACATCATCACCATACATTAAGATCTGACTGGAATTAACTACCGATGGATGATCGTTAATGTATAAACTAAATAAAATGGGATCTAATTGGCTGCCTTGAGGTACGCCGGACGTAACGGGGAATTCATCCGAGGTGATGAAGTTAAACAAAACCCTGAAGAATCTATTGTGCAGATAAGAGCTTATCCATTTCACTAAATAGAAAGGGAAGTCACAGGCGTCGGGTTTAAAGATAAGTAGTCTATGGTTAACCATATCAAATGCTTTGCTTAAATCAGTGTACATTACATCTGCGCAAGAGCCACTAGAAAAAGCCAAACAAGACAAACAAACTCTAATAAATTGGTGACCGTAGATCTTCCTTTCCAAAAGCTACGCTGGTGTGGAGAAATATACGTATTAATGGCAAAGGCCACAAGCAAAGTCACAATTCGCTCAAACAGCGTAGATAGGACAGTCAACTTGGCTATACCTCTGTAGTTCTGAACAAGTTGTCTACTTCCACTTTTGTGGATAGGAATAAGAAAAGTACTCTTCCAACACAAAGGGAAAACACCTAAATTCAAGGACATGTTAAAAATCTTAGAGATAACAACATATAACTCGACAGCGCAAGCTTTAAGTACACATGATGGAATTCCATCAGGTCCAGGCGCACAACTATATTTTAGAGAACTCAACCCATTAAAAACGTCATCTTCAGCAATAACCAAATTAGGAATTGAAACTAAGTTAGTTATAGGATATGGGTAGTTTGCGGATAAATCGGAATTTAAAAATTATTTAGGATTAGCGAACAGAGAGGATTTAATGAACTGAAGGTATCTGCAATAATAGTGGTGGTTGGAGAAGTTAAATCTATGCCTTGCCACGAAATAAGCGAAATAGTCAAGAGCAGAGCCAGTTTTCGAATATTTTTTGAATAGCGTGTTTTTCCTGTTTTTGTAATATTTAATTGTCCTATTAAACCACGGAGGACGCCTGCTTCGAGCTTGGCACTGCTTGATCGGAACAGATGCAGCAATAGCTAGATTTAAGGTATTGTAGAATGATGACAATAACCTTTTCAATACTTCCGGTTGAGAAATCAAGCCTTATATGTGAAAGGTGATATTTCAGAAATACAATATTGATTTTATGAAAATTGTTATATTTATTTGAAAAAGTCTGATTTGGAACATTAAAACAGTTCAATAAACCATCATGTTTGCGATGAAAGGAAATACACATTGCTGGATCATAAGGATCCTCAGGTAAACTAAAAGGTGGACAACGATTTACACTAATCTCAGGGATATTGGCAAAGCAGAGATCAAACAGTCTACCATTACAATTCCTACTTACAAACTTATCTCCCATTTTATCAAAAAATTATAAATCAAATGCCTCCGTTAGGTCTGGAAATATAAGTGAAGCTTCATTGTGCCGGCAGTCTATGTGACCCACTTAAGATTAATGGTTTGACATATAATAAGCAAGAGAAAGGAAATTTTAAGGATTATCATTCGTTTATCAACGATCTCTGGGTATGTATGTTAATTTTTGAAGCAGTTATAATTGCTCCTACTTGAGTGTGCAACTTATGCGCTAGTTCGGTATAGATCATCTTGCACTTTCTAAATCATCACATCTTTCTAACTTATTTGGAATTTCCAAATGTTCATAAATTCCCACACTAGAAAAGTTGCATATACATTGCTCACTTGTTTGAAATCTCTAAAAACGGAGCAGCTCACATGGAAGCTATCATTTAATTACCACAATGTTAATTCCAGAAACGGAGTGTAAGTTTTCCAATATAATGCCAATAAATCATTGAGATATGCCACGAAATATACAAAATAACAAGTTTATTAAAACACATCGAAGATGCTATTATAACAATTACTACAATTAGTATAGTCTTTGTAAAACAAAGATTAAACAACTATTTCATACCAATGTAGACAAAAATTATAGCCGCCAATAATAATGTATACAATATTGTTAAAAACCAAATAAAAACTAGATTATTCAGTAAAATGGAAAGAATAGAGAAAATAATCATAAGTGTAGATAGAATAATTACCAATACTAAATATATTGATCAGAATAAATTATTAAAAAAATTAAACTATTTTTACAAAAACCCTAAAAGCCTAGAGAATGAACAGCAAAAGAATGCCCAGAATATCACTAAAAACACAAAGGAAATAGTGGAAAATTTTAATATAGAATTAGCTGCTAAAGCCATAGTCAACATATGGGAATGGAAAGACTAGAATGCAAAATAGAAAACGGTAATAAGAAATTAACAATCGAAAAGGGTCAAAAATTTGAATGTACGCGTGTGCGATGCAATGGATGTCCAGACGATGATATGAAGAACGGTTATCAAAGCTAAATTTCAGAGATTATTCAATCAGTTTGAAATATCACATATATTCCAATACACACACAAAGAGCTACTGGAAGAAAATCCAAATGATGTAAAGAACAACTCGTCTATATGCTTTTATACAATGACGAAGAAGAAAAAAAATGGAAACTAATTGAAGAGTTTCATAACAGTTACCGAGAAAGACATCAAGTGTTAAGAAAAACATTCAGAGTATTAAGTCAGAGATTTATAAAATTCGAAACAATTTGCATAGATACAGTAGGTGCAATAAAATTATCAAACAAATGAAAACACATACTTGCAGACCAATATGGGTTGCCTAAATATCTTAGCTAAATCAATCAACAGCAAATGCGCAAATACTATTGCCAAGGTCTTAATAGTCGATTTTATACTAAAATGTGGACACTTTAAAATACTAAAATTAGATAGAGATACAAAATTTACAAATGACTTTATGAAAGAAATACGTGTACCACTAAATATGCAACAAAACATGTACGCCTGGCATATTCAAAACAGTTAAAATCTTAACTATAACAGAAATGTTTACTCTTATTATTAACTTTTCACGTTTGTACATATAAGATCATGTATTTGAAACGGGTCATATTTCGTAAGTTTCCCATATTCTTGCTGCCATATAATTTTGTTTTGTTTTCATAAAAAAATGTTCGAGACTATAATTTTAGTATAACCATGCTTATTGGTTTACAATGGAACATTTGAGGGCTGAAAGGAAAGGGAAAGCGACGGTTTATTTACCGGGATTACGGCAATTCAGTTATCTAAGATTATGAGAATGATGTGCTTAAGATCGTCACAAAAAAACTAACATGTCGATGACTTATTTGTAACGCCATTAGAATGGGATTTCATTTTCTTATTACTTTGAAAAATTATTTTAGCCAAAGCCCAATTTAATGACATAAGTTTGAATCCATACAAACTTAAGTAAAAAATAAAATAAATGCCAAAATATTAATTTCCTTTTATAATTTAAAAATAAAAGAAGCTATTTATTATTAATAAAAGAAGCTATTTATTATTAATAAAAAAAATATTATTATTATTATTAATAAAAGTTTAGCCACAAAATAAATTCTTGTAACAATAAGTGAACAGTTGGGGATGTTGCATTAATATTTCGTCTGACTAATCCAGTTGACATGTTATTAAAAAAAAAATTCTATCTGCAAATAAATACATATAATGTCATTGCCGTATCCTTTATCATCCGCTTATCAGACACTTTCTATGCTATCATCATGAAACCGTTGGGCTCACAATCCTATTTTCTATACACGGTAAAAAAAAAATTTTAAAAGTGGACATATGTATTGTAAGGGCTTTTGCCCATTCTCTGGTGCTGGGTAAGCTCAGCGGCACGAGAAATGTATGTTTTTATGTTTTGTTTTTAAAATTCAGAAACCTTCACTTTTTTTATTAAGTTCTCAATTTCACTTACAATCAGCATCAATAATACTATTCGCTTTGCCAGCTCAAAGCCAACCCGGGAAATTAAATTTCCTTTGAACTGCTTTACTCAGCATCGTAAACTAAAATAAGTTTAACTCGTAGCTTAACTTAACTAACTCTTCTCCCTTAACTAATTCTGTTGTTT